CCCGTTCGATTCCAGCTACATAACTGCAAAAACATACTAGTGTGACCCCAGAAGCTACGGATTAAGCGCCTGACCCCAGAAGCTACTGACACACCTCCAGTTCTCGCATTTCCCTGTCAAAAAGTGTGCACGGGTTACACGCGAGAAGACGTACTTCAAAAATATCATTGTAAAAAACAAAGAAGGAAATCGGAAGGGATTTGCTCCCGATACAAGTCAATCTCAGTAGGGTTTCAAGGGTTTACTGACCTTGGTGAGCTGCCACAAAAAGATCTGCAGCGCCGATCTTTCTGTAACTTCGCAAAGTGTTCTGAACATTCTCAATAAACTTTCTTGTTCAGTCTCCGAAGGGTTCCGGGTTGCAGTATTCGAAAGATAGGAAGAGGTCTCTCGAGCGTGACATTCAGCCACTGACCGAGATAAAGCTGACTTTCAATCTGAGCGCTTCGACAATGTTGCCCCGGCCAACTTCGCTATCAAACGACTGATAACAGCGGTGTTTATATCGGCAGTCTTCGGCATTGTGACCATCCATGACAATCTATGGGCGCTTTTCCGTAGCTTCTGGGGTCAGACGTGTAATTCCGCGATGCTCAATGCAAACCTCCACCAATTTTCTTCATATTTCACCCATATGTACTGTCCAGGATGCAAGTGATGTGTGCGAAGTCTGAAATGTATTGGAGAGGAACGGAGGGAGATATCCATGAAATACGTTATGGGTCGTAGCTTCTGGGGTCATGCTAGTAGAGCGTTTGGGTCCGCTCTGTACGCGCGTGCCTTGTTTGGCCGCCTGCCTGAAACAGTAGGCAGCGGCGCTTGAAGACATACTGGTTCTACCTTGCCCTTCTCGCATCCCCTACATTTACATCAGCATTTGAACCTCTACACGCAACGAAAATGGATGTGCTGCGTTCGTCTGCATCCGGGACAGTTGCGTTATGAGTACCCTCGCCATCACAGCCTTCGCGAACGAAAAGTTACTGCTCGCTGAGAACCCCGTGACGTGAGATAAGCGCTTGAGATCACATAACGGTGATACCTGGATATACAACTTACATTCTTCCCCAACTACCCCCAAGTTACATTCCTCCTAGCCATCGTGCCTTCGCATTGAGTTCTGGGGATGTATTTTGAGACGTCTTGGTCACGATGCATTGTAGAGCATTGGCGCGCATCAACTCGCACCGACGTCAATGTGCTCGTGCATTGAGCGCCCTGTCCTACTATTTCAGGCAGGTGGCCAAACAAGGCACGCGCGCACAGAGCGGACCCAAACGCTCTATGTTTTTGCAGTTAGCTGTCAATTCATATATGGTATTTCTTCAGGAACCGGACAGCGGTTGCTACAATCACAAATCATGTGAGAATCGAAGAGCCCAGTTCGACACAGGCTGTAGGACACTCCGTGCACGATAAATACATGAATATTACTGCGAATCATTGATCGGGGCCTCTGCTGTCTTTCAAGTACTACCGCATATGCGGGGAACATACTATCAGCCGCATATTACCTCGTGCTCGGTACATGGGCTCTCATGTGGGCAAGCCAAATGAAGATGTGTACACTGCCAGACGCTCCGTGAGGCAGATTTCCGATAAAAATATTCATGTACGGCCGGCCTATCGGTGAGCTCGAGGTGAGCATGTATACACTATGAGGTAAATTCCGGCCGTTCGCAGGAAGGCAGAACCAGCGTGGAAGATTCTCATAGGCCGATCAGGAGCAAGTTCCGCTAAGCGCCGCGGCGAAGCGTCGCATGGTGGGCCAGATAAGCAAATTCAATTAGAATCTAGAGCCTCACAGAGCTGATTCTTGGGATCCACACAGGATAGTTACCGCTACGCTGGCCATATACTGCCTAAGGACGAGTTGCGGTGGTCGCATCGAAGGTTGAGAGCGGAACAAGTACGATTTTGCAATATGGCCGCAGCTTGCTAGTGTTAGCGGAGCGGACGATCGACGGTCACACCGAGTCACGGTGTACGTGGGCGCCTTGGCCGCCAGAAGTAGACGCTTGGGTGCCGGGGACGCATTCGCACATCTCACAGCGGTTGATGCTCCCGCCTTTGCATGTCGGCCAAAGATGACAATGTCGTGCAGCAGCAGTCCAACTCTTTCTATGCCGCCATTGCTCGCACCGCAGCCCGCAGCTTGGCTCTGTACTTCTCTAGACCTGTAAGACTCTTCCGCCCGTCTAAAGGTGCGCTCTGTCATCACGACGCGCATCTGCTCCCAATGAACACCCACCTGCCAATCAATGTACAGTCAGCGGATGGCATTCGTTACGAGGACTCGCGGATAGCCATGGACAATCGCTGTCGCCCCAGTACATCTCATGGCTCGTAAAGGAACATGGTGTAAGTCTGCCTTCATGTTAACCTCCATCCCGACCCGTGCCGAGCTTACAGTGACCGGTCACCAGTGGTCTGTGATTCCCAAGCATTTTGTGCCTCCCATGCTCGTCAATGGGCTTCTCGGGGTTGTCTTATGGTCTACATACTCCGAAGTGTCCAGCTGCCTCGAGCCCCACCTCGCCTCCCATCCGACCACCCTCGCAGCGCTCTCAGGAGCCTGCGCAGGAGGCGCGCAAGCCCTTGTCGCCGCGCCCGCTGAGAACATGCGTTTCGCGCTCGAGGGCACATCCCGGGCGACTGGTTGGAGCGACGCATGGAAGGAGGTCTTCCTCATCACAAAACCCACGACCCCGATGACGCCTTCTGAGCAATTGCGGGAGGCGCGCCAGGTGCGCGACTGGATGCGAGAGGTTGGCGAGATGGCTGGCCGTGGCTGGGAAGGCTGGGGCTGGGGCTGTGCGAAGGACATCTGCGGTACGTACTACTACCGCCATGTCAGCGAACCCTTTTCTGATCAGACGCCTCCTGGTCATGCGCCAGGTTTTGCCGCCTTCTTCGCCATATTCGACGTGACGCGCCGGTGTGCGATCGAGGCGAAGGCCACGTCGCAAGCCCTGCTCGACCGTGCACCCCAGGTCGTGGTGGGCTCCGAGTCTGAGTCCGACAATCGCGTTCACTCCGTCCGCAGACATACTCCGCGCGTCGTGCACGCCGCCACGCTCGTCACAGGTGGCGCGATCGCGGGACTATCGTACGAGATTCTCAGCCGCCCCTGGGACGCGATGCGCCGAGCGGTCCACCACGACCGGCTCGCGCCCGTGCAACACCAGCGTTCGATCGCGGGCATCATCCTGCACAAAGCCCGCGAAGACGGCGTGCTGTCGTTCTTTACGAGCCCCGCGCACGCTCACCACGACCCTTCGCCTTCGCGGATGCGCCGGCGTCTGAATACTGCCTTGCGAACCTTGGGGCGTGTGGGCCCTTGGGGCGTCGGGTTTCTCGCGTGGGAAGCCTTTGGACCGGGTCTATCGTAGCGTCCGTTAGAGGGAGCCGCATTGCCTGCGCACGCCCCGTGTTGGACATTCATGTATGTGAATGGAAGTCAGAAGGCCACAGATGATCATACGCAGCCGTTGCAGCCCCAGACTCAACATTCAATGGAAGGGACATTCGCGCAGTCAACGCGTGAGGAAGGGTGTCTAACGTTTGCCTACGTAGAGAGGAAGAGATGCGACGAGAAGCCGACGTATTGTGCCTTGCCTTTCGGATGCTGCCCGACCCTGCCAAGCGTTCGACGCATACCAGTGGTCACCGCCAGGCTCGTGTTCGCGCCCACAAACCACAAACGCAGCAAGGAGTCGGCGTAGCTAGCATGCCTGCTGACCCTTCTGCTGCACAACGTGTGGCGTTAAGAGAAGATCAACGCTTAAGAAGTCTTCCGAGCCGCACAGGCGGGAGAATCCGGATGGCGCGCCTTATGTACTGTGCATAGAGTGCACGAGAGCTTCTCGATCATCACATTACATACCGGGGAGTCCTTTATAGAATTATGCTGGCTGACTTGAGAGAATGAAACCAGTACGGGCAAATCGGACTCGACGAGCCATGGACTAGGGCCGCTAGACTGCATGACTGTGACGAACCATATGTGTGTGGCGGTCACAACAGTCACGCGCTTCGCCACGAATGATTAGGTTCGCCACGGTACGAGCAGTGCTGGAGCCGCCGGCGCCCCAGCGTTGGCTAGCTGGCTAGTGACTCTCTGAGCAGCTCGTAGTGATCTGCTCATCTCATGGACTGTCGAGGTTCATCCCAAATTCGACAGAGATTAGCCGACATAACGCTCCAGCACCCTAGAGATGCAATGGCAGACGACGCTCGATGAGCCTGTGTATCCTTGCGAAGACACGGGTGCCTGCTGTCACTATTGCTAAGGTCCAGGTTATCGCGGCGATCACGCTGCGTAGAATGCCTTAATGGTACTCACCAGGACGTTTGCCTTTTCGGATCCTGCCTATGATGTTTCAGGCCGGAGGAGTAGGTCTGTCCTTCGGGCTGGGCGGGAATACTAGGGTGTGGAGTATGTGACCATTCGTCCGTCAATATGACATGCTCACTCCAATGGCGAATACAGTGCCTCGAGAGACCCTCGGACCTGTGAGAGAGCGAAGGTGAATCTCGCGCTATAAGAGGTCAATCCTACTGCGCCAGCCTCGTGACGATGCCAGAACTGCACTAAAACTGGAGGCCCAGCGATGACCGTTCGCCGCGAGAATACGCCAAGCTGGGAGATGCAAACCGCTAGCGGTTAGCCTATGCGTCGCGGCAGATCATCAGGCACTCTGATCGTGGTGGCTGAGGAGGGATATGAAGAAGTATGCGAGTGGGGGACCCGAGGTTATGTGCCCGTGCTTCATCGTCGCGGGAGCCTTGTGTTGTCATGCGTGTCCTCTGCCGTCTCCGAGATATCACAGAATTGGCGGATGCATGGGGTGTACTCCCCTCAGAATGATATCGAGGACCCGTCAGCCACGGCGCAGTCGAGCAGAACGGGTTCCATCGCTACTCAGGCCTCTAGGCGTGACATCCGGAGACCATACTTACGCCCACTGATTGGCGGAATAGGCGCCACCGCTGACCGGTAGATATCGCGACCTCGCAGTGGCAAATTCTCCGGCCGCAGCCGTCATGGGACGAGTGCAGATCCCCAGATCTCCTAGAGATTCGGAGGTGGCGTTCGGCAACGACAATGGAAGTGCGCTTGCCCGACTGGAAACGTGATCCCTCTTTCCGCTCCGTCTCCGAGCTCCTCCCCAGCGCTGTCGAGGATCCCGGAAGGTCGGCGACGTCCAGATGGGTAGTGCTGCGTCCCCGCCTGGCAATGAGTGCTGGCAACGGTGCCGGAGCGTCGCGGAGCTGCGTCGGAAGTCAATCGAACGGTCACATATAATAATATATTTCTGTCCACCAAGACGACGGAGGAGAGACGTGGATGCCCTCACGGAGCGGGGGGCGGCTACCGCCTTCCAGGGTGGCATCGTTGCATCCGGAAGGGAGGAAGGGCTAGACTGTGACAGGTGGCCCCAACAAGCAGGCGATTAGCAGCATCGGGGAAAGAAGCCTCACGATGGCCAGAGTCGGACGCCAGACCGCAGCTGATGCGGGCACTATCCAGGCCGCTCGATAGCCTGGAGACAAGGGCGTAGAGAGTCTGTACAGCAATGGAAAGCTCCTGACTGGTCGCATGTCCGCACAGGAGATCGGAGGGCGGGGGAATGCAAACACGATGGCAACACGAGTTTGAGGTTCCTCACCCCTTGCCTAGTCTAGAGAACGGTGAAACGACGCAAATGATACGGGCGCAGGCATGCGCAGTCGTTAAAAGATGGAAGAGGAAGTCGACCATATATTCTCCAACGCATTCGATATTTAGAAGACACCAAGAATTGGAATCCCACGCGCGACTTGGGAAGGCCCAGCGCCCCGCTTGGCCTCAAGGCGCGGCGCGCAGGCAGCCTCGTCTCACCTCCAAGCTCACGTCGGTTTTGGCCTATTCCTATTGAGTCCGACCTGAAAAGGGGTCATGTAGCTTCGTGGATTGAGGCACCTCGAGCACGTCGCGTCATCGACTTCCGCGTTTCACGGCACCTGGACGACGTCTTGGCTGTTTCACACCTTTCATGAACTTGGTCTGGAGCAACGAGCCAGCTATGTCAGCGTACGGCAGCTCGACACCCTCAAACTCTGTGAAGACAGACAGGGGGGATTAGGATCATTTCCGGCCTTCTGCGCTTACAGAGCACGCAGCCAGTCCAGTTTCGAGACCCAGCGGAGGCTCGCTGCCCACACGGGAGAAGAGGGGAAGAGCCGTCCGTCTGGAAATCAAGAATCCGCGTGAGGAAAACGTATCAGGGCGGATTGAGGGCGTAGAATCTACGAATTCTTTGTGGACTTAGAAGACACAAGATTAATGACTGCTTCATGACCTGCGCACGTCCCTGGATGCTTAGTGGTACCAAGGGCTTGTCACTGCACTCGCCCTAAATGAAAGGGAGGGCCAGGGACATGCCTGTTGGAATGTGGTATGACCCAACCTTAGAGGAGAGAGGCAGTAGTACCATATGCCGACGACTCGACCGGCCCGGGATAGCGAGAGATTTACGAACAGGCTGAGAGGCCTCATTCGCAGTATGTGCGATATATATGGGCGACAACGTGGGCCTCGTCTGGCGGATGTGTCGGGGGTGTCGGAGGTGCGGAGGGCGGGCGACGGGCGTCGGGGGAAGAGGCGGGGAGCGCGTCGCGACGCGTTTGAGTGGAGGTGCGCGGGTCACGTGCGGGAGGCGCGTGCAATTTCTGGTATCTTCGATCGCGACTGGCTCATCTGCCACTGCCAGATCCAAGCCGCGTCCCAAAGGTCGGTCTCTGCTCTAATTCGTACTTGCACTCGACACACACTGAGAGCACACCTTTATCTCGAACATCCACACAGTTATGGTCCGCTGTACTCACAAGGGGTGCGGCCAGGACTTCGAACCCGAGAACAATGGCCCGGACAGCTGCACATACCACCCCGGTGCACCCATCTTCCACGAGGGCCTCAAGTCGTGGTCTTGCTGCTCTGACGTGAACAAGCCTGTCCTAGACTTCGATGAGTTCATGGCGATTCAGGTGTGCCTCGCGTTGCACTCCCGCGAGCCCAAGGCTGACTCCGGATCGATGTTTCATAGGGATGTACCACAGGCCAGCATACCGACGAGGCACCCCAGGCCCCGCCACCCAAGGCCGCGCCCCAGGTCAATCTCACGATGACCTCCTCTTCAGGCGCCGCCGAGACCTATTCGTCTGTACCCGCGGGTTCAAGCACGTCCACACCAGGCTCCAAATCGGTGTCGGAGGCGGTGGTCACTAAATTTGAGGAGGAAGAGGATGATCTGGAGGCGAGCGTACCTCCAGGAACAACGTGCAGACACAAAGGCTGCAACGTGGTGTATGAGAACGACGACTTGCATCGCAAGGAGGGCGGGGCAGCAAGCGAGTGCACGTACCACCCCAAACCGGTGAGTCGCGTGCTTCCCTTCCAACCTATTTGTGTCTTCCTCGCTCCTATGCCGTCGACTAACCGCTAACTCGTGACGTCTAGCCCATTTTCCACGAAGGCAGCAAGGTACGTCTGCAGAGCAGACCCGACCAGTCCATTGCACCCGTCCTCACTGTGGCCAAGGGCTACCTCTGTTGCAAGCGACGCGTCCTCGAGTTCGACGAGTTCCTCAAGATCGAGGGTTGCACGAAGGGCAGTCACGTCTTCGTCCCGAAGAGAAAGGCCAACACGGTGAGCTATCCGGGTGCCCGTTGATCCCCGGTGTGTGGTCGGCGTCGCGCCCACCCACGCCCACCACCCTTGGTCCCCGTGCTCACGGTCTGCTGACATGCCTTCCGTGAACGCAGCAGCAGGAAGAGTTCACGCAGTGTCGAATTGACCACTATCAGACGCCAAGCGAGGTCCATGCCTCGGTTTTCGCAAAGAAGGCTGACCCGGAGGCGAGCACCATCAAAATTCAGGAGACCGAGGTGCGTCTATGACATGCACATTCGGCATCACAGTCTTGACACTATCCCTCAGGTCTTCCTTGACATCTACCTCCCTGACTCAAAGCGCTTCCGGAAGACGCTCCAGCTCTGGGGCCCCGTTGACGTGGACGCGTCATCCTTCAAGTTTTACGGCACGAAGGTACGTGGGTAGCCGGTGGCGTGCCCTCAGCCGCCGTCGCCTACGCTTATTAGACCGCTGGCGTTGACGTGCATACTGACACCGACACTTTAACCCAGGTGGAATTGAAGCTCAAGAAGAAGGATAACCGCAGTTGGACGTTGCTCGAGAAGACGGACCGGGACTTGGGTAACATTAACTTCACCTTTGGGGTCGGCGGTCGGACGGGCACGATTGGCGCGAAGGAGCTCGTCTTGGATGACGTCAACAGGGCACGCGCGTGAGCGTGCGCTATGGATAAGGGGTCGGGATAGCTTCATGATCGTATACGCACGAGCATACAATGTCAATCATAACCATGTACAGCAGCCCACCAACGGACTACGCAGCATTCAGTGTGGAGTGTGGAGGAGCGATGTGTATAATGCATAATAAACAATGGCACGGTCGATCTATGCGTCTATGCATCTGTATTCTAGACCTGGTACGAGCAAGCCAGGTGTACTTAACCATTAAGCGACTGAGAGAGTAAGATTATACTAATGTATCATAGTTTACCCGGCGATAGAACCTCCTCATACATCTCGACGATGTCACCAACGCGGAGGTCGTTGAAGTCAGCAAGGTTCATGCCGCACTCTATGCCCTTCCCAACTTCTACCACATCCTTCTTGTGCTGCTTCAGGGCATCCAAGCGACCTGCAACCGCAAGGCCATCAGTAAAGCTCAGATGACAACGATAAGTAACGAGGAAACGGCAAGCGCTGCACCGTTCTGTTGGGCTGCAGCGTATATATCGCGATCCATCATCTAGGACAACGCGGAATGTGGAACTCATGCGGACTCACCTTCATGAATGATCTCGCCGTTACGCACCACACGAGCGAGCTTGCTCTTGTCCACAACACCGTTTGTGACCCTGCAGCCACCAACTTGTGTCGTTTTCTTGCCCTTGAGGCTGATATCGAACAGCTGGAGCACGGTAGCCTCACCCGTCACGCGCTTCTCAACGATCGGCGGGAGAAGCTCGATGACCTTTTGTGTGACGGTGTCCATAAGCTTGTAGATGATGGATGACGACACAATGGGAACGTGCTGCGATGCAGCTTCGTTCTCCACTACGCGCGGGACCTTGACGGAGAACGCGATGACCATGCCTAACAGTGCAAAAGAACTTTAGGCATGCAGTGGCGCAGATAAGCGAATACCAAAGTTCATGGATGTTGCTCACCCTCGGCAGCTTTAGCCCGCATAATATCCGACTCTGTCACGTCCCCTACACCTGTAGCAATGATTTTCGTGCGGGCGACATCGTTTCCGATTACCTCGAGCGCGTTCACGACAGCCTCCACACTCCCGCTGACATCGCCCTTGATAACCAGGCGGAGCTCCTTGGGACCCTGGGGCTCCGAGGCGGTCTTGGGTTTATCCGTATCTTCCTCGGCCTCGCGCTTCTCGCGTTCGGTGCGCCGGTGCTCGTTGATAGCCTCCAGATCGACCAAAGCCGCCTCCATCTCGGCTTTACGCGCTCGATTCGTCAGTGCCTTCTTAATGTCCGACTCAGATCCCGTAAGAACTTCGTCGCCGGCATTTGGAAGCTCCTTCCACCCCGACACCGTCACAGCCATTCCTGGATAGGCCACCTTCACGGGCTTGCCATTTGAGTCGCTTAGCAGGCGGACTTTTGCGGAGGTCGTACCACAGATCAGGTGTTGACCAGGTTTCAGATTCCCTCGTAGCACGAGCACAGTACCGGTGGGCCTAACGATGACTTTGTCAGCGAAATGCGTGTCTACAACCTCGAGAGAGAGTTTACCCAAGACCCTTAGTGACCTTGGACTCGAGCACGTAGCCTTGAATCATCCCTTCACGCTCAGCACGCAGGTCTTGCATTTCTGCAAGGGCAGAGATAGTCTCGACTAGCTGGTCAAGGCCCTGACCGGTGAGCCCAGACACAGGAACGGAAGGTATGTCTCCGCCGAAGGTTTCCAGTTGCACACCCTCAGCAAGCAACGCATGTTCGACCTTGGTCTACAGGAAATAGCGTTCAATGCCACCATTTTCTTAGAGTAGCGCCGCCTGGCGGGTTACGCGGAAATAGCTCACAATGTCAGCTCCAGGCTTGTCGACCTTGTTGATCGCCACGACGAGACCGACTTTGGAATTCTTCACCAGGTCAAGGACTTCGCGTGTTTGCGGCATAATGCCATCATCAGCGGCAACCACGAGCACCACAATATCCGTCACACTGGCGCCACGAGCTCGCATCGCGGAGAACGCAGCGTGTCCTGGAGTGTCCAGGAAGGTAATGGTCCGTGTCGATCCTGAGCTACTCCCGCTGGCTGGAACAGGAACTGAGAATGCGCCAATATGCTGGGTGATCCCTCCTGCTTCACCCTTCGCCACGGATGTTGACCGCAGGGTGTCTAGCAGTGTGGTCTTGCCGTGGTCGACATGCCCCATGATCGTAACCACCGGTGGGCGTTCTGGCAGGGTGGTCGGCTCTGGGTGGGGAGGCCTGCGCAGGTGTCATGGACGTTGTGAGAGATAGCAAACGGCTCAGACTCACGGAGGATAGATGTCGAATGCAGCCTCATCGTTGACGACTGGATTCCGGTTGAATTCCAAAGCCAACAAGGACGCATACTCGGATGTCAGCACTATGGAAAGATGAACACACGTTCGTCGAGCCAGAATTGACCGGCCTACTGTGGTCGTGAGAAGCCTCGGACTCCATCCCAACCCTGGCCATCCTCCGCAGTAGGGTATCTTCGGATATATCCGGCTCAGAATACACTCACTGTCCACAAGGAGATTTGTAACGTACCGAGTTTGACTCTGAGTAACCTTGCTAGGTTGCCAACTGAAACCACAGAAGGGATGAAGACGTCCACATGCGCCTGTTTGGCAACTTTCGGAGCCTTTGCTGTCTTCTCCTTCTCCTTCGCGGTCACCTGAACAGGAGTACGAGAATTCCTCGAGTGGTCTAAATCCTCTAGGTCATGACCCAGACGAGACATGAGCGAGCCTCGCTCCTTGAACTGGGAACGTCTCTGCCGATTCCGGTAGTCCTGCTTTTCGCCCGCATCCATCCCAGGGGTCCACACTAATGACGAATGCGCCTTCCCACGCTGACCTTCCGATCCCCTAACCTGAGCTGTGTCCTCGGACTCGTCTGTACGCGCGGTCTTCGCTCCTTGCTCAAGCGCAGTGGACGCCTTCTGGACGCGGTCTGAACGAAGGATGTTGTCGAGGCCTAGCGGACCAGTGCGCTCCATCCGAGGTTTCCTGGACGAGGATAGAGTAGGTTCTCTACTCTCAGAGGGCAAGTGTTGGGCTGGCGGCCTATCTCTCGCGGTGCGCGCGTGGATGGTTTCGGGGAGGTCCTTCAAGCCCGACTGCCCCGCTTGTGGACGTTGCCAGGAACGCTTCCGGGGAATGGAGGTGTCAGAATTACCATCTGAAAGGGTCCTGCCAGCCTTGGGAAGCGCTTCCGGTGGTCTCGCCCAGCTCCTGCTTTGAGGGACTCCAGTGGACGGACCAGCTTGCGCGTCATATTGCCATTTGGGCTGAAAGGAGTGAGATATCACCCTTTTTCACATGACCATGTTTCACGCACCTTAGTCTGAGTCGCAGTTGACGCAGAGCGAACGCCTAGACGTGCAATTCGGAGGGAACGACGCATGGCTGGGAGAGACTAGACCGTAAGAGTGTAGGGCGTAATTTCGCAAGACTCTCAATACTGCATTGAAGCGTACGAGAGATTTTTAGAAAGTGAGGAAGACGATATGGTAGTTGAGGAGGCAGTCTCGTCGAGGACGAGTGCATGCTGTCCGTCTCTTTGCTCGACGCCGCTGCCCTCAGAAATCTCCTCCCACGTGACCTCCAGAGATATGTCGGCAAAATCCGACATGCCTATCGGCATTTCGACATCAAATCGACGCACAACGCCTGAGGTATCTACTAATACCCAGTAAAATATTCTACCACATCAAAGCTTTGTACAGACGATTCTGTGTTTCAGTCCGAGTCGCCTCTGTCAGACTGATCTCAAGGTCGCTGTGAATAGGCTTCTCGCTAAATTGTTCAGTACATAGGCTGAGTAGTGTTTACATATGAGCTAATCAAAGCTTCTCCGTCAGTCAAGCCGGCCATGAACCAGTGTTCGTAGTAGTGCTCCGTCCCAGGCATGATGACAATAGGGCCGAGCAGAGCAATGCTGTCACGAATGTACTGTCCGGTGAAACCGAGCTTCGACATCCCGAAGAGCGCAAAGATCTTCGCGGTGAGGAAGCCGTCCGAGTAACCTTTGGCAATGGCGCGCTCAGTCGGATCCACGGGCAGTTGGTCGGAATCGTCATCACCACGCCGGCCTGGGCGTCGGTGAAAATCTCGCGGATGGCTCACCAGAGGGGGCGCGGTGGTTGAGGGTTCCGATGCGGAAGGTGTAGCAGAAGTGGCATTGGACGCGAAGTCGAGAGCGGCCGCTATGTCATATAACGCAGAGCCCGGGGTGGTAGCCGGGTCGTACAGGATAGAGATGTTTGAGAGATCAGCTAGAGGACGGAGTTGGCCATAGGTGAAGAAAGACGATGGAAGGCTCTGTCCCACTGCCGCGCGGAAGCACCACCCAGGGTCCGAGAAACAATCCTCCTTGTTGTAAGCTGCATAGATGAGTCTCAGATCAATGACAGGGGGGAACCGGCTCACTCCAGAAAGCCCATCCAGCGGTAGTGTTCCGGTAAACATCCAATTGGGCTTGACAGAAGTCTTTACGAGCTTCGATAGGATCGGATTCGTCCGCCAAGCTCTCGTCGGTTAGGGCGCAAGAGAACTCGTCGACAACCAAGTTCCTTTGCTGGCGAGCAGATGCACCAGCTAGTGACCGGGAGATGCCGCCATAGATATCAGAAGTATGCTGAGATGCAGGCTCCGCTTCGTCCGGTGGCGTGAAGACGAAGTATGAATGGTGATCTTGAACCACGAAGTCTGTCCGGTTGGCCACGAAAGCACTGAATCGGTTCAAGTCGAAGCCATCATGGATGTATAGAGGAAGAGATGCCGCAGCCGGGTCGACCTGCCTCATGGTAGTAATCGCTGTTGAGTCTGCAAGAATGAGCCACGGTAAGGTCGTCAGCGCAAGGAACGACCTACAGAAGTCGGCCAGCTCGCCCACGTTATTCGGCTCATTGAGGATCTGGATGCCAGCGACATTCGTCACTTTGACGAGTTGCTGAGTAAGGAATGTAAGAACGTCAAGGGTCTTGTTCTTGTACACATCGTTCCCCCAGAGATTAGCTTGTCCGTCAGAGATTCCGGAATGCGGCTGTCCGTTCTGGCTACCGGGTGCGCCGTGAAGGTCGATCAGGACGCCGATGCCATATTGCGCCGCTGTGTTGATAGCGCGCACGACTCGGCTCCATGAATTCTGATAGACCGTAGAGACATTCTCGTATGGCGTTCCTTGACAGAAGTCGGGTCCCAAGGTCCAGTAGCCTATTGGCAGTCGAACAGTGTTGATGCCAATGTCTGCAAGGTATTGGAAGTCGGTATCGTTGACGAAAGTGTCCCAGTGTCGTTCAAGAACAGCGCGAGCCCCCTCGGGAGAACCCCATCCAGAAGCAATGTCTATCTCGGAAGCTTGGTCGCCTGCAGCACAGCTGAAGAGGGAAGGCGTCATCCACTGCTCATGAACGAACCTGTGAAGAGCCCACGTTATTCGATACTACTGTATGTGGAAAGTACCGCGGATCGACGCTTACCACGAGCCAAGGTTCACAGATTGCTGCTGCCTATAACGGTAGATATTGGCTTTGAACTGGTTGAAGGGTGCGAATGTTTGGGAGCCGACATCTGAAGAGTCATACGGCGGGACGTAGCAACTAGAGTTAGAAGTCCCATCGAGTTGCGTGACGAGCGGAGGAGCTGGTTGTCCTTGGAGGTCCGAGTCCGCTCCTGGCTCGTGGTTGATGTCTTGAGTGGTGGGGACCGACATTTTGTTGGTGTCGTCTTCAAAGAGTGGAAGTTTGTCGGTGAACGACCCAAATGGTTTGTATAACCCCTGCGCCAAACTAAGTCCTTGGAGGACGCCAGCGAACCCCCTGGCCGTCAAGACCATGGCGATAAAAGAGAGAAAGTAGGAGTGTGAGGAGAAAGGAACGGTCGGTGTCGTAGCCCGAGGAGATGGTAGACAACTAACCTTCTCGCTGGGATCTGGACAGACTATAGTTCGCAATCGGCGGGGGGGCTGACATTTGTCCAAAAGAGGTAATTTGTCGCGAGTGAGCCTGAGGAGCCGGGGAGAATATGAGCAGGGAATCAGCGTCGAACGGCACGGCACGGCCAAAATCCAGTTGTGGTGCGACAAGCAGGCAAGCTATGCTCGGCTCGTTGGAGGACGTGAAGGGTAGGTAGCTGGCGGTTGCGTTGTCAAGCCGTCGGACATAGACCAGCTCGGCGGACAAGCAAACCAGCCGCATGAGATTCCCACACCATAATCAACGCAACTTCGCTCGCTAAAGGAGTGCATAGAACGATCACAGGGGCAACACAGTTGGCGTACGATGATTGCTGCTGACAAGTACCGTCGACGAAGAAGAAGTGCAGCGGCAAGACATACGCGGTGGCGGTGACAGCCGTGGCGTTCTGCGTGGTGGCGCTTGGCGCTTGCGACAAGTCGTCCGAGTCTTCATCCACATCGACCAACCCAGGCTTGATCGTCGTTAGCTCATCCTGAGCTCTGATGAATGAAACGCACCATACCTCTGCAAGAGCATCCTGAGTTTTCTATCATTGACGGCTACGGATGGAGGGAGTTTAGGGTAGAAGCCCCCGGTGGGCGTAGACGCGCGGCCAGCAGGCTGCCCTCTATAGGCGGACTCTGGCTAGATGCATGCGTGGTATCCGGTGTGGCATACTGCTGGAAGGCGGTATGCTAGCCAAACGCTGACTTCAACTTTTCGGTACACAACTGACTTCGTGGTTTAGGCGACTTCAACCACCCCCGGTATGGCGGTGCTGTTTATGGTACTACTTCTATACGTGTACACGCGCTCCACCCAGATCCAGTGGGGTCAGTGAGCCATCGATCGCTTCTCCTCAAGGCGTACTTGGGAGCTAAACATTGCCTTATACAGAGTCTGTGGTTATCTTTCCTTCTATCGGTATACAACTCGAGACACACAAGGGCTTTGCAGGGGTATCTCTGCTTGCTTCCCGCAAGTTCGTCCCCTGGTCATCGTTGGAAGATTTCCTTATCAATGAGGGCTTACGCGGCTGGGACGTCCGTTACTATTGTGTCGCCATCAACCGCACACTTGAAGGTTCACTTCAGCTCGAAGTAGCATTTGAGGTCAGTACAGCATTACTTCCTTCAGTAACTACCTCTGAAAGAGTATGCAGAACATACTACCACGATTTCCCATCCTACTTGAAGTGTACCACGGGGTGCAAGAGGCCCTTCAGATCGAAATCGAGCGACGGACAGAACCATCGGTATAACATTTCAGTCAAACAGCATAGCATACTAGACTGGACGTTCGACACTAAATAAATATGTCAGTCCGACGATCAAAGCTAGCAGCGTAGTTGTGATTCATAAATAGTCATGTTGCGAGAGCACGTCATCCCCAGCCTCGCCTCGCACAACGCACTGTCCAGGGCATACAGGCATCGCCTACACCGCGTCTTCGCTCTCGTATGCGCTCAGCAAGTCGTTATAGCCCTCGTCGTCACCCTCGACCGCGGCGCTCTCCCGTTTCTGCTTCGTATCGCGCTCAGCAGAGACTTTCCGCCTGCCCTCGTTCGATAGCTTACGCGTGCGACCCTCGTTGGAGATCTTGCGGGTTCGGGCAGGTGCTTCTCCCTCCCCGCCTGAGATCTTGCGTGTGCGCCTGGACCGAGGAGACGGTGGCATGACCATCTGCGCGTCGAAGGTGTTCGCACGCGGGGTGGTCGCATTCTCCACCTCGTGATCATCCGCCGGCACGTCCAGAGTGTACGAGTGCGTAGGTAGAGCGGGCACGGGCTCCGGCGTACTTCGCGAGTTGCGCAGCGACTGCAGGCGCGGTGGGAAGCGTTTCCTGCGGAGGTTTGGGTTCTTAGAAGCAGGTTCCGTCGCGGAGGAGTCGGAAGCTTCTGCATCGCGCGCAGCCCGTGAGATAGTCGCTGATCGACGTGCAAGCTTGCTCTCAGGAGCCGGACTCGCTAACGTTATGTCGTTGCTCTCAGGGAGCACGACGGAGCCTCGTTGCCGCTGAGACTCAGGCTGTTTGACACGCACGTCATCGAACAATGTGGTCGCCGCGTCAGGTGTACCGGGAGGTGGGGAAGCGATCGTGGTTGGCGAGTCTAGAGGCTCCACACGAGCCCAGCCGCCGTGCGCGTTGTCTTCGGGGGCCGAACTTTCGGTTGGGAGACGACGGTGGGTCTTGGGTGGCGACGGAGGACTGATTGAACTTCTCGATGGCGGCCGCCTGGACACTCGTGCCATTGGGGAAGGGGATTTGTTGCGGTTTATTGGCACCACCCTGCTGGTGCTCCCGGAGTCCGAGTCAAAGTCTGATTGAGTGCCCACCCTCTTTGGGCGGAAGGTTTCCGAAGGAGAAAGAGAAGAGATCGAAGACTGGGATGCACGGTGATCAATGGAACGCTTCGCGCGCACTGACTCCACCCATTTCGACTCCGCAGATGGCGAAATGGGGGACCGTGCGGGACTCGCAGGGCTGGAGGCTCCAGTCAAAAGAGATGACGAGTTCAGTAGCAGAGGTCGAGGGCCAGAGCTTGAGCGGGAAGCAGCCTTGTCAGAGGGGAGTTTGAACGACGAAGATAGCGATCCACGGAGGCTTTGGCTCCCCATAGAGCCAGAATCGGACACAGGCGATGGTTCATTGCTCCGACTAATGGGCGAGGCTACGAATATGCTATCTCTGACCGGACGGAAGACAGCTGGTCGGGGAGGGGGCGAGTAATTGTCCGGCCGAGCGTTGAGGGGCAACGATCCCCTCTTGTCATCGGGAGGTTTAGGTGACGAGCGGGTCAGGGCAGTCAAGGAGATGCTGCGAGCGTGATCCACGATGGAAGAAAGGGAGGGCGCAGACTGAGACGCAGCGGGTGGCGGTAGAGGGCTAGGCAGAGGGGCTGGGGCTTCGGTCCGAGGCTTCGACCAGGCGTCGAGGGCTTTCACCCTCCAATTCGTGCTCACTTTAGCGAAAGTCGCCGCAGCGTCCGAATCCTTGAGCTTCTCGGCGTAGCCCCAGAACATGTTCTTCCCACGAGCAGCGGCATCGACGACTGTCTGTTTCGGAGGGACAGGGGGAGCTGATAGAGAAGGCACCAAACCCGGTGATGGCAGAGGTGAAGAGGTTGGGCTGGGTGAATGGGAGGGAACATCCACTGCGCTTTGATTGGTGATGCCGCGCCACACGGTATTCGCTAGACGTGCAGATAATGTGCTAGACTGGGGTTGAGGCGTCGGATTCTCATCATACTCTTCGTCTGTCTCCTCTTCACTCTCATCCTCCTCCTCAGGATGAGACTCCAAGCTGGACGACATGCTCTTCCAGACCGTGTCTCGGAGGCGGGCTCCAAGTCCGACAGCGCCGTTGGACGTGGGGCTGACAGTGGCTGCTCGTTGTGAAGCGAGATCGTAAGCTGTCTGCAACACCTTCTCGATGCCGCCCACAGCATCAAGAGGGTATTTCTGGAGGAACGCCATGCCCTCAATGAACGCCTCCTCGAGCTCTCTCTCGCCAAAGGCCGTGGATGGGATAGCAGTGACCTCGTCCGACCAGAGATACTGTTGCTTACGATGTCCCCTACCCAGTCTACAGCCCGGGGCATGGGTTACTGGGACAATCACGAAGGAACAAATGAACTCACTGCAGTAGGGTGCCTCGTGCTGACACTAACATGCTAGTGCATACATCTACAAGGTACTCCAGCTTTGGGTTCTCATCCCGCTGCCGCATGGGACGGGAGAACAGGGCATCCCAAACCATCAGCACAGCAGGCAGCGGTAACGTGTGGGTGAGCAGTGGGATCAGCCAACGGCTGAGAAAATGATCAGCGACAGTGACGTTAGACAGGGTGAAGCACATACAAGGAGTAGTGAGGGAGTCCGGGATCAAGCCCCTTGGTAGCCTGTACGTAAAAATGTAAGACAATGTCTTTGTGAGAGCACAAAGGCTACACACCAGATCGTCCGCAAGCTCGTCATCAGCCCATCGCAAACGGTCGCTCAACTTCTGAACCCAGACAGTGCCATTCTGCTCGTCCTCCAGCTCTGAGAACTCTCCGACCATGGACTCGAACACCCAGAACGTATCCGCCTCGACATGAGGGACATCCTCAGGATCCACTTCTTCCACAAACGCAGCATAGATGGGGACCAGCAGAGAGCCGATCTGCGGAGAGCGGTTCGCCGGGTTGAGACACGAATGGATGTACAGCAACCGAAGGAGAGCAGACGAGTGCTTGTTGTTAGCGCTGAAGGACGTGTACTGCCTCGACGGGAGGAGGGTCGTCGAAACGCCAGAGTGCTCTGAGTCCGGCACAGACAGCGTATCGTCGACCGCGTGTTCCTGCGCCTCCGTCTTGGTCGGTGAAGGCTCTTCCAGTCGAACCTCCGGAGTCGCGTCGAGCCGGATTTCGGGAGTAGTGTCTAGGCGGATTTCGGGGGTGCCATTGGAGGACGGTTCTGTCGAATCCTCCGCCTCCTTCGCGCGAATGACGCGCAGGCGAGCGTCCAAGTGGCCTGCGCAGGCGATTTTGATATCTTCTAGCGCATCCTCGTCTAGGGGGCATTGCGGACAAGGCTCAGACTCTTCTTCCAGGGTAGCCAGCAAGCTAGGCGGAACCATGGAAAGTTCGTTGAAGACATCCAGTATGGCTTGATCAGTGGACGAGAGCGGATCTATTGGGTCCGGCAAGGATGATAGCGGCTCAAGCAATCTCCGGACAAGATCCTAGCCTACACTGAGCATCTGAATTACACATGACGCGTCCTTGGACTTACGTAGTAGTTGTCCCTCTGCGTACGAGACTCCTTCCGCCATGCAGCCTTGTCCACAGGCAGTGTACCAAGAAGCAGCCTGCCCCGTGTTCAACATAGAAGGAGCCACAATCAAACATGAAGCCACTCACCGCCAAACCCGGGGACGCAACCAAGGTGGGTGTGACGGAAGGCCTGTGCTTCTCTCAATATCGCCCATCTAGGAGCTTCTCCACATACTCGTGTGCTCACCATGAGCGCATAGTCGACGGAGATTGGCAAGGTCCACCTCGTTGACAATCTCCGGGTCCACGATGGGGGACAGAGCATTCACCCTGCACGGCTCGGGCTCAGTACGCGTCCATTCATACTCCCATGACGCAAGCATGCTCTTACTTCTGTTCCGGAGATAGGTCGGGAAGCCATTGAACGTTGTATGTGCGCGCTATCCCATATAGGTACGCGTCCAGCCTCGCCGCGGTCGGTGGAGGAGCATTGACCGCTCGGAGCACCTACGCCTTCTTAGGAACTTCCTGAAGACACAGGAAGGGAATACTCACTCTCGACGACACGTGGTTATCCTGGTTCGTAATTGCGGAACGAGTGAAGTCAGGTCCCAGCGCCTGCATAAGGAATTCCCGGACATTATGGAGGTCTATGAGAGCATTACTTGACATCAGCCCATCGGGGCACGGCACACGGAACGAAAAAACTGTGGACGGCGCGCACCTTTCGACTCAATCTGCAGGCCAGCATAAATGATACTTGAAGCAGCCTCTGTCATGATAGGACTCGGCGTGTCACTGAGGCAGGGGTAGAGGCAGTGTGAGCAGGGAAGACGCGTCGGCACAAGCCCTATCATGCGCACCTCCGCTCCAGCTCGTTCAGGTGTCCCAGAATGACGCCAACGTGCATCTCCAGAGTCTGTAGCAGATCGCTCTTGACGTCCTCCTTCATCAGCTTTTGTGCCTTCGCCCGTGCCAGTGCAATGTTCCCCTGTTGTAGGAGGGTCGCGACATCTCTTTGTGTGATCTGCGCTTGGGAGTCCATCCGGTCTTGCAGCTGCCCCAACCGCTGGGCCGTAAGCCGTAGCTGGGCCTGATACGTCGTTTGACCTGAACATTCCGCATCGTTAAGCCTATACGGAACCAACACACCTTCGCTCGTCCCGTGTCCCACTGAACGGCCATAATCTCGAGCGCCTGTCGCAGTCTATGGTGGATTCGTCAAACGGTAGTGTCAAAGATGGCCAAGATCGCCAGACAGGGAGTTCGTGGGTCGCAATGGAGCCAAGCAAGCAGTATCAAGACATGAAACCGGCCTCTGACGAGTAGGTGCGAGGCCACGGCCGAGGTTCGGGAGTGAAAGAGTTTACGGGGAAGTGCGCGCACGTGGCCAGATTAATATTAAAACTGCACAATATTCTAGGCCGCGTGCCGCCCACAGCCAGCGGCGACAGTGACCGCCACCTGCTATGTGCACACTGACATCCTGACAGCGCGTCAAAATAGGTAACCTGACTGGTGTGCTCATCGTAGAGACGTATATGTTCATAGGATGTCAGTATCGATACAGCTTAAGCTACACATGCATATAATACATTAATACGCCCAAGGCGCAGGCTTGGAGAGTCTTCCTGAAGACCTCGGAGAAGAGTCATCGCCGGTTTCATCAGCAGGCTGGGAGGGTGGCAGTGCCATTGCTATTAAGCGGGCATGGGAAGATGATCGTGAGTGTCCATGGGATGTCGAGGGAGATGGCTGATGGGACGGTGGACGTGCCGAAAGCGGCTGCGATGGCTGGCGGACAGATGTCTGTACAATTAGTGATGGGCGTGAGATGTGCGAGGTCCGAGGCGATGGCTGTGATGAAGAGTATGCAGACGGGATCGACAGCGGTTGTGACCACCGTGTCGACACGACCCGAGACGAATGCGAAGCCGCTGACGTATTAGACGACCGCGGATTTGACAGATATGATGGCGTTGGAGTGGAAGGTATGCGCTGTTGGTGAGGTCGATATATCGGCTGATTGGGCTGAGGTGGGGGATGGGAATGGGCCGGCGGCTGCGCACCAGGCGGGAGCGGAAGTGGATGTGGGGGCCGCTGCAGTGGCGGAGGAGGCGGCTTGCGCGACGCCGGCAGCACGTTGCTGGCGTTGGAGGACAGCTGCATCTCCGGACCCAATGAAGGGCGTCGAGAGGAAGGTAACATCATTGGCAGCTCTGACAAGCGCTTCTCAGACAGCTCCTCGTCGGGTTTCTTTCGATCGTTATGCCACATGCGATATGTTACGGCCAGGAATGCCGCGTACCATATCACTGCACAGGATTGTTTGAGTGGATGGATGGATGATCAAAATTCGAAAACGCACGTAGAAACGGCACGACCCAGGCACAGGCCACTATCGCGATATTGACACTGCGACAATCTCTACGTTGTGATGCTGGAAAGACTATATGTCAAACACGTCACACGAGCGAAGAGCCTGAACGCTGACCATCTGCGGGGCATTGAAAAGTCGCGTTCCAAATGGTGAACAGCAGTGCAGTTCCTGCTGCGTGTCAGCAACAGGGCTATACGGAGAAGTCTGCATGCAGACAGGTAACACTCACCGATGTGTATCATTAGGAGAAAGAGCAGTCTAGCCGCGTCCAGCCACGCTCTGAACTGGAAGATAGACCTGTACGCAAAGTAAGTAGATTATTGAAGTACCGTACCTCTCGTACTCACAAGACTGGTAGCATGATCGCCGTGATAGCGTTTATGAATATGAGTATGGCCACGAGGTTCCCTGGCGGCACAACGGGTGCACCTTCGTCAGCTCGCGCCCAAGACCGACGAACAACCTTGCTCACTCTGGGCCGCATCGGAACGGTCATAGAGCACGAATATCTCCACAGACAAGAGCACGACCCATAGCACGCTGACAAACGTGGTCAAAGCTAGCCACGACGGTCAATCCAACCACCCGGCTCATCGAGATGCGAACGAGACTCACCGAACACCCCCGTTCTCACTCTGCGGAATCCTGGAGATAGCTCCATGCGTCATAAGGTATTGCAGAGGCCTGCTGGTCGTGAAAAGTCTTGAAGGAAACGAGAGGACAGCGTTACGAGCCGACTAGGGCGGTTAGCCGTGGACTGAAGAATAGAACGCGGCCAGGCGGGAAACTAGAACCAAAGCGCGAGGCGGCCACAGACCAACCTCGGACAGACCGTCAAACAGGAGAGCTCTCAGAGCCAGGGGGCGCGGCGGAGGAAGGAAACCGCAACAGAGACACCGAGCTGAACAAGGTCTCGAGGAGAGATCGAGAGAACGTGCCAACCCCACGGTGGGGCCTCCTATTATCGCGCGCGTTTTCCACGGTGGAGCACACCAAGGCGGGCACTCAGCTTATTCTTCTGCGCACAAAGGGAGCCATTCGCCAAGCGCACGTCTATTGAGAGAACAAGGCGTGGCGTCACACGCGGCGCGTCCCACAAACACGCCAAGAGCGCCTGTCACATCCAACCTTCCTATTGTGCTCACGTGCTGGTGGGGTCCAGAGCCAAAACCCTAACCTCTCTGTGCAGTCACGGTGTGACGGCCCTGCTCCAGGCCCACGAAGTTCGTAGGAAGGAACGGTGCGTGGTGCGAAGGGGGGTTAAGTGAGGCGTTTGCGCCCGCAGCCTCGCCGTGTTCGTGCACAGTGGATCGAGGTCGTTTGTGGCGCAGAAAACGGTGATGGCGACACGGATCGGAGGCTCGAGCTAGTAGCAGATGACCGTGACACCCCGCTCGCAAGCTGTCATTGGCTGGCTGGCTGCTCGACGCTGAGTGGCCAGTCGCTTGCGTCGGAACGCCAATCCGCCAACGAAGACCGAGCAGAAACGACTCATCACCGATTATTTTCAATAGACTATCATATTGTACGATAAATGACTCTGTATGGAATGTATGTACTTAATGATACAGTATAACATGCGGAAACGCGAATGTAGAGGCAAATGGGGACGTCGATGCGGATATGAAGATAACAACAGAGCTTGAATGGAAGATACGTACGGACCACGACGGCGATAGGGCTGCAGCAGTAGTGATATGAGCAGTCGTACATGATAAGTTAGCTATATAAGGGCGTTCGGTCTGCTGACCGGGCGACCGGGCACGCACGAGGCTCGTGTGCCCCAGAGATTGCGCGGCGCGACATGGAAATGCCGCGCGAAAACACGATGACGTCGCAGGAAGGTCGACTCAGTGGTGCACCGCACAATGAGCCCGCGATCCGGTCTGACCGCTGCTTCGACATATCCATAGCTCGGCGGGTTTCCAGATGTCTCACCCGCTGAGTTATAATAGCGGCCGACCGTGTGTCCCAGAGGAAGGGTCTACCCAAGAGAGGCTGCAGCCTGCTCCAAGCCACCTGAAGGATATCCACGCTGGACGCTCCGTGGACTCTAGCTTGGACTAGGTGGCGGCGGGCGAGAGAATGTAGCCGCACTCCGTCCGACAGGGGGCGACACCGTCGCCACAGGCTGCCGACTTGGCTCACTCTGGGAGGCCGGAGAGCCGGCGAGAACGGCAGTCGCGAATGCCTGCACCTCGTGGGAGCTATCCTGTGCCAGATCTCGCGCAAACGCGACAGTCTTAGCAGCGACGTCGCTATCGCCGCCGCCGAGCTTGTCTGGAAACGGAAGACCAATCAGTATCGTCAAGCGTCGATCAGATCGGACGACGAATGACGAAACTTAGCTAGCTGGATATGAACGCTGATGTGCTCACCGGAAATCAGACCCAGCAGCCGTGCCACGCGTATGCGGACGTCGACAATCGGATCCCGAACGAGTGCTGAGAGCGTCTCCCAGAACGTCTCCCCCCGGACGGTGACGTCCCCATGGTCGGACACCACCATCTCCTGCACGCACGTCACATACGTCATACGCCGGCGGAACGAGTCTGAGCCGGCGAATGCTCTAATGTCGGCGACCAGCGCTTCGACTAGGGTCGGGGAGTGCTTCCACGCCCTCAGGAAGACAGGCAGCTGCAGAAAATTTCACGTTAGGCGCAAGACGCAGCGGTCAGCCCCGACGACCCTGAGCACTCACCACAGACACGGCGGCCTCTCTGACGGCCGCAACACGGTCATCCAGCGCTTTGACCAGCATCGTCTGCAGCACGCCGCTATCCACGCCTTCCACCTCCACCACCCCATCCAGCGCCTTCACCGCCCTCTCCCGTTCCCGCCACGAGGACAGCTTACCCGAGGAGAACGCCTCCTCGAGGCCCCGCACGACTTCCACACGCTGCGGGTGTGCGAGAGCGCGTACGAACGCGGGAAGCGCTTCGACGATCTTCGTACGCACCTCGCCTTCCGCCGCGTGCAGACTCGACCAGAAGACGCTCATGAGGTCGGCCGCTGCGTGCTCCTCGCCGATGATCTTGGCGATCTCCCCGAGGGACGCGGCGAGGGTTTTCCGGATTTTCAACGACGGATCCTTGGCGAGCGACAGGTACAGCGAGCGCAGCTCCGGCCACCGGCGCTGGCCAAGCGTCAGGGCAACCGCGGGATAATTGAATGCGCAAATCAGAGGCCGCTGCGGATCGTCGTAAATATCAGGGCCGCCACCTGCGTCAGTGCCGTAGTCGCTCCAAGCCGAGCTCGTCGCGGACGTCGAGGTGGCTGAGCGGAGTGGCGTCGCTTGTACCTCCCGGGGCGTGACGTCTCTTTCGACGTCGGGTAGTGGTACGCTACCTGACGGATCGTCCGTTGTTCGCACCCCAAGGAAAAGGTTGAGCAACGCTTCCGGAGGACCGTCCTCGTCGTCCGCGAACGTGTATATCACTTCGCCGAGAGCCTCCAAGACAGCTGACCTCACGGTCGCCTCTTCATCTTGCGACAGCGGAACTATAACCTCCAACGCAAGTGTTCGGCGGCGCTCCGGAGTCAACCGCGAGAGGATGGCCGGCAGCGCAAACAACACGGAATGGCGGACGTGCCACGTCGCGTCGTGGCAGAGAGACTCGAATAACGGAAGCTATGGACCCCAACCATAATCAGTCCCATGATCGTCCCGAACGGCAGCGTCTCTCTCTCAGGTGGTTTATTTGACTCACCAATGACGACGTCACGACCTCGACCGGCACGACCTTCGCAAGCGCACCGACCGCGAAGCTCGCCTCCCGACGGACCCAATACACCGAATCTCGTCCGACCCGTTCGACCTCGGCTACGAACGCCCTCTTCGTGTCTTCCCCAATCGAACCTGCCCAGTGCCGTCTTCTCAGAATTTCTGCCAAAATAAAGATAAACAGCCGAAAACCGCTCGCTTACCGCTCGCCGTCACTGCCGCCATCAAACTCATGCTAGACAGTCGCCCGACCGCCGCCTCCTCGCTGAGATCAGCCCCTTCGTCCATATGCTGCTGCTCCTCCAACGCGGCCAATTCTCTTGCTGCGGACCCCGGGCTGAGCCATCCAGAGCTCAAAATCTGCTGTCGCGGGGGTGACTCGCGCAACGGGCTGGCGCTCGGCGCCTGCACCATTAACGTCGGTATACTAGAGAGCGGCATTGTCGACTCCGCCGAGACCGGCACTGGACTAGCAACGGGCGGAGGAGGCGGCACCTCGAACGGAGGTGTGGTCGGGAGCGCAGCAGGCCGGGGCAATGCACCGGGCGTCGTCCAATGCGCTTCTTGCGTCATCGCAAACGGCATCTTTGGGCCGGAAGGCGTGGAGGCGAGTTCGTCCCCGCCGGAGCCGTCGTCCGATGCAGACAACATGCTCGTCAATCCGAGGCTGAAGCGATCCGGTTCGCTCGGCTCAACAGTGTCGGAATAGTCTCCTGATGAGGACGAAGTAGATGACGTCAGTGACGGCGTGGACGCTGATGAGTGGCCGGGAGATTCCTCCATCGGAGATGTCGACAAGACGGGCGGTGATGGCGAAGGCGCAGGTGAGAGCGTGGTGGTGCCGACTGCAGTCGTGTCGACGGTGGACACAAGCGGGGAAGGAGCTGGCAGCGCGGACGACCCCGCAAAAGACATTCCAAGAGCAGGAGCGGGGGGGAAGTAGGACTCGGGCTCGGAGGTGAGCGCGATAGCCTGTGGTGTCGGGACGGCTGTGGACGCGTCCCACTCGGATGGCGTGTCGGGAAAGTCTTCTTGTTCATGGTCGTTCCGATGGTCATCCATGTCTAGGCGTCCCATGCCAATGACTACTTGGTAGACAAGCTCTCGTTCGAACAGCCGTCGCTCGTTCTCTTGGAAGAGCCCGAGGTCTAAGGACTCTGCACTGTCCTGATAGGATGCCTGAGACAACGCTGGGCTCACGGGACGGGACGGCTGCTGTGGATGCAGCGACTCGGCAGTCTCGCTTTCAGCTTCACTGGGCTGTTCACGCTCGTCGGCGCGCCGTAATCTTCGGAGGAGTTCCACGACGGCGTACCGAGCGGAACCACCGACTATGCCGTTCGGACTGAGGAGCAAAGTGCCCAAGATGGGCGTGAAAGCCTGTACAGGAACCACAGTCGGCGCATCGTAATCGTGCTCGTGCTCGTGCACGAGGATGCTGCCGTCCCCAGAGCTCGCGGGAACATCTTGAGCACCGGTATTCGACTCGGGACGCGGGGTTAGCAGATGCGGGAGAATCGAAATGCTCTCGTCCGCCGAGGGGGCAACAGAGGAGAGCGGGGTCGGAGCCGGAGGCGAGGGGGGAGCCGGGGGGTCGTCTTCGACCAGCCTGCAGTGTGTAATGAACCACCATATGATGGGAACGAGTTCGGCCGCTAGCGCTTCTTTAACGGCTTCATCTGTCCGCCACAATTGATCCCGACCCCAAATGTTGTTAGCGGGGCACAGATATTCCGTCGACCATAATGAGCGGTAACGGTGCAGTGGCGTGATTGGCCAGTACGAAAATTCAAGTCGTCAACAAACAACCATTGAGCGCCGATGAGACGTTTTGAGGGGAAGAGAACAAAGCGCATGTGAGCGTTCGCGGGAACAAGGCGGTCACCACAATTCGTACACGCACCTTCGTCCATCGCGAGACCGTTGAGCAGCGGAAGAACATACTCGACTGCTTCACCTGGGGTGATCTGCTCAATTATCTCTCGGCTGGGCATTTCGGCAGTTGCGGGCTCAGCACCCAGCAGGTACTGCGGAAGAGCATGGGCGATGAACACCCTGTGGAAGCTAGCTCGACTGCGCGAGAAGAGATAGATTTTCTCCAAGGCGCTGCAGCCCTCTGTGTCAAACTCGGTGAAGTCAATATTGGGATTCGGCTCCGACGCGGGCAAGTCCACTGTCGCGGCCGAAGCCGGGGGCTCTGCATTCGCTCTCGAAGGTCCAGGGTCGAGGGTAGCCGCGAGAGACGTCGCAAGAGGGTCGTGGACGAGCTGCGAGAGCAGCGGAGGCGAGGGCGTCGCCGTAGAAGCTGTCGGATTCGGAAGCGGGAGGGAGATACGTAAACCGACTTGGCCACCTTCTCCGGCGCTAGTGAAGCTGGTGAGTTGGATGTGCTCACCGGCGGCCCATCCCTTCCTGGACGTGTCCTCTACGTACCGCAGGGAAGGCGGGACCGGTGGAGGGGGCTGTGAAATTTCTGGGGACCGAGAACCGCCGGCGCGCGGGGCATGCGGTGGCTCATATGGGCCTGTCGAGCTGCGGGGAGAGACGGAGTCTAGAGGGTTGGAACGCTGCTCTGCGGGGGACGATCTAACGCGCAAGGGGGATAGGTTGGCGCGAGAAATAGGCGCGAAGGGGCCGAGGACGGGCTGAGGCGAGAGAATACCGATGCCGACTCCGTGGGGGGAGTATGCGCGCGTGTCCAGGGGCGGAGACGCGATGAGCGAAGACTTGGGGCTCGTCGGGGGAGATGGGTCCGGGTCTTCGTCCTCTGGATGCGATGGGGGTGTGGCCTCGGGAACATCGGGGGCAGGAGAGGAGGAGCGAGAGTCGTCGTCGGTGGGTTCGGGGGTGGGTTCGAACTGTGAGGACATGAACAGGGACGGAAATAAGATAGAAAGGAGGATTCCCATGAAACTAGCGGGAGCGAGTCAGCAACGAAAGGAGCGTGTGTGAGACGGAGGACGGGGGTGGGGAGGACGGAGCACGCACGACGAGGCACGGGGAACGGGGGAGAGAGAAGAGAGGACGGAGGCCTGGGAAGTGCCGGGACGGGGGTAGAAAAGTCAGGGCCGAGCACGAGGAAACGGGCGGCAGCCGGAGGAGGGAGGGAGGGAAGATATGACGCAAGAGGGCTGGGGAGAGAAGCAGGGCAAGCTGGGCGCAGCAGAGAAGTGAGCGGGAGGCAGCATATAGGACAGCAGTCGTCGCGGCGCGAGGCGTGTTGGGGGGGACTGGGCAGTCAGGCGGGTGCGGTGGAGAGGCAAGAGGTGGGCGGGCGTGGGGGGTCGGGTCGAGAGAGGGTGTGCAGGGGCATGCACAGCGCAAGAGGTGGAGTGGGCGAGGAGGCGGGGGCGTGGGCGACGGCGAGGGCGACGGCGAGGGCGACGGCGAGGGCGAGGGCGACGGCGACAACGAGGGCGACGGCGGGGTACGGCCAGAATTAGGCAGAGGACGGGCGGAGAGGAGGGGCAGGCGTTGGGCAAGCGAGTGGTGCTCTGTATGAAAATGATGCGGAACGATGCCTCTCGTCCGAGCCATCATGCCCATGATGTCACTCGTCCTTTCCGGCCTAGACTCGTCCCCAGGAACATAACGTCATTTCCCACGCTCCTTCTATTCTACAAATCTCGACTGCTAATCCGTTTCTCCCGGCCCCGTCCCTACACCCTACATCCCCTCCTGCCCGCTCACAACTGCCCTCGCACGGCCTTGTCCAGCGACTCCGCAAAGTACCGGATGTTGTGGCTGTTCAGCCCCGCCATCGAAATCCGTCCGTTTGCGGTCAGGTAGATGTGCGCCTTCTCCACCAGCGCCTGGCTCTGCGCAGGGCTAATCCCCGTGAAACTGCAACAAAAAACGAAAACAAGGTTCATGTCAGCGTGCCGCGCCGCTATCATGCCGCGCTCGCTTCTTGATTCGTCCAAAACGCTTTCCCTCCTCTGCATCAACGACCTCCTCCGGCAACGCCCACCCTTCCATAAGTCATCATCGACAGCCTGCCTCCTCCCGGAACACTTGATGCTCCAAGTCCGCCAGCACCAGATCGCGCCTTGCACGGCCGGCATGCGCCTCCGAGCCCCCATCTTCGCCGCGCACCGTGTGCAACACACACCTTGGCCTTCCCACTCAGGCCTGAGCTCACACACCATATAAGCCCGCTCGCCCTCTTCGCTTCCCACCACGTGAAGGGACCCATGCGGCCCGGCTCCGACAACGTGGCTCGCAAATCGCAGCTCACCGGCACGGCGCCGAGCACGACCTGCTCCTTAGATGCCACCCGGACACACAGGAGTCCACGACAGCTGCACAGGCACGCGCACACCACCCGCAGCCTATTCCATCATCGCAGGCACGTCGCCGCCCCGCATCCGGAGGCGAATCTCAGTCGTGACAGAAACGAATCGCGCACGTACCTGAACATCCCGATCTGGTTCACAATGTGATCCCAGTTCCCGGGCGTCTTCAGCTCCTCCGTCAGCAGCCGGTGCAGCTCCTTGCGCATGTCGATGATACGTCCTGCCATCGTCCTGATGTCGCGCTTCCACTCCTCAAATAGCTCGCTGTTGTTCAGGATGAGTGATACCTGTAATCAGGCGCCCATAGCCAATGTATCAGTGAAACACGAGGGAGACGGACAGGTTGTCGCTCGGAGTCGGAGAAAGAAGCTTACCAGGCGCGCCCCATGGGCAGGAGGGTTGCTGATCTCAGACCGAGCCAGCACCGACAGTTGGCTCTTGATCCGGACCGCGGCCTCTTTCGAAGGGGACACGACGTGCAGCGCTCCGACACGCTCACCATACAGACCGGCGTTCTTCGCGAAGCTCTGCGGGCGGCAACGCCGGTGCGCGACGTGAGCTTGCTTTGACGCGGTGCTGTATAAGCTTCGTGACACACCTGGCAGACCAGCAGCGGCACATTCCTCCTGACAAACTCCCTCACAGCCCAGGCGTCGTTGTCGAGGTCGCCGCTCGCAAAGCCTTGATACGCGCAGTCGAAGAAGGCAAAGTGGCCCTTCTCGAGCAACACGTCCGCAATCTGTCCCCATTGCTCCCGCGTCGGGTCAACACCGGTGGGGTTGTGAGCGCACGCATGGAGCAGAAAGACCGAGCGGGGCGCGGCATTCTTGAGCGTCTCGAGAAAGGGTCCGAACGCGAGGCCAATGGTTTGCGGGTCGTAGTAAGGGTATGTGGACACTGGGATGCCGGCCAAGGGGAAGATCTGGTGATGGTTCACTGCGACCCATCGCTACGTCAGCCATCCATCCAACAGGCAGACCGCAGCGGTGCACGGCCGTACGGCCGCGACGCGTAAGGCGGGGATTGCGCGGGGATACAGAAGACGACCTACCCCACGTTGGATCGCTCACGTAGACACGCTTGTCGTTCCAGCCGTAAAACCTGCTCAGGAAGAGCGCGCCCAGATGGTTCGCGCCAGTCCCAGAAATAGTCTGGACGCTAGTAACGCGCTCCTCGGCGATCACAGGCGAGTCGCTACCAAAGATGAGGCGCGCCGCAGCGGAGGTGAATTCGGGGAGACCGGTGATAGGCAGGTATTCGTGATCCAAGGCAGGATCCTTGACGAGGATATCCGTCGCCTGAATAGACACGGTCGGCGTAGGTTGATGAAGAGCGTCGGAGCAAGCAAAGGACCCACCTTCTTCACTACAGGCAGCACCCACGGCTTATCGTTGTCATCCCGGTAAGCACCAACTCCTAGGTTGACCTTGTTGGGGTAGGTATCCGCCTTGAACGCAGCAGTCAACTTGAATATACTACGCGGCTCGTTTCAGTGTACATTCGACGCAAGGAAGACGCGCTAGACGCGTACGCATCGGGGGGCGCGAGGGGGACCTCGGTCCATCGCTCTGTAGCGGGATGAGTGCATGACATTCCTCCGCCCACCGATTGGCGGATGGGCACGACGCGAACGGGAAAACGCACCAGCAGACACGGTTTCAGACATCTTCGATTGCAGGTGGTCCGCGACTTGTCTCAGTCTGGTCGCCATGGCGCGCGAGAGTGGTAGCAGTAAGCAAGAATGTATGGCTGATGCCCCGCGCCGTAGCGCCAGTCCTATAAATCCGTCGGGCTCACCTGTGCTTTCGACCGAGAGGCAGAGGAGCGGAGGGGGCGATCTCGAGTCAATGCCGGATGCACGTGAAATCCCGCTTGTTCCGAAACGTCCCTGAGCGTTGTCGGTCAGCTTTATCAGCCGTGCGGGGTATGGGGTATGTCTGGTATGTACCAACGAGTCCGAAGATGCAACAGATCTAGAGCTGTCCTGGAATCCGTTGCGACGAGACGCAAGAGTTTGGAGAAAATTCGGATGGGGTGCAGACCTGACTCTTATAGTCGGACCGGGCGGTGCGATTAGGCAATTCGACTTCCGTCTTTGGTTGCGGCGGCTTGGTCCCCAAGCTCAACGACCGCTCAAAGTCCGGATCCCACCGGCGCAATAGGTGTAGAGGTGTTACGACCCTCTTACGAACGAAGACCTCATGATACGAGTAACCTTGAGCGTGGATCCGTCTGGGCAGGCGTAGGCCCCATCGATTGACAGGATGGCGACAGAGACCAGGACGTGGGATGAGCGGGAATCGACCTTTGTACCTCACATGCACCGTTGCCGATTGGACGAGCGACGCTTATTCGTCAGGATGACTTCACTTCCTCACACAAGCACTCGAACATGTGTCGTGAATGCAGACTCTACATTATGATACCCGAGAACATATGGAGACAAGGATGGGCGCCGATGTAGCAGATGATGCACTGTGAAGGGGTGAATGGGAGTGGCGACATCGGGAGTTACGAGGTGGGGAAGATAATATGTGGTATAACATGTCCATGTCATGAGGGCCCGGAATAGCGTCATTAACATAAGAGGCAGATGAAGAAGTTGTGGTAGAGGGCCAGGGGGAATGGCATGGCCTACGCGCCCCCAGTGATCGGGTTGCGTGGCGTGGGGGCTGCGGAAGGGAGGGGGAGGGTAGGCTGGTTATGCCGCCGCCATCTTGGAGGCAACAGTCCGCTCGCTCTCCAACTTCGCCTTGTTCTTCTCAAACGCCTGCTGTCGACAACTCTCCAGGTTCTGGCACTCGTGGTGCTCAGGCATACGATGCTACAAGGAGGGGGAATGGGTCCTGACATTAGCTTGCGCAACTAGGACCTGGAGAACGGATGCTACGCACTGTGCCACAGAACTCTAAGCGACAGTGGGGACATTGCCCGACTATACGCAAGACAGCTTGGTTGCAACGGGGTTCGGACTGGAGCTGGCAACGCTTCTTGGCGGGCATGATTGATCAAGAAGTCGTGAGATACGGAGGGGGTTGTCGGACAGGTCTGAGAGATAGCAACGGTCAGCAACGGATGTCTTGAGCAACACTGGCCGAGGCCGACTCACACGACGGGCGGGATAGTGAGATATGCGCGAGAGGTGGTTGGAAGGGACCGGTGCAGGGAGGGAGAGGACTTATATAAGGGGACGATGGGGACGCGTCAGCTCGAGATATGGATCTGAGATCTCGCGTGGCGGCGTCGTTGCTTGAGATTACAAAGATCCCCTTCCCGATCCGTCACCAAAGTGTCGAGCGCTATCCCCGCTTTTTGGCTGCTCCGTGCGCAGATTGCACGGTCTTCCGAGCTCCAGCCCTCCGTCGCTCCCAGGTTCGTCCCGATCACGGTCCCAGATGTGCTTAATCACCGCTGGCTGCTATACGTCTCAAAACGACTCTCGGAAGGAAATCGGATATGGAGGCCCCCCTGTGTGCATCTACTTGCCCGGTGTCACGCAACAACCGCCGTACGGGCTGCTGGGTCGGAGGCGGTGCGTACGAGCATCCTGCCTGTTCCGGGCCAGACAAGAAATGAGGCCCCGGCCAGGTAACGGCGCATATCCACAACCGGACGTGTTCCTTCCCCTTGCGACGTCCGCATCCCGCAACCGTCCAAGTCCACTCCTACTGTGTCCTTCCGCCGTGCTCTCCGTGCCGTCGACGGAACGGGCAGTTGTAATATAGTCACTGTCCCCGAAAATTGTTCCGTGGCCTAGAATGCCCCGTGGAGCAACATAAACTGCCTCAATCGAGCAATCTGCGGTGGAGTGCAGATCAGCCGTCCTGCTGATACCGGGCGTTCGCACAGAGCACTCGTTCCTGCCACACGGCCTACACGCAGTCGCCCACGCTTCCTGCACGCGCTCCCCCTGTTCAGGCTTCGAGATACGCCGTTCGTCGCTCCGACTACCGGTTTCGGATGGTCGTCGGTGTTCGTTTAGATCGAAGAGGGGATTGCACACTACGATAGGGGTATCATTCGGTCAAGGTGAGAACAATACGACGGCAATGGATATATACCATTGTAAGGCTGGACTGCCGTAGATCCATCGCCAGTAGAAGACACAGCGGTATAGATAGGTATGGCGTAGCGCGAGGACGGCAAGAGGGGAGCAAAACGTACATGGCAGGCAAGGGCACCCTGCAGGCGTGCTCCTCCTGTATCGTAACGCCAAGTCCGGTCAATGATGTAACTAGCGAAAATGTCCCTAAGTAAATGGAATGTGACATAGTGAAGCAATCATCTAGTTCTTGTGCTGATTCTGCAACACGACGACCGCAACCACAATAGCGATGATAATGATGATGATGAGACAGAGGATGAAGCAAATCCACCGCTTCTTGCGCGCTGCACGCGCCGAATTGACAGCCTTGTTGGTATAGTTTAGGCTGCATAACCGTTAGCTAAGATTGTGCATAGGAGTAGAATCCGTCACTGACCCTGTCTCGACGTCTTTCTCAACCTCCTTGACGGTGTCGTTGATCACAGTGATCTGCTCGTCTTGCTGTTCAACCAAGATGCTCATCTGTAATGGGACGCTTGAGTATACATTTGTCCATACGCAACAACATGGAAGGCATGCTCACATCATTAAACAGTTGAGCAAGTTCTGTCAGTGTCCGCTCAATCTTCTTGATGTCCGCGTGACGTTCCTGCACTTCCCGGTACGCGGACCGAGCCTCGCCGTAACGGTTCGAGTTCATCAACGCCTGGCTGAAGATCTGACCACCTTGATCATCATCAACGACAGCCTTGACTTCCTCTGGAGACGCATCGGGCTTGACTGCAGACGAGTCAGCAATAGTAGACGATCAACGCGTAGCAACGTACCAATCTTGTACTGGCGCTCCAGACGTTGCTTGTACCGTTGCCGGTACTGCTGCTCGACGGTCTGGTAGTTTTGAATCGCCTCCATGAACTTCTGCTTCACCAGACCAGTCTAGAACATCATGTTACTCGTAAACACCACGTTCAAAGCATCGATGGCCCCATAACACCTACCTGCTGCTTCCGGATCTCCCCATTTCTACCAGTACCACCCTGTTTCTGCAGCGCTTTGATCCTCCGCCGGAGCACGTCGCTGAGCGCGCTGGTGTCCGCGACGAGGTCCTCAAGCTGCTGGTTAACGCGCTGGCCCGCCACATCGTCCGTCGTGTTGAGCGAGCGCGAGTGCAGGTCGGAGATGCGGTTGACGTTGTCGTTGAAGGTACGGATGTCATCTTGAATGGAAGAGATCTGCGTATGCATCCCCACATCAACATGCCTGCATTCCCACGTTGCGCCAAGGTACCCATGTCCTGCCAAGCCTCCTACACTACGCAGCGAGACAAGAGCGAGGGAGGGGTACGGAGCACGAACGCACCTCGCTGTAGAAAGCGGTCATGCTGTCCGCGCCGCCGGTGAGGTTCGTCGTGCTCGGCACGGCCGCGGCCTCGTATGCCGTCGGGCCGTCATCCTGCTGGGCGTACGGGTTGTTCTGCCGCGCGCGCGAACGGTAGTCGTTGGTGCTCTGCATCGGGTACGAGTCGCTGTCGTCATATCGCAGCACACGCCGCCAAGTCAGCACGCCGCAAGGGGGAGGCACGCTAAGCGAGAAATGGACCTACGAATTGGTGTACCCGCCTGCACCACCCTGCTGCTGGGCCTGGACGTCGGGACATCAGCACCATAACGACAACACATACCGGGCGTGCATCGCGCGTATGTGCCACCCGCAACGCAGGCGAGATATATGAAACGGATAGGGAGCTCACCCGTAGTGCTGCGAGTCTGTCTCTGGCCATGGCGACAAGATATGGGAATTAGAGGAATGAATATGGGCTGTACTGATGCCTTCTGGTGTCTGCGAACGACGAGCGACGGCAACACTCAATGCTGCGTCCGGAGGGAGCTGGCAGAAGAAAGCAAAAGGTGTAAAAGGGCTTAAAGATGAGCGGTAGGAGGTAAGGACTGGCGGGACCTGCGGACGCAGAGGGGCTGGGAAGGGGAAGGGGGGCGGATGGCAGGGCTGTGTTGAGTTGGCGGTGTGGCGTCCCTCGATTCCAATTCAATCCGGTGATTGGCGCTTACTGACAGCGCCGTGTCTAGCTATAGTCTCAGACAGCAGCTACCGCCTTTGCCCAATGGACATACATACCGAGGTGGACCGGAGTCGTACGGATATGCTCGAGCCGCAGTCGTCCTGCACTTCTACCGATACTCTCATCTCAACTAGCTACTGTACACTCTACTACGTGCAGGTACATTTTTTGTGTTAGGCTTCAGTTCGCGATAGCACTGCGAAGCACCGAGATCTGCCTCTCCAGCATCTTGCGGCTCGGCCCGCCAATCGACTGCCGCCTCTCCACGCTCGCCTCAAAGTCGAACACCGCGAGGACGTCCTCGTCGAACTTCTCGTGCAGGCTCCGGAAGTCCTGCAGCGTCAGCTCGTTGAGCTGGCACTGCCGCGCCTCCGCGAGCGCGACCGCCCGGCCTGAGACGTGATGGGTCTCGCGGAACGGAATCTAGAGCGAGGGCGCACCCGACACGGCCGCGAGTAGAACACGACGATCAGCGGACGGCGCAAAGACGGCGTCGGTTAGGAACGGCTCACCCCCTTCCGGACGAGGTAGTCTGCGAGATCCGTCGCGAGCACGTCCATCGTCAGCGCTTTGAACATCTTGTCGCCGTGCACCTAGGCAGCATGGCGGTCAGCCGCAGTCGTGCCATGAGCTCACCACGCGTCGTACCTCCATGGTAGCAATGACGCCCTCTGCGATCTGGAACGACGCTGCCACGGTGTCGACAACATCAAACAGTGGCTCCTTGTCCTCCTGCAGGTCCTTGTTATACGTTGATGGCAGGCCCTTGTACGTCATCAAGAAACCAGACATCTACAAGCCACAAAGTGAGTTGGCACTTCAGCTGAGCGGTATGAAGGTCGCGAGTAGGACGACGTACGTTTCCGAACACGCGTCCCGACTTGCCTCGAAGGAGCTCTAGGGAGTCGGGGTTTTTCTTTTGTGGCATGATGCTCGAGCCGGTGCTCCAGTGCGTACGTATCCTTCATCTCACGTCCTCGAGGCAGGTGGAGCACAACACTCACCTGTACGCATCGCTGAGGGTAATAAACCCAAACTCGGCGGTCGAGTAGATGATGAGGTCCTCAGCCATCCGGCTGACGTGCGTCATCGCCAAGCTCGCCCACATCATGAACTCGGCGATGAAGTCGCGATCGCTCACGCCGTACATGCTGTTCTCCGCAACGGAGTCGAACCCAAGCTCCTTGGCGAGGAACTCCCTGTCCACGGCAAAAGGGTTGCCCGCGAGCGCGCCAGAGCCGAGAGGCAGGACGGATATCCGGGGGATGAGTTGTTGGAGCCGCTCCAGGTCTGCACGGAAGGAGAACGCGTGCGAGAGCAGGAGGTGGGACCACCGGATCGGTTGTCCTCGCTTTATGAGGTCACTTGAAAACGAAACCGTTGGAAAGATAGGCGAAGTTTACGCACCTGGAGGTGGGTGTATCCGGGCATAAGGATGTCCTGCTCCTTGTCTGCACGCTCCACCATCACACGGATGAGATCCTTGAGACCCTTTTCGACGGTGCGCACCTCTCCCAGAAGCCATAGGCGCATATCAGTAGCGACCTGGTCGTTTCGCGAGCGCCCGGTATGGAGCTTTCCTCCAAGGGGCCCAATGAGCTCGGTCAGTCGACGCTCGTTCGCTGTGTGGATGTCTTCGTCGTCAGGCTGAGCTTCAAACTGACGGCAGGGTCAAGACCAGGGGACGAACGCGGAGTCGATCATATAATGCTCACCGTGCCCTGCTCCCACTCCTTTCCTACCGCTGTGAGGCCGTTCACGATCTTTTGCTGCTCATCCTGGGTCAAGATGCCAACGCGCGCGAGGCCCTTCGCGTATGCGATGGAGCCAGCAATGTCTGCTGCGTGCATCCGTTTGTCATATCGCAGTGACTGGTTGAATTCATGCATGCTGGTTATGATGATATCAGTCGGCCGCCCATCTAATCTACGCGGTGGGTCCTACAGAGGGTCCGTTTTGCCAGTGAATCGACCTCCCCATAGCTTCTGTTTGGTCGGCAAGTTAGACATGTCTGCCTGCTCGTAGGGCTTGTGCGCAGAGGAAATGCCGGCGGGTGCGTGCGGGGATGAAAGTGGAGAAGAGGGCCAGCGTCGAGAAATCTGAATAGCATCTCAGATCTCGATCTCAGTATGACTCGCGTAGATCGCGCGTCCAGCGCGACGCGTGGTGGGCGCTTCATTGACCCGGATGGGAAAGAACTTAGAGACATATTATCACACGATCAGAGAGAGCAGGTATAGCAGATTATGTAGTATCACAGGATGTAACGTAGCATTGGTTCTCAGGAATAGGCACTGCATAAATGTATCATGGGTGCAGAGCATTGATGACCATGAAAGACACGGCGGCGAAAAGCGAGGCTCCCGCATATATTGCTACACGCACGTTAAATGGACTGTTGGTAAGGAAGGGGTACGGGACTGCTGACGAGGTCAGCACGCAGGACCCAAGAAGCAGCAGAAGAAATAAGATACGCACACATGCCATTGTAGCTCGCACAGTATTCCACCCAGCAGGCATACCAAGTTCCCAAAGCGGAAGCGAGGATGAGTGAACCGTACCGACTAACGAACTTCGTGTACTTGTCTTCGAAGGAATAGAAGTCGACGATCAAAGCAATTGCGGGAGCGGCATGAAGTGCGAGGTCAAGTTGCAGAGGTAATCGCTCCGGTTCGGGGAGGGTACTCGATGATGAAGGCTCCCTCTCCGAGTTGGGAGGACCCATGAGAATCATGTGCGGCATGCACAAGAGGAGCGTCCAGTAAATGACGGAGATCACAACAGCGAGCTGCATATGGCAATAAGTGAGCATGGGAGGCAACGAGGGCACGGTGAGGCATACCGGGAGGGCACTCATGAGGAAAGCACGCTTGGCTGCTCGGAGCAATTCTACGGACGGACGTTGAATGCTAGGCGAAGCGTTCCAAGATAGTTGCCACTCACTAGAGAAGGGGAACAAATCACAACCGATGCTAAGCACCATGGTAATGCATGCCACACAAAGCCTGCGACTTGTTGTCAGGTGGCTGTCGTCAAGAGGCAGGCGGAAACGAACATACCCTTGGATTGTCAGGAACTGAAAGTGACCGCCCTTCATGTTATGCATGGGAACGTTGGCCACCATGTCTGGAAGGTTGAGATACCCGTAGACCATGACGGCGGCGGCGGTCGTGTGCAAGAGAAATGGGAAGATGTTGACGGTCGCAGACATGGTTACGAGCGGAGAGGACGGGGTGATATTCAGGCGGTGAATGACGGATGGAAGTTTATAGTACTGGGAACACATCCATCACGGATATCGGCGGAGGGGAACGACGACGGTCAAGAAGGATGACATGCTATGTGTGCTCGGGGAGAAGGCTGATGACTACGGCCTGCGGCATCAAGGAGCTCGTCCATTGGCTGTTTTCGCGGTCGAGTGACATGCAGGCGATGACGTCCGTCCACACCCAAAGCTCGGAGATACTCGCAAGCGCCCGTGTAATCTCCTTCCAGCCCCGCATCTCGCATCCCTCGCTCTCGGAGCAAAGTCGTCTATATCCTCACCTCGCGCGCTGTTGAACACTCTACGGCGCAAGTACACGCGGGTTCGTGTAGACAGCGTGGCGTACGCACTGACGCGGGAGGCTCCCATATGATACAACGGTCGCGCCCTTCTCTTGTCGAAACCGCCAGTTCCTTCCGCGCATCATGTCCGCGCAGCGGGTAACGATAACCTATTCAGGACCAATCGTCTTCCTCTCCACGGACCATTGGAAACAGATCCAGAACTCCCTAGTCTCGCAGCTTCCCCTCCGAAACTTACACTGGAAGTCCACATCAAGAAATGCGTTACGGTCCATCCAGGAGTTGGACGTGAAGCTCGTCCCGTTTGAGATGCTCAGGGAGGACCAGGCTGCTTCGCAAATACCTCAGTCAGTGTTAGAGAAACCGTTGCTTCACCTGTATATCTTTACTTGCGAGGTGAATTGCACCACCTGTCTCCAATGTTTTAGCCCATACTCAGTAACTTGAAGGACAGTGAAGTCTACCGTACCACTGTCCGCAAGCAGCTCAAAGAATGGCACGCGTCTGTGAGCACGCGCAAAAACCAAGAATGGCTCATCATCCATGTTGTACGGCCGGATCAGAGCGTCGCGCAAGGCAGGCTGTTCCAGATGAAGACGTCCGTGCTTGACAAAGTGAAAGCGGATTTCAATCTGGACAAGAAAGATAGGTGGGTTAGGGGCAAGGTTTCCTGAGACATGCGGTTCATAGCTATATGCTAGGTGTGTCCAGCTCGTCTGGTCGGCGGAGAAGGACAATCCCGCTGTATGGGCAGATACCATCTCCAAGATCAAGGAGGGCGTCCTATCTTCATTCGATGCAGCTCTAGCGCAGCGGGAAGAGGAAGTGAAACGATCAGAGGGTCAAAGGCAAATGCCAGGATGGAACTTCTGTACGTTCTTCATCCTGAAGGTATGTCACGCAGTGTCGAGCTACCACCACTGGGTAGGTTTGGCTCACTAGTTGCATTCAGGAAAGCGTCGCAAGCTCCCTTGAGGGAATGAACCTACACGAAGATGCACTGCAGCAATATTACGAGCTCGAGTCTATCTTCTTCCAAGTTCTCCGGGAGAAGAACCTGTCATGGTTTGGCGCGCTCATCACTCCCATGCCCACAGACGATTCGTCCCCCCTTCTGTCGGTCACGAAGAAGCCATATCGTGACCTCATCCTTGCGAACACCATATCCGTCTTCGACTTCCGAGTATACCTCCTGGCAAGGCAATGTATTCTTCTGAGCAAAATCGGGGATATGGAAGAGCTCTGTCGGAAAGCGGCCTCGTTCCTCAGTACTTTCTCCAGAACGTTACGAGATGTAGAGGTAAGTGCGATGCATTGTCTTGCAGAATTGCCGCTAATGAGAGAGGTCGCAGAACACGTTACCTCCGTTTTTCATCGAGTCTTGGATATACTCCTCTGCCTTGAGCGTCGTAGACCAAAGTGATGAATGGGCGAAGAGGCTGACATTGGATAAGGCTGCGCTATCCGCGTTCAACGCCGCCAAGGGTGAACTGCTTGAGCTAGCACGGCAACAGGTGCGTCATGACCATCCACAGTGGGAGTCCCTGGCTCATGCCCACGCCTACAAGTTGGACGTCCTCGGCATTGCTACAGGGTTCCTCCCCAACAAGCCTCCCTTTTCCCTCGCACTCCCGTCAACATTCGATCCTGCGGACAAGGACCCCAAGACGAAGCGTGGCTCCATGACGATCACCAAGACGGAGCTCCTTTCCTCCATGGAGGATCAGGACACGCTCTACGAACTCTACGTGAACGTCACCAATCGCGCCATCGAGCTGTACGCAAGCGCGGGCCGCCGAAAGTTCGCGCTCAAGCTGCACGGCTCGCTCGCTGCGCTCGACATGTGCGTCCCCACTCCTTCCCATGCCGCGGCTTCCCCGAACGTCGGTTGCTGATGTGAGCCCCCCGTAGTCATCGGGGCCGCCTGGTAAACGCGCTGCAGACGTATACGTCGCTGCCTGCGCACTACTCCCCGCACGGCTGGACGTCAATGGAAGCATACATGCTGAACCGCGCGCTCAGCATCCACGAGGCCGCCGAGAAGCCGAAGGACAGGGAGTGGATACACGTCCTGTTGCACTTCCTCAGAGCGTACGTGGACGACGGCGGAAAGGACCTGCTCCTGAGCGAGGAGGACTGCAAAGCGTACGTCGAGAAGCTTGTCGCGGCTCTGAAGGAGGCGGCCCAGACCCTCGACAACGGTGAGCGCATAACGAGGCTTGAAGGATCCGGGTGCTGAAGAGTTTTCTTGGTCGCTGTCGCACAGACACGCCGTTCCCCGATCATCCGGCGCTGTCCGTGTCGCTCGTGGAGCCCCACGCGAAGTTGGCCGAGAGCCGTGATGGAGCCCTGCTACAGGTTGTCGTCAATAATAGGCTGCCATGCGTAAGTACTGCGTGCCCACGCGGTGCAGATATACTGACGGTGGCTCTAGGACGTGCCTGCGGAAGAAGTGCGCCTGCAACTCACCGGGCGGGAGAACAGTCAGATCACGTTCACCGCGAAAGTGTCCAGCATCGCTCCCGGACGCACCGAGCTCACGCTCTTCTGCCCAGTAAGTGGCTTGTGGCCGCGCGGCGGGGCTCTTTGGCTGAAATGCGGCACGACAGTCATCTGCAATGGGCACGTATGCCCTGGCCAACACTCAGATATCCATGCCCCGCTTGCTCTTCCAGTGGAGACACTCCAAGACGCCCAAGCAGATCAAGGCTGGCAACATGCCGACGCTTGTGTACATCCCGAAAGATGCGCGGGCACTGGACGTCAGGCTCAAACAGCCCCCTCTGAGTACGTGTTTGAGGTAATATCACATTGCGACTTGCTGATAACCCATCTCAGTTGAGCTCGGTACGATGTCGAGGATCCGAGTCTTGCTCTCCACTGGGCGCAACGAGGTTGCTACGGCGTCTGTGAAGCTGAGTGCACCGTCTGGGATCAAGTTTCAATATGAAGATACGCAATTGATCGGAGAGGGTGCGTGTAATCAGGGCATCGAGATGCCTGGGATGGATGCACTGACGTCAGACCAGACACGCCTGCTATACGCACCGACGCGCAGGCACTGACCTTCCTTGACCTCAAGGCAGGGCAAACGGTCGTCGCAGCCGTGCCGCACTCTGATGCGTCGGCGTACGCATATATGGTGATCAGCACCTTTCCTTTATGTAGAGACAAAGGCTCATCGCATCTCAGAGAATTAATATCACCGTCGACTATGTGACGACCACCGAACCTGACATCACGAGGACATTGCGTCTGAGCCGGGTGGTGGCCACCGGGCTGCCGGTGGAGATTAACGTGCAAGACTTCTTCCGCGGCACAAGGTAGGTGTACTGGTCGTGCGCACGGAACGGGGCTCATTGCCCTATACAGGCTTTTCACTGCCTTCACGCTCTCGACCAAGACGCATCAGCACGTTCGTGTGCGCTCTGCCCAGCTTTTGTCTGATTCGGAGACTACTGGGGTCAGAGTGAAGAGCTGCGTTGGCCAGAAGCCCGGTATTGTTGTACGTCAACGTATTCAGACGACGTTGGCAGCGTTTGTCTAACTTGAGCTGCAGACCCTCACGCCCCAGCAACCAGGGCGGTTCTTGTTCCAGATGGATTCGGAGAAGGGCACAGGTATGAGACTAGACATATTCCAGCAGGAATCGGGGTGCTGATGGGGCGCTATAGCACGGGAAGGTTTGAAGCTCAAGATCACCTACCGCATGCTTCGCGAAGGTACGAAGCTCCGCAAGTGGCTCAAGCATCGTGTTAACCCTCCACATGTAGAGGTCGAGTCGTTGATTGAGATCGCTGTCTCGGAAGTCGTGTCCGAACAGCTACCGCTAGAACCTCACAGGCAGGACCTCACCGACAAGCTCATACAAGCGTTGGAGACAAATGCGAGCTGGGTAGAACTGTACGGTGTTACTGGTGAGCTCGCGGTTCCCGGCGTCACTTTGACGGAGGACGAGTTTGGAGCCGGGCTGCGTCAAGTGATGGAGGTAAGGGGATCCCGACTGCACCGATAGCACGGCATGACATCTAACGCATCACGCAGAAGCTGAACCGGAAGCGGTCTCCAACGTCGTTCGGCGAATGGAGAGACATCGTGATCCCGGTGGACGTGCCCCAGATACATGTGCGTGCGCATCGCTGCACGACCCACACAGCGTCCCGTGAGGCCGACGCCTCTCTTCACAGATCCTTGCTTCTGCGCGCCTGCAGATTTTGGAGAACCCATTCTCCGCGGAGGTCGAGAAGGCGGAGAAACGCACACGTCCGCTGTACGCCGGGCAGCCGATCTCGGCACTGCTCACGATCAAGACGTCCTTCCACTGGGCGCCACCTGAGGACACGAGGGTCCAGAGTTACAACATGCGGTATGACATCGAGGACTTGACACAGGACTGGTTGGTCAGCGGGCGCAAGAGAGGCGACTTCGTGGCAAAGGTATGTTTGTCGTCGATCGTACCTCGCCTCTCGTCCTGCTGACGCGGTCATGCAGGATGGCGAGATATTCAGCACGCCAGTGACCCTCATAGCGCTCCATCATGGCGAGCTTGCTCTTCCCAAGGTCGGCGTGAATGCACTGCCGCTTCCGGGGGAGCACAGAATGCGATCGAGTGTGGTGCCCAGCTGCGAGACGTACGAGGTGCATGGAGCGGAAAAGGTGCTTGTGCTGCCCCGAGGTGGCAGGAGCACGTTTGTGGTTAACATGGGCACGAATACCAGCATGTAGACATGGATGTCCCTTTTTGGGGCTGTAATTTATTCGCATTTCTCCCCTGGCCTTGCTAAGCGCGGTGGACGCCAATGGTCACGGGTGACGGCTGTGTGACATGACGCGCCACGATTTGACGCGGACGACGCGGTACCGAGGTGGCCAGGATCGGCGGATTCTTGTTCAAGTTGTTCTTGTCACTCTTCCCTCCTGTCTGGCCTCCCTACCTTATCACTACCACATCGCTCTCAGACGAACGTGAACGAATATGTCAGACTCTGACGACTAGTGAGTCCAGAGGGCAGCTGCGGTAGGGTATCACCACTGAAATCGCCGTATCTCAGCGAGCAGGAGCGTCAGGCGACCATCGCCAGGAACCGCGAGCTCCTCATCCAGCTCGGCCTCGCAGATGCAGCGTCTGCAATCAAGTCGGTGAAACAGGCTCCAAAGTCTGCCAAGCCTGTCCAACCACGCGCAAAGAAGCCCAAGGAACCAGCCAGGCCCACCCGACAGTCTACGAGGCTGAGAAGAGGTCCAGTAGACCCGAACGAGTCCCCCCAGGCGAAGCGCAAGCGCGAGGTACGTCGTGTTCATTTGGCAAGCAGGGAACAATTGTGAATGGCGTCAGTAGCGCGAAGAAGAGGAGAGAAGACGGAAGGAAGAGGAGGAGCGTCTCGAAGCCGCCGAACGCGAGCGAGAAGCCAAGAGACCTAGGCACAACGAACTCGACCTGGAAACGCTCGTGGAAGACGACCATTCCAAAGAACTGTCGAATCTGCGGTCCACCTTCCAGGCTGTGCTGAAAACGCCGCGTCCAAAGGGCACCAGCGGAGACGACGCGTTCGTCTTCGATGACGACAAGAAGGAAGAAGGAGAGGTCACGGAGCTTAAGAAGAAGTTGGGGAAGCTCAAGATCATTGCGCGGGCCAAAGTCACGCATGATAGGATCTACTGTGCTGCATACCACCCCGAGCCGACGAAAGACCTCGTATTCTTCGGAGGTAAGCACTCCCTCCGTTCTCGAAGCTCGCTATCTCATACGGCCTAGACAAGCATGGACAACTCGGTATCTGGGACGCACGTGCGCCTGTGGACGAGCCTGAAGACGATGACGAGGATCCCACACCTCCTGAGGACCGGGAGGGAGGGAAGTACTGGCGTCTGCAGATGCACTGGCCCGCAACATCTAAATCCAGTATATCATGCGTCAAGTTCGATCCCATCGATGCTTTTAGCGTGAGTGGCCCTACCTTTATTGCATCACGTATCTCATGCTTGCCCTCTCTAGGTATACACCAGCGCGTACGACTGCACAATCCGCACGTTGTCACTGGCTTCTGGCATTTCGTCGGAATTATACGCAACGGAGGACACCCTCATCACCTGCGTAGATCTTCCACCGTACGGGCACGAAATGTGGATTTCAGACGCAGCTGGGGGCATGACGCACATGGATCTTCGAGCAGGGCGTAACCATGCGAAGCGATACATTCTGTCGGAGCAGAAGATAGGCAGCGTCAGCGTCAACCCCGTCCGTCCACACTTCTTGGTCACCGCCTCAAACACCCGAGACCTGAAGTACGTGACCTTCTAGCCGTGGCTTTCTTTACAATTAATGTATCCTCCTAGGGTATGGGATACACGTATGCTGGAAACGCTCAGCGGCCGGTCTCTCCGTTCCGCACCCAACTCCCCTGGGCCATCGACCCCTCGGTCCCCGTCCAAGCGGAAGACCCGGGAAGCCAGCGTCTTTTCCCACCCAAGTGAGGTCGACGCCGAGGCCATTGACAAGCTCATGGCGACGAAGAGGGGACAGTCTACCGTGCGCGCGCGCTGGGCACACGGCAAGTCCGTCAGCTCCGCGTACTGGGACCCCAGGGGACGGTCGATTGTCAGCACAAGCTACGACGACACGATCAGACGTGAGTCCATCATCATCACGAGCCTCGGATGCCTGCGCTCACTCTCGCTCTACAAGTGTGGGATGTCAAGCCCTCGCTGTTCGACAAGGACGCGCCCTTCCCGTCGTCTCGACCCTTCAGCCAGATCAAGCACAACTGCCAGACCGTTCGTTCGCCCAAACTTGTTTAATGTATTTCGGTCCAGCTCTGATGCGTTTCGTCCGTCCGACAGGGCAAATGGCTTACCATCCTCAAAGCGCAGTGGACCCCGAATCCTGACGTTTATCCCCACTTCACGGTATGCCCTGTTCGAACCCTCGGATGACGAAGGTATTGGTATTGACGCCAAACTCATGCACAGATTGGGAACATGGATCACTCTCTTGATATCTACTCCTGCAAGGGCGATCACATCGCTAAGCTTGCAGACCGGTCGAAGTAGGTCCCGTTTCCAATCATATATCTCCTTGTGCTGATTGTCCTGCGTCGCAGGATCACTGCCGTGCAAGCAGTCACTTGCTCTCACCCGAGCATTGTTGAGCGCGTGGCGTCAGGTAATGCGAGTGGGCGATGCGTTCTATGGGCCCCAGAGGTGTAGCTGGATGTAGGTACTCTCTGTACACATGTACTCCTGGATGTTACGATCATCTTGTGTAGCCATCTAGTATATATCTTTTAGTTCGGTCCAGCACACCTACGTCCTTCCTTATATTGTTTCCCATCGTACTCTTTGGCATATCATATGTTCGAATGCTGGGTTCTCAGCAAGACCCCAGTTGAGCGGGGTCCTTGCTAAAAAGCGTCACCTGAGCGATTCGAACACTCGCGGGCAAAGCCCAACCGCTGGCAGCTATCAATAGCAGGCGATCCCGTTAACCACTCCGGCAAAGTGACTTCACTCGTTACATGCTGTAGTCAGATAGTATGGTCAATATCTGAGTAGTGGGTCCGACTTTCTCGGAGGCTTGGCGTCTTGATTCCATACCACCATGGCCAAGAAAGCTCGTGCTCCCCCTGCTGCTGCCACCAAGCCACCAAGCAAGCCACCTCAGTTCAATTTTCCACCAATAGCACCTAAGGAAGAGCTACAGTGTCGTGTTCTGATCGAAGACCAGATTCTCCTGATTGATGTCGGTGTTCGAGTTCTCTGAATGGTGGCACACCCGCCGGGTGGTCTCATGCAACACCGACTAAACTCATTCACAGGACTTCTTCTCTCCGGAAGAATGCAAGACATATGTGAAGTTCATTGACGGCCTCCCTCTAGAGCTTACACCACCCAAGAAGAAGGGAGAGGCTGACCGGGTGAACCGTGCGTCTGCAGACTGTGCCCTCCGCCCAGCCCGGTGAACTGAGCAGCTGCCCGCCGACAGAGCGTATATCCATACCATCCATAGACTTCGCGCAGAAGCTGTACGCTGTGCTCGCGCCGCATCTACCTGAGTTTCCGTATCCGGCGTGGGTCAAGAAGCCTGCGGGCGCGACGGCTCGCGCGGCGCATTCGTGCAACTCGAACATACGCTTGTACAAATACACGACAGGCCAATACTTTGGACCCCACTATGACGATTCTGTCCGAGATACTGAGACGGGAGCAAAGTCTGAGTGGACGCTACTCATTTATTTGACTGGAGCCCAAGATGGGGTAGAGGGGGGAGAGGTACGTGTTTCCGATACTCGACGTACTTCCTGGCTGCATGTCTCCGCAGACGGTCTTCTACAAAGAACAACGAGGGAGACCTGGGCAGGCAATCGTACCTCCGTTGACTCGCGGACAGGCACTTCTGCATCGGTAGGTGACCAGTTCATATGTGGAAAAGATGGGTGCTTGACAGGTTCCTTCAGCCATGGCCAAGACTGTCTGCTTCACGAAGGTTCCCCAGTGAAGAAAGGGTCGAAATATGTCTTGCGTTCGGACCTGATGTTTATGAAGTAGCAATTGAAAATTTTCCGAACGCACACTCCGTAAACCACGTAAAACAGCACATCACCTCCGCCCCTTCGACTTCTTGTTCATCTTCGGTATGCCGGCCTCCACCACATCGTCGTCCCGATCCATATCGTCCTTGCCCCCTCCCTCCTCCCTGCCCCGCTTGCGCTTCTTCCCATGCCCGCCCTTGATCCCCTGCTCCTTTAGCTCCGTTGCAGCGAGCCGCCCTGCCTCGTCCACGCGCTCGCGCAGGAGCGCAACCTCGTCCTTGTCGACTGGCCAGAGTTCCATCTTCTTCTCGATGACCTGCTCGATGCGGAGAACGAGCTCCACATCATACTGCGTGACGAGCGTGATGGACTTGCCGGATCGGCCTGCACGCGCTGTGCGGCCGACGCGGTGGATGTAGTCTTTGGAATGGGTGGGGATGTCGTAATTGATGACGATGTCTACGGAAGGTATATCGAGACCTCTGAAGTAAAAAGTAATGTTGGCGCAGGGCTCTGTCCAATGAGATAGCAGGACTTACCGGCTCGCGACGTCAGTCGCGACGAGGATAGATCGACCGCCTGCCTTGAACTTGCCAAGTGCGCCCAATCGTGCACTCTGACTCAGTTGGCCATGCAGCGGGATGGCGGGGAATCCCAGTGAACGCAGCATGATAGATAGCCTGTACACATATCTGTCAGCCATAAGCTCAGAGGAAGTGGTGAGGAGCGTACCGCTGCGCATCGTGGACTGTGCGGGTGAAGATGATCATGGAGTTTTGCGCGAGCGTGTTGGCCAAGTAAATGAGATGTACATCCTTTTGCGGTAGCGGCATGAGGAGGTAGTATTGCAGCAGTGTAGAAACAGTCGAGTACCTATAAACAAAGATTAACAGATGGTAGACGGGAAGTCCGACGACGGAGGGGACGTACTTCGAGTTCACTTCTACACGGACCGGGTTGGACAAGCTCGCTCGTTGGAGCTTAGCAACTTTTGTTGTCATCGTCGCAGAGAAGAGGTATGTAGTCCGCTCCTTGGGGATGAGCTTGAGGATTTTGTCCAGTATAGGCCCAAAATCCATGTCTAGTAGCCTGTCGGCTTCGTCTAGCACCTAGCAGTCGGTCAATCCCACCCTGTGAGTTCTCATCTCATGACACTTGACTTGACTGACGCACCAAGAACTTCAAACTCCGTAGGCTGAACCCCTTCGTCTCCTCCAGATGCTCCAACAGCCGTCCGGGGGTCGCAACAATAACATGCGGCTTCTTCGCGAGCGCGATCTTTTGCGACTGTATATCCACCCCTCCGATGATAGTCGCGCAACGTACACCCATCGCGCTCCCAATGCTCTCAAACTGCTGCGTGATCTGGAACGCGAGCTCGCGTGTGGGCGCAATCACACAGGCGAATAGGCCCTTCGGGTCCTCCCAGAGCTTCTGCAGGATGGGGAGCGCGAAGGCGGCGGTCTTGCCGGATCCGGTGGAGGCCACGCCGATGATGTCGCGGCCCTGGAGAGCATGTGGAAGGGCCTCAGCTTGGATGTCTGTCGGGGCTTTGTACTTCATCTGCTCGAGGGCTTCGAGCAGCGGGTCGATGAGCCCCAGAGACTTGAAGGTCGGGGGAGCGGCTGCGATGGCCTGAGGCTCCGGAGAGCTGGAAGTGGATGCCTCCTCTGGGGACGGCATGTTTTTCAAAGCTGGCTGATGAATTTGGAGGGGGTCAGATAATAGTAAGACCGAAGGTAGGAGCCCTCAGAGCAGACAGATGGTGTCGTACAGAAGTATTACACGGGCGCTTCAAACATTTTCGGGGCGTGGGCGTCTCTAAACCCATCACTCCGGCCCCGGGCCGACTCGCAGAACAACTTGGTCTGCATAGGATTTGCGGCGGTCCTCACGGGTTCTCCGTGTCCAATCAAGATGTACAAGGTATATGCATTCACAAGGTTACTAGTACATTAGTCATTTTAGAGGGGTGTATCATGGGCTCCAAGGACCCGATGCTGGGCCGCCCACTCCAGCAGTAAGGAACTTGGCACTACCGTCCTCGTCGATATAGAAGCAATCCTCTAGACGCACACCAACCTATACCCGGAAGGATAATGACTCGTGAGCGTATAGTAAGGGTGTACTTGAAATACCACGCACTTTTCCCTCGATGTAAATACCGGGCTCATCCGAGAAAGTGTGCCCGGTAAAGATGTTGTCGTCGGAGCCTCCACGGAGATAAGGCGACTCGTGAACTTCAAGACCGATTCCTAGGCCAGGTTCAATGAGGTACGCTACGTAAGCAACAAATGGAGCCCCTACCATGTCCCAAGCGATGAGTAAAGAACTCTCCATAGCCCGCATCCTTGATGATCTTGCGAGCGGCACCGTCCACCGCAGCTGTCACGGTGCCATTGCTGGCCGTCACGATGGCGGCACGCTGAGCCGCATGAACGGTGTGCCACAAGGCTTGATACCTCAAGGGTATCTCTGAATGTGACAAAGCAAAAGTCTACCCCAGCCAATGTCAGCAGATGTGGCATATTCTCGGCCAAGCTGTGCAAAGTACTCGCCCTTGTGACGTCGCTATGGTATCCGTGGAGGGATCCCCCTGTGTCGATTAGAACGAACTCATGCTTGCCAAGCGTCGCGTCGGTCCCGGAGCCATGAGGCAAAGCAGCATTTTCTGCAATCCAGGTGAGTGATCCTACACGCTGTTATAGTCCCCGAAGCACCAACCTCCAAAGAGTGTAAGGGCGAAGGCGTCCTTCAACCCCGCAGCCGTGAGTGCCCTAACTACCAGCTGCCTGGCCTCTGACTCCTTTATGCCAACTTTCATGTGCTTCCGCGCCGCTCTGATGGAGAGCAGAGTTACCTGATGTGCCCACTCAGTTTTCGATACGAGATGAATTCCAGATGGATACCTACCTCGTTGACGCACTTCAATATGTCGATCTCCTCGGAGCTCTTTCGCTCACGGAGACGTCTCACCTCGATTGGGGCGTTGACGACCCGAGCGTCTGGCGCAGCCCTTTGCAACCCGTCCGCAATGAATGTGCGGACATCGCCGTCCACGTAAATTATAGTATCGTCGAGGTCAGGAAGGAGATCGAGGGCCGTCGCAAACGGGTCTACATCCTCAGGCCAAGCGGTGTACGTGACACCCGACTTGCTCGGAATGGGCAGCAACTTAGCTCTCGTCTTCTCAAAGGCAGGCGTTGAGATAGATATATTGGCGCGAACAGTCCCATCATGTGCTTCCTGAGGTTGGACGATCAGGAGCAACGGGCGTTCAGAAAGACCCCAGTGAGAACCAGAGAGATTGCCATAGAACCCCGCGCTAGCACCAGGTTCTGCGATGTATGCAGCCGCGCCTAAAGAGTGCAGTGTTTGCGCAAGTGCGTCCTGCCGAGCGATGAACGATTCCGCCGCGATAGGCGGAATGTGGGCGCAGTGCGCTGCGAGGTGCGAGAAATCAGGGAATGTTGAAGCGCTCTTGCTGTCTGAGCTTGACCCGGGGACAATGTACTTGTAGTAGATGTCCACGAAGTCATGCGAGAGGGCAAGGAGCAAGATCGGCACCTGTCGCGAGTCTTATCAGCTTCATGCAGTGCGCCTGGACGAAGAGAACGAACCCATATGAATCGGCGCAGTAGCGACTTCCTTGAGGGGGCCCCCTGCTCGAGCAACGGTGTCGCCTCCTCGACGTGGAGTCTGTCGTGATTGACGATGACCGCCTTTTCCGACATGACGGTCGTGTGCAACTTGGAGAATGCAGCCGTGCAGCTGTGCGGGAGCGGCATCGGCCCGCCACCCTCGGTGAGAAGCCGACGCGCCCATCACGTGCTCGTGTATAAGACGCGGTACTTCCGTGGGGGTCGGGCCCGAGGCGCGTCGCTACCCCCTCTTGAACAGCCACCGTCATCTCATCCTCGGCGGCTTTTGCAGGCAATGGACGGCACAGACCTTGACACGGAAACTCTGCTCGCTATCCTGTCCAGCCTTCTGCACCCACAGGAATTCGGGCATCCTGTCCTTTTGGACGCTCTTGTCAAGTCTAAAGGCGACGTCGAGGCTGCTGCGACCTCGTTGCGCTCCGAGCCTCCTAAAAAGAAACGCAGAGTGGAGGTCAAAGCTGGCCTGAGAGGCTGGCTCAAGAGTTCCGAGCAGAGCCCCAAGCTCTCTTCACCGGCATCCTCCAGTGCGCCTATCGCATCTGGTTCTGGGAACACATGCAAGCCTGTCTCTCAAGGGCCTCCGGATTCTGCTGCGGGTACAGACCAGTCTAATTCAGGAGAGGCTTCTTCCTCACCATCAAGGAAACCCTCATCCAAAGTCAAGACCATAACGAATTCTGAGTTCATGGCTATGTTCAGACCTCCAAACTCCTCCGACAGCCAATCCAAACCTCAGATCATACGACACCCGCCGCTTACTCTTGTCTCCCCGGAGTTCGTCGCTCAACATACACCGTGTACACTACACAATGCTATACTTCCTCAGGAGCTTGCATGCCGGTGCGTGTGGACCTAGGGCGACGTCCCTATGCAACTAATCTTTCACGAGTAGGTTGTTCTATACGATGCTTCACCTCAGCCAAAATTGGACAAGAAATAAGTGGTGGCTTTTTGACCGCGTCGTGGAAAGCCCCCACAGAACAGCTTTCTTCGTCAGAGAGAACATGACCGAGACGAGCGACGGCAGCGACCCGAAAGAAGCCGCTCAGTGGTGGTACGCTCATACTTATATTGCAGAGACCGACAATTGTAACGACACGGACGACTCACGTGCAGGTACAATGGACGTCAGACAGAAGCTCCCCCATCGTTCCCGGCCCCGATGGAAGAAGCGTGCGAGATCATCGAGCGCGTTGTGAACGAGGAAATGCGCAAGCGTAAGCAATATCCTCTCGAGTGGGGTGGATATCCTGTCAAGGAGGGAGAAGAGCCCCTCCTCTGGCGCGCCAACGTTGCGGCGTCCAATTGCTACGAAGGGGCGAAGGAGAGCGTCGGGTTCCATACTGACCAGCTAACATACCTTGGGCCTTATCCCACCATCGCTAGTCTCAGCCTAGGCGAGTTCAGCTCTAGACTACTCTTCACTGCTCCTCTAATGCTCGCTTTGCAGGGGTTAATCGCATCTTCCGATTGCGGGAGGTGATCCCTACAGACGAGAAAGACAATCGGAGCGCCCGCACGTTCAACATCCCCTTACGGCACAACTCGGTTGGTGTATCAACCCTCCGCCGTTGATTGTCCTTTTGAATCCTCCAATGCATAGCTCATCATCATGCACGCGCCAACGCAAGAAGTGTTCAAGCACTGTGTCCCCGCCCAGAACACCATCGACATGTTCCGCCCTCCCTTACCGCCTCCAGCCGACCTGGCAGACGCAGAAAAGCTCACGAAGTTGTCCGAAGGATCCAACGCCCGCATCAATATTACGTTCCGGTTCTATCGGCCGGATTTCCGTTCGCAGTTGACCCCGCATTGCAAATGCAATGTTCCCTGCATTTTGCGACCAGACATGAAGAATCGCTATGAGTCTCCACCCGAAGACGATGAGAAGACTAGAGGGAATGCAGACGCCGGCGACGGCGAAGGATGGGCGAAGCGGAGCTTGGCAGCGAGATATTGGTGGACATGTTACGCGGGCGCGCAGAATGACGGGCATGGCTGTGGATACTGGAAGGTCATGGACGTCAAAGCGGAGGGACGAGGACCGTTCGTAGGGGACATAACCACGATGCCCATTGGTCAATGAATCATGAATCCAGACACAATCCGTGCCCTTTGTAATGTGCGCTCCCCGATTTGCTGGAACAAGACGCAAGAGGAATTGGCGCTGCATACGCCTCCTTCCTAATAAGGCATACTAAGTTTGGAGTGGATGAGAACTTCCGCGCTGTATTCTGACTCACGCTCGCGTCATCGCTACCTTGTATCTGTTCAAGACCGCGAATACAAACCAAGAGGTATAACGATGGCAGCACGAACAGCAGCGATTGAGCGCAAGACGAATGAGACCGAGATCAAGGTCGCCATTAACCTGGACTGCCAGCCGGGGACGGGGAACAAGCAGGAGATCTCCATCTCCACCGGTATCGGATTCCTCGATCACGTATGCTCTATTTAACATCAGATGATAACCCTTTGGCTGACACCACAACGGCCGCTTTAGATGTACCATGCCCTTGCGAAGCACTCGGGCATGTCGCTTCAGTTGAGCTGCAAGGGCGACCTGCATATAGACGACCACCACTCCGCAGATACGTATCCAAGTAACTTGATATGTCTTCCCTCGATGAGACTTATCTTCCGTTTTGAACTTCACAGGACTCCGCGATCGCGCTTGGCACCGCGTTCAAACAGGCCCTCGGTGAGGTTCGCGGCATCCGCCGTTACGGCACAGGGTTCGCGCCCCTGGATGAGGCAGGCGTCCCCCTCGTGTTCTCGCGCTGTCCGGGAAACTGACCGCATTGCACCCTTTCTCTCCTGCCTTGCAGGCGTTGTCGCGGGCGGTCATCGACATCTGCTCGCGGCCGTTCTGCGTCACAGACCTGAAGCTCAAGCGCGAGAAGATCGGGGACCTCTCCACGGAGATGTTCCCGCACATCTTCTACTCGTTCGCTATCGCCGCTGGCGTGACACTACACGTCGACGTGCTGCGCGGAGAGAACGACCACCACAAGTACGTCACCGTCACCGGTACAGCCGACAGTCAGAGAGGCTGCTGATAGCGGAACTGGACAGGGCCGAGTCGGCGTTCAAGGCGCTAGCGCTCGCCATCCGCGAGGCGATCCAGAGGACGGGCGGGGACGACGTACCCAGCACCAAGGGTGTCCTGTAGATTGTAAACCCAAGCGGACGTAAAATCGATCTAGGGGGGATGTGGTCGTATACGGCTTGTATACTAGTCTGGTCCGAACCGACGCGAAAGGGTAGTCATCCAATGTGCGAGATACATTATCTAGTGATACATAGAGTGTTGACAGAGCAGATGCACGACATGACCAGCGAGCAAGAATACCAATAGCGTGATGTAGGACCGAGGAGAGGGACGGAAGCCTGGGAAGCTCAGTAGCGCTCCCCACCTTCGCACAGGGTCTCGAGGAAGACCTTAAGGTCGTCCTTGTTGATCTCGAGGACGCTCGTGTCGAACGTACCATGCCTTGTCCGCGCGTTACAGCGCTCCTTGGCGTCGAGGAAGGCAAGGCCGAATTCACTACGACCACAATCATCAGACGCTGAACCCACGGATAATGGACGACTCACTTCTTCCGGATGTCATCAAAGTCAGCGGCTCCAGTGACACCGACGACGATGTACGTCCCTGCCTTCTCGTTCAGGCAAGCGAGGACGAAGGGCAGGCTCTTCCGCTTGCTGCGCGAGTAGGCAGCGGTCGTCGCCTCCACACGGTCACGGAGGGCGTCGACCAGCCAGAGTGCTAGACGACCTAACACGCCTGGATGCACAAAGAGCGGGAGGTCCGGGCCTTGGGTGAGGATGACGACGCGGTGTCCGCGCAGGGTCTTTATATCCTGCTTGTCGATGATGGACGAGCCTTGTCGGATGATGGCACGGTGGAGGGCCATCGAGAGCGTGATTGCTTCTCGTAGTCGGTTGATGCTGCAGACCGTCTCCGTCAGCTGTCGGTCCAGGATGAGCAGTATAAGAGAGAGGACGCACTCGCTGAGAGCGTCGAACGCCGCCCAGAAGTTCTTCACCCACCAGTCGACGTCCTCGCCCTCTCCGCCCTCCTTACCGTCACCAGCGGCCTGCGCCCGCACCTGCGCCTTCACGACGTTCGCGAGCACGTCGGGGGGCACGTTCTCCCGCTCATCGTTGTGGTGCCTCCCCTCCTTGCCCCCCTCCCACAGCTTTCCGCCGCCAAACCACTCCCCACCATTCCGCGTGCCCTCGACTTCAACTTCTATGCGCGTCCCTCCCGCGATGTCCAGCAGCGCAGACAGCGCCTCGACGGCGTCCCCGGCCGAGAGCGGCTGCGAGCGGTACCCGTAGCACCGCATGAACGACGGGTACGACAGCTCGACGAGGCCGTACTCGGGCGCGAGCTCCTCCAGCTTCCCGCGGAGGCTCTCCTTGAGGTCCTTGGCCATGTGCTGCCACGGCTGCTGCGTCTCCGGGATCGAGAAGCCCATCTTGGCGAGCAGGCCCGTGAGGCGCTTGCGCCCGCGCTCCTTCCAGATGCCGAGCTTGCTCGCGACGTAGCTCGAGTGGTACATGGCGTCGTACAGCGTCCAGTGGCGGAACATCATGAAGCGGAACTCGTCCGACGCGTACACGGAGTGGTCGTCCGCGCCCGCGGCCTTGAGGTCGTCCCCGAGCGCGGCGGGCGGCGCGGGGTTGAGGCGCGCGACCTCGTCGTGGTAGATCGCCTGGTACTTGTCGTACTCGTCGCGCGAGATGCGGGAGGTCGCGTACTGGTGGGTGAGGCCGAGGATCGCGAGCCAGAGCAGGTCGGGGTCGACGCGCTCGAGGACGGTCGCGAGGAGGTACATGGTGCCCGCGGCGCTTTGGCCGTGCCAGGTGCCGGAGCGGTAGTACTTGATGAGGCGGCTTTCGTGCTGCGCGCGTTCTTCGCGCGAGAGGCGGGCGGGTTCCTGTATGCACAGCTATGGGGGCATGAAGGGGACAGGATGGGTGTGTGGGACGTACGTCTACTCGTCGCCGCTTGCCGCGTCTTCGCCCACCCTCCTCCAGGGACTTGCGTTTCCGCGGTTGGGATGCTGAGCTTTGGCCGTCATCGTAGCCTTCTTCGTCATCATCCTCGTCTTCTTCGGCCTCTTCTTCTTCAGAGTCAAAGTCCGAGTCCTCATCCGAGTCTTCCTCGGGCGCATACTAAGACAGCGGAGCGCATGAGCCGCATTGCAGGTCGTACCAGAGACAGCCACTCACAGTTAGGGTCTCCCAAGCTTTCCGCTCTTCCTCTAAATTTTCCACACCGCCGTCGTCCCAGATGATTATTCGGTCACCATTCTCGCCGCCGCCAAAGACAGTCGACAAGTTCTGTGGTCTTGAGGAATCGATGACATGCACGGTGAGGGATGTCGGGAAGTCGCCAAACCACTCTGGTGACGGGAGGTCGAGGATGGCACCCATGTTGAACATGATCAGCGTGTGCAACTGCACCAGGGATCAGTAACGGAGTGGACCTCGAGTAGCGCACGCGTACCTCGGCGTATGTCGTAAGCTCGTCTCGTATCCGCTCTAGCTCTGCGTGTCCGGAGACGGGTATGATTCGGTGCATGACATCGTCCTGCTTGAAAAGATCGGCGAGCATCTTCGAGGCGCATAACGCGTCGACGTCGGGCGCAACGAGAATGACGACCGAGGACGCGGCGGTCTTGGGTGAGCGTCGATGTGAGGCGAGGATCTTGGCGTAGGCTTCGGCATAGGATGGTCGAGAGGCGGAGGCGAGGTGGGGGGGCGGTAGATATACCATAGGGCGTTGTGAGCGTCGTCGAGGTGCCTTCCTATGCCAATGGCGCGTGCAGGAGAGTCGGTGCTGGTGAACGGATCAGAGCGCGTTTCGCTCAACAACGCGTCGCTCACAGTGGCATGCGCGCACGTGACACGCGTCTCCGCTTCTCTCTAGGCCAAGTTACGTTAAAGACAGCGCTAGGCTGAACAAGTCAAGAGTGGTGGTGGTGTAGTGTACGTGCATGAGCATTAAGAGTACTCTATCATAGGTTCAACCCAAGGAAGCCCGACCGCTCCCGCACCTCCCTCCTCTTGCCGCGGATGCCCCAGATGCCCCAGTTCGTCTTCACCATCACCCTGGGATCAAAGTCCGCCACCTCCCACTTCTCGCTCAGGAACGCGTTCGGCCCCGGCGTGACCACCCAGTCGAACTCCCCCGCCACATCCGGCGCGTGAGACAGCGACTTTACGTCCCGCTCCACGTCCGCCGGCGAGAACCCGGTCACGAAGATCGGGCACTTCGTCGCCAGCAGCTGCGGCAGCACCGGGCCCCACTCCGTCGGCGACGCGACCTGCAGCAGCGGCTCCCCCGTCGCCTCGTTCACCGAGTTCGGCGACGGGAACCCGAGCCCGGGCGAGAACAGGAAGAAGCAGTCCGTGTACGGGTCGAACGTCTCCTGGAACTGCGCGTGCACCTCGCTGTAGTTCGCTTGCATGCCGGTGATCGTCAGCTGGGCCGTGTACGGGACCGTATACGAAGGAACGCCGTATTGCTCGATCGAGCTCCGCGTCCGCTTCAGTCGGGCGATGGGTGCAGGGGTAGGAGGCTCGTAGACGTTCGGTAGGTACACTGGTTTCTCCTCTTTCGGGTCCGTAGGGGGCTGTTGTTCCGACGCGGCTGCGGCCTCGCTCGTCGTTTCCTTCGCATTCGGAGAGGATGATGACGACTCTGATGTGGCGACGGTGGACGATTGCGCGGGAGCTTCACTGCTCTTCGGCATTTTGTTCACCTCGCTCGCCGGCTTCGGTAGTGATACCTGAGGGCCAATGAAGTACAGGTGAAACAGTGCCGACGGGAAGAGCATGCACAGCTGCTCCCAGACGTGTGGTGGTAGTGAAGACTCCGCGCGAGCACCCAGGATGAATATCCGCATCTGAGGCTTAGTTACTGCGGCCTCTGGGGTCTCCGGCGCGCCAGGCGGAACATGTAAGTTTGTCCGGAGGGCTACAAGCGACCGCCATAAGCACGGATTCGCGTGCACAGATGCGACGGGACATACCGGCGAGAGAACGACTGCCCTCGGGGGTCAGCCGTTGGTTGCTCAGCGTGAGGTTGCTGAACTGGTGCAGCACCGAGCCGATCGTGATCGGGTACGTGAGGATCTTGCTCGCATGCCGCCTCGACCGCTCCGAGTCCATCGACGGGAACTCGCGCGTGTACCAGAACACGTCCCAGTTCGCGAACGAAATCGCCGCCTCCGAGTCCTGGGGGCCTGCACGACGCACGCGACCCTGTGTCAGGATCCTGCTTGTACGAGCAGAATCAGGTGGGGGAGGAGGGACGTACCTGGCAGCTCGAACTCCCTCATCCGCCGCCCGCTCCTGAGATCATGCTCGTCCTCGTTGACCTCCCTCAGCCGCGCACAGTACTTCTGGTGCTCCTTGTCCTTCGCCCAATGCTCCTCCGAACAGTGCGTCGGCCACCCGCAGTCGGGACACTCGAACGAGACGGCCTTCGTCTCGTGCCCGTGGTGCGAATGCAGCCCATGGTTGTGCTCGCCCGCGCAGACCGGACAGGGCGCGAGCTGCCTGATGGCCTCGCCGCGCGCGCGGATGGCGGGGAACGGCGACTTCGAGAACGGATGGAAGAGGTCGTCCTGCGAGAGGACCGGGGTCTTGTCTTTCCCCGAGGTTTTGTGGGGGGCGAACGGCGAATCCTTCGGCTTGCTTTTGAACCAGCTGAGGAACGTCCTGGAGCTGGTGTACGAGGCTCCGCAGAGCGGAGAAGACAGGGAGGATTGGGGGAGGCTACGGGCAAGACATGCTGACGGGCGGCCGCTGTGAGCTAGGAGGAGACGGGTCGCCCTCCGGGGCACCTGCGTGAGCATGGGTGTCGGAGGCTGCAGCACTCAGAGCTGCTGCGGGACACCTGTATCTAGGGGAAGATGCGTGAAATGCGTGTGCGAACCGACCGTGACGGTCTACCGAATCGACGTCGGAGGCGAGGCCTGCAGTAAGTAGCCAGACGCGCCGATTTGCCGCGTCGACCCGTTCCCGGGCGCGCGCCTCTGATCTCATATGTCCCATCGTCCGCCTTTGAGTTTGCCTCCGCATCGACTGTCCACCTCAGAGCAGCAGTACTGCAGGATTACGCTCGGATTCTCTACGACCACCCCTCTGGTATGACCAGCTTGGCCTCGCAGCACTGACATGCTGTCTCTAAGGACAACCTCACGCTACCTCGCCCTCGCCACGCGGACCTCATGTCTCCCTCGCGCATCCGCACTCGGCGGCCCCCTCCCCGCGCGGACGTATGCGCTTTCGCGCTTTGACAAGCCTCGCCCGGGAGTAGGGCGGGAGCGTCCGAAGGTCTCCCCCAGGCAAACGCGTCCCGAGTCGGAACCTCGTCCAGAAGAACAAGCCCAATCCTCTGGCTGGAACTCCTGGAGCACCTCGGCCGAGTCGCAGCCGTCTGCGGACCAGTCGCCGCTCTGGGAGCAGAGCGTGCGCGCGCCGTCGAGTAACCCGGAAGAGGGCCTGCGGAGGCTGCTGCAGAACGACAGGCTGGTCGTCACGCGGTGCGTTTCGCCTGGCGAGTCTTGGCGGGAAGGAGGAAGTTGACGAATGGGGGGCAGGCAGCTCGAGATGCTGAACATCTTCATTGGGTTCGAGCAGACGAACCGTTACGTGATATGTGTGTTGTTTCGACGGGATTGCAGCGCCGTGCGAGACTGACGCAGTGTTCGTGCAGCGAACGAAGCGGGGGAAACGCTTGGATATATCGCTGAGGAGCCGCGCGGGTTCCTCGCGAGCTTCTCGCGACAGATCTTTCGCACCCACCGACCGTTCCGCGCTATCGTCATGGACGCGGACGGTTCGCCCATTCTATGGGTAGGAGATCTTGGACGTCTCTGAATGGTACGGCAGCTTATTATACGCCAGATTCGCCGGCCATTCGCGTTTATCAATTCAAGGATGTACGTGCAGCGGCTGAAGGAATATGACCAGTACACCCCAGAGGGCGAGCCCGTCCTGGATACATTCGCGGAAGTGCAGCAGCGGTGGCATCTGTGGAGGCGACGATACGACCTGTTTATCCGCCAAACGCCGCATCGCATCCTGTCAAAGGTCGACGAGCCGCAACCTGAGCCAGAGACTGACATGTTTCACCAGTTCGCCGAGATTGACGGCGGCATCCTTGCGTGGCACTTTGCCCTCCGGGACGCGCAGGGCCTGCCTATTGCGAGCGTGAACCGGGCATTCCGTGGGTTCGGTCGCGAAGTGAGTACTTATATTACTCAAAGGTGTGGTGGAGGTTTGACGGAGTTGACTGTAGATCTTCACTGACACTGGTATGTTGGAAGTGGAGGTGTTCCCTTGCTTTGTATTCATGCCGTTGTGCTCTGGATAGGTCAATACTTTATTAACTTCACTGGCGAAGAGGCCAACGAGGGAGACGTTGTCGCTCAGAAGCCTTACCTCATCCGCAACCTCAGCATAGACGAGCGTGCGGTATGTCCGCGTGTTATTGTCATCATATCTCCCACTCACCACCATCTCTCGGACAGCTTGTATTGGCCACTGCCGGTGAGTCCTGATCCCCTTGACTGGTTCGAACGCACGCTGACCATACACACAGTCAACATCGACTTCGACTACTTCTCTAGACATTCCGGACCAGGAGGGTGAGCCTCTTGACGCGCGAATAAGTGACGTTCACTGAACTGTCGGCCCTAGTGGCTTTTTCCTCTTCGAGTCTGTTGAGTGACGAAACAAGAGCACTCGATCTGAACATGACATCGCTCTGTAATCGCTCTCTATATATGTACTGAATGAATCTGCATAACGTATACCTTCTGTATGTGCGCATCCTTTGTCCCCGCCTGAAAGGTTGAGTGACTTGGCTATGGCCAAAGCAAGAGCACCTCCGACGTTAAGTGACGTACACAGCCACACGGTTGCACGGTCCGGATGGGGGAGCACGCCCACGTGGACATACGCCATAATGGGCGCCTGGGCGTTGCCCGCGGAAGCCTGGCACGAGCGCGGGCAGGACGACGGGCCTCAGACTCGAACCGTCCCACACGCGTCGTCGAGTTCCATTAACCACACCTCGCCGGCATGGCGGACGTGCGAGCACCCAGACCGTCCACCGACGAAGGTATGCACCCTCAACTCCTCTTTCACTCTGCGTTTCTATGTCGCTGCTACGGTCGCCTGACGTCCAACCTCCATCTCAATCAGAGACGGCCCCGCTCCTCCAGAATGCCTCCCATCCCGACGATGCTCCTGCGGAACAAGGCGAAGAACCCTCATACCTTGACCGCCTTGCCGCCATCGTGCAGGAGCCTTTGTCTCCGCTGACAAAACTCTTGCTTATCGCTACTCTTGTTTTCCTACTCCTGAGCTCCGTCTTCATCGGTCTTTTCGCCGGTGCGCAACACAAGCTGAACAGCGGCGAAGGACATGGACGGTCGACTGTCACGGTGACGTCTACGGCTACGACTACCGCGACTACCACCTCGCAGGCTACTACCACCGCCGTAACCACCACCACAGTCTCAGTCCCTCTCCCGGGTCCGACGGTCCCTCCCGAGGAGGTACGTTCCCACATTCACTACTCTTTTAGCAATGAATCCCATGTGCATACTCCCTTCGTATAGCCTGTATGCCTGTCACCCTCGTGCATCAGCCTCGCCTCCTCCGTGCTTTTGGGCATCGACGAATCCGAGGACCCCTGCGAGAACTTCTATGACTTCGCCAGTGAGTATACGGCTGCCATCATTGTTGTCCGTGCCCCTCACGTGTCTCCAGACGGCGGATGGCTCAAAGCCAACCCCATTCCCTCCGACAAGGGCAAGTTTGGCCACTTTGAAGAGATCGCCCAGCAGAACAAACGTCTGCTTCAGCAGATCCTCTCCGAGGACTCCTCGTTCCACTTCTCCGAGGCGTCGTCCCTTACTGCATCCAACCCATACGATGAACAGTTGCTTAAGAAGCTTCGTGGCCTCTATGACTCGTGCATAGACGAGGACTACCTCAACGAGGTTGGCGAGGCACCTTTGAAAGAAGTCACGGATAAGATCCGCCAACTCTTCCACGGCAAGACGACTGTTGTAGACCACTTTGAGCCCACCCCGGAGAAGGAGAGGGAAAGGCTGACAGCTACGGTTGCATACCTTCACTCGCGTGGTGAGCAGCTTCTGTCTAGCATTGGGCGTGTGAGTGCGGCCTTAACTGTACACAGGTATTGGTGGCCTGTTCTCCTACGTTATTGACGGAGACGTCGGGAACGACCCCAACTTCATGACACTCTGGATAAGCCAGCCTGATCTGGGTCTTCCCTCCAAGGTACTGTCATGCTTCCATCCTACTCAGTCCGCTTGTCTGAACTCTCAATAGGAGTATTATGAGGAAGAGTCTATTGTCGACCTATATCAGAGCACACTGCAGCGCCTCCTCGTGACGCTCGATAATGAGGACGATGCGCTTTTGCCAGAAGAACTCACAGAAGAGGAGACGCACAAGCTGGTCGTTCACGAGGAGCGTCTTCGAGTCTGGCCTCCTTGGCCCTGGCCGCCTTGGGGTGATGACGACGATGGGGACAAGGACAGCCCGAAAGAGAATCGCACCGAGCGTGCACACAGGCTCGCGAAGGCCGTGATCGAGTTCGAAAAGCGAATTGCGAACGCGAGTCTCGACCTGTGAGTCTCACATCCCTCTCTTCCTGTATCGCGCCCCCTTCTTAACATCACCTCCAGCGACGTCTTGTACCAGGATCCGGTTGCAACCTACAACCCCGTCCCTTTCAAGATCGTCAGCGACTCTCTCCCACAGTTCGACTTCTCGACGTACTTCTCCGCTTTCGTCCCGCGCAACTTCCCCTCGACGATCATCCTCACCTCTACGACGTACCTCCCGTCCCTCTCGGCTATCTTGAACGAGACGGATCGTGACGTGCTCGAGGCGTACTTCGTCACTCGCGCCGGGCTCGAGTACGCGTCGTATCTGGGGCTCGACACCGAGGCTTGGAAGGCCGTGCGCAGCCTCAACGAGGTGCTCAATGGGATCAAGAAGGGCGCTGTCGGCGACCGCGCGGAGTACTGCGTGTCCCAGGTGGAGAATGCGTTGGGCTTTGCGCTGGGAAGGTACTTTGTGAGGGAGACGTTTGGCGGGGAATCGAGGAAGGTCGCGAGGAAGGTCATCACCGGTGCGTTTCACGTGTTCATTGTGCTACGGAAGGGCTGATGTGTGTGGATAGACATCATCGGGGCTTTCAAGCAGTCGCTGAAGAAGCTCGAGTGGATGGACGAAGAGAGTGCTGCCGCCGCTGCCGGAAAGGTATGCCTCCCTGCCCAGTTGATGACTTCGTGTACGCTGAGGCCGGCTTTGTAGGCGGACGCACTGCGCGTCAAGGTCGGGTACCCGCTCTCGCCCAACACCGAGGACCCTCGCTCTCTCGCTAGCTACTATGCTCGCGTTAAAATCAACAACGACACGTTCTTCGAGAACATCCTTAGTGCCGAGTAAGTGTTACCGATGTATGCGTTGGTGAGCTGTTCTGCTGACCACTGTTCCTCATGGCATTGCAGGATCTCTGAGCAAGTCCGCACATGGTATCAGATCGGGAAGCAGCGCGACCCCCTGTCTTGGGAGATGTATGCGTCTACCGTCAACGCGTACTTTAATCCGCCCGCCAATGAGGTACGTCCGACTCAGTAACTCAGCCGCGTCCATATGCTCAACCCGCGGCCTCTAAGATCGTCTTCCCGGCCGGTATCCTCCGGCCTCCATTCTTCCAGGTTGACTGGTGAGTGTAAAAGCTGCACGCGTACATTGTAGACCTCAGCCTCACTCTTGCCGCAGGCCTGGCTACATAAATTACGGGTCGTTTGGACACGTCGCTGCTCATGAGCTCACAGTACGTCTCTATCCCAGTGATCGCTAGAACGATGATTGCTAACATCGCTGTACCTTCTAGCACGCGTTCGATTCGGCAGGCCGGCTGTACAACCAGGACGGAAAGTTGGAAGAGTGGTGGACGAACACGACGAGCGAAGGCTTCAACGTCCGTCAGAAGTGCATCGTGGACCAGTACTCCAGTATGTCATGGTTCAGCCTTTCTCATTGCGTCGACTCACCAGGCTTTCAGACTACACGGTCGATGATGGCAAGGGCGGCAAGATCCACGTCAACGGCAATCTGTGCGTAGAGCCCTTGACAAGATGTCTGATATTCACTCAACATGACCGGTGACAGCACTTCTGGCGAGAATATCGGCGACAGCGGTCTCATCCAGGCGTTCCGAGCTTGGAAGGCGCAGTACAGTGAAGATACCGAGGTCCTTCTTCCTGGGTTGAACTACACTCGGTAAGCTCCGTCGAACCATTCGATAATTGTTACCACCCTGATTGCGCATTCGTAGCGAGCAGCTATTCTTCATCTCGTTCGCCCGCAGCTGGGGTCAGAACATCAAGCCTGAGGCTGCCGTAAGTATTGATAGTCGTCTATGGCACCATGCGAATAACTCAAATAACGTTCACGCAGGTCGCAAGAGTACGTACAGACCCGCATTCACCCAACCGCTACCGCGTGGATGGCACCGTCTCGAACATCCCGGAGTTTGCAGCAGCGTTCAACTGCTCGCCGAAGGCGAAGGTCAGTCTCACTACCCTTCTAACAGCACAAGGGGGGTGCTGACTTGAAATCTAGCTCAACCCTCCACAGGAGAAGAGGTGCCTCTTTTGGTGAAGGAGACGACAGGAAGGAGGAGATTGTACAACATCGACGCTATTTATGCAACAGACTGAATACACTACACACGTGCATTAGTGGCTCTTGATAGATGACGGCCGCTCTACGTGAGCCAGTCAATACATCAGTCTCCGGCCGTCAATATCAGTCCATTTCGGCGAGGTACATGTCATGGCCACGAGGGAACGACAATGATACTGCCGAAAGGGTCGGCAGAGTGGGCTCGGTGTCCTGTGTGCCGAGCCCGTGCAAATACAGGAAGAAGCGAGAGACAAAGACGGGGATTAGGCTGGATGAAACCAGGACGAAACTCGTCAGGATACCACGTAATAACAGTCCGTGGTAGGGCATTCACTCACACCCTTGGTACAACTACCACGCCATTGAACGGAACAAACGAAACTACTACTTCTGTGATGTTAATGACTGACAGCGTACTGTGGAATCAAGCAGAGTCCATGAGGTCCGAGGTGCAGCCACCAACGGGATCAACGTACCCAAACGTCTGCAATCCATGCCACAGTAGAAACGACGCGAATGACGCAGACAATCCAAACTCTCTTGCGGTACGGATTGTGCTCCATGTTTGGACCCATGTTGCAGCAAGTACCAGGCCATTTGATAGGAGAGCGCATGTTCGCGATAATATGAATACTATTGACTGGCGTTAAGGCAGTCTGCATGTGCAGGCCTCGATACCAATACGCACGTCTGGCAAGGCCAAAGGGTTGAACTGTTGCACCGAAAACCAGACAAGGAGAGGGGGGCTTACATGTGTAATGTCGTGCCCGCGATTTCCGGGACAATTTGCACGCAGTTAAGGCTCGTCGAAGGAGATATGGTTGTCTCAGCCATGATGTACTGCGCTCCATTCAGCTCGCGTCCATTGTAGGAGAAAATACATACCACATCTATGATTACAGTTGTAAGCCCTAGTAGGACGATAGGTAAGGTTATCTTCCAATTACGCATGGTGACCGCATGCGCGCGCAAGCCGGCAAAAGCTGTTGGAAAGATCGTCTAGACCCCTGAACGACGTCGCCAGAAAGCAGACATACCAACCCATGCAGCATAGAGCAAAGGGTTGCATGCTTGTGTTACACGAGTTAAGGTCTTGCAGCTGCTTCATAGTGAGCCGATGCAGAATGAGACGAAGGAGTGCAATCACCTCTGTTCATTGAAAGGAGACCCCTTCGGTATTGCCACAACTATGGTGAAACGTGCACTCACCGAGAAATCCTGCCCAGGTAGAGAGATGGCAAAGGAACAGAAATAGTAGAGAAGACCAATATATCTGTTTAACAGGGAGACAACTTTCGCCCATGAAAGCTTATGATCCCATAAGAAGTCGATCTCGCGGTCCAGCGTGGTAAAGTATTCAAAAGCGAGCATCGCTGTCGTTGATAGAGGTCGTAAGGCAGATATTGGGAACAAGGTGAACTGTTCTTGCCTACAGGGGCAACGGCTGAATAGCGGTATGCTCGACTGCGCAGAAACCGACGATCAGTATGCTGATCTTCGTGTAACCAGAGAAGTCACTGGCGACCCACCTATATTCCTCATCGTCCAACCACAGTGAGTCGCTGTTGGTAACGTCCATTATTCAAGGGCGTTGGCCAAGACACATAGTGACAGCAGGTGGGGCAAGAGATGTAAGAGGGAGATGGCAGGTGGCGGCGGCTTCCCTACTTTGACCTCTTATATGGTGGGGACTGGCAATGTATGCGCGCCGACCACCAAGCTGTTAATATATAGACTTACGTGAACACGTATATGCCGGGGCCCACTGCCATGGGATCTGCCTGAGGCACATCGTCCTCGGTCCGAGCTGTGGAGAAAGTTGAGAGTAGTGGCTGTACGGGACCTTCCCTAGGCTCAATTTGCTACTGGCAGTAACACCGGGGGCACTACCTGCCATATATCGGCAGAAACCAGAGGCCGACATGATCGCGGCCAGAGTATTCGCAGTAATATGGTTTTGCGCTGTGAATGCCGCTGGAAGCTCCACGAATGAGGTATCATACATTCATGACCATTCATCTGTACTAGCAAGGTAAGCACGGAGCCTCGAGGGCTGAGTTTTGTGTAAAGTCTCAAACCTGTGTAGCATCCTTCAATGAGCTCAGCTGCGACAGCTATCGTGGACCCTACTAGGTACCACTTGTAGCTATAGACGGCTCGTGGACCACGTGAGGAGTTACAAACAGCAACACTAGTGCTTCGTGTCTTTGCGAGCGCCCGCAGCATCTTCGGACAGCTCGCGGCACTCTCGGCACACATACTACGCGAGGATCTAACCCGCGAGAGGAGGAATATACGAGATTCTGATTGATGTCCCCTTTCCTTCCGCCCAGCAACATGTCCCCTTCGGGGTGACATACGAAAAAATTGGAACGATACAGAGAAGATTAGCATGGCCCCTGCACAAGGATGACACGCTTTCCCGGAGTGGTAGACCTACGGGTCTCAATATTTATCTTTTTCGTTCTAGTGAGCCTAGAAAGCTCACGAGACAGCGCACTCCCACATCGTCGTCAACGCAGACCTGAGGCCTTGTAGTGGCAACTGCTCGAATCGCAGATCTAAACGGCCCCAGAGGCGGTCTCGAACCATGCGTTTTCGCACGGAGGCACGGATATCCCTATCGTCCTGTGACATGTCTGACATCAGACGAGTTGCAAAGGCCCCAATTCCAGCATACCGCCGTGAGTGGTAGCAGATCTTTGCGATAAAGTGGTATTGGCAAAGCAAAAAGATAGCACAACAACTCGTACACAGCATGGCAACACTACTAGTACTGATACAACAAGAACCGCAGCTTGTACAGACGACAGAACCATCGCGCGGCGACGCTGTCTACCCCAAGCAAGATGACGCATGCAACGTCTTCTGCTTAGAGCGCCAGGGCCGCTCGCGGACACCTGGCGTGTCCCTCACCGGCCGTACGTGGAATGCAGACGCGTCATATCCAGCGGCGGAGGCCGATTCGACTTGCGCTTCGACTTGCGCGGACCGCTTGCTTGGTAGGGCTTTGCGGACACTGGAGGTTTCGGTGACGGCATCGCGGCGGCCGAACGCAGGCTGCCTTTCCGGGAGGGCGTGAGGAGCGCGCTCACCGGGGGCTGGCCGAACGTTGTCGCTAACGAGCTCGAGCGTGGGGGGCCTGGTGAGGGCTTGATCGTCGATGAAAATGGTACGTACATCGCCGACGGGGGGAGACCCGTCGGCGTTGACGTGAGGTCAGAACGATCGGAGCCCGAACCGCCTGAACCTGACGAGTACGACGAGTACTCGTCTGAAGGAGGTGAGGCGGGCGTCACTGTTGCGGAGATCCATGCGCTCTGAAGAATCTTGGCCGACTTGTTGGCAGTGAGCGGCGTCTTGGTATTCCGGAGTGCGGAGGGTACGGCAGAGAGCTTTTCGTGATCGAAAGTCGAGCTCCTGACCACAGAGCTCTTCATCGTGGAGCTCCGCATAGCCGAGCTCTTGAGCGTGCCGCTCGCAACCATCCGGTCTGAGAAATCAGAAGGGAGGCGTATTGAGGGGGCGGCAGAGGGGAGAGGGGCTTTCGACCATGTTGTGCGCACGGGGGAAGGTCGAGCGCTGTTGAGTTGCTCGCGCAGCCTGAACCAAGGATATGTTCTCGTGTGGGCGCTCCAGATCGTGGAGTCGTCCTTCATGTGGATGATGGCAGACACCATCAAGACGCAGAGATAGACAAGTACTGGAACGGCGTCAGAGATCTGACCGTGAACGGGCAATCTGAAACGACTCACGATTGGCCATCCCTATCCACGAGAACGCGAGAAGCACATCTGTTGTTGCGCATGCGCCGGGAAGAAGAAGATTTGCTACAACACGATATGATTCATGATTATTTCGCAAGATGACAGACGTTTGCTCACCTGCAAAGCTGCACATCATGTTGGGAAGCATAGCGGTGACAGCGGCAGCACCAGCTAAGGGCTGATGAGAACATATTTCACGCGTTTCTAGACTGTGCGGACTTACCGAGATTCAATATCCAGAACAGACCGACCCAAGCACACTCAAACCATACCCGACTGACAAGGGCGTTTTTGCGTAGTTGGTCGAGGAACATCACTGGGAACATCCATAGGATGCCAGCTGCGCCGATCGCAATGAGGTATGCATCAACGAATGCTGCGAAATCATAGCACGTCAGGAAAGCTATGTCGATTGCAAGAGGTGGATACGCACGAGTCCACCCAATTTCTTGGGCTAATGTCAGATTCCATACCGCGATAACACAAAGGACAGCATTGCAAAGAGTGAAAAGGGCTGGACGATTTGTTACTAGTCAACATCATCGTTCGATTTGCTCGCTTATAACGCTTACCAAAAGAAGAGTACCGGCAAGAAGAAAGAGAGAAGTTGACCATGGCGTGCACGAGCAAAAGCGCAGAGCGTTAGAGAGGACTGGGACCGGTCGACGGTAGCGTGCAATCGGATTAGTTGGCCAACACGATGAGATTAAGTACCAGCTCCGTGTCCGGAATCCTGTCCGACAATGCGTCAAGCAAGTGACCTTGGGAGAGAAGAAGGAAACAGAAACAAAGGAGGGTGAAAGCACAAAGCTCGAGGCCAAACAACCCCTGACGTGCCGAATATAACAGGTCTCGCGCTGCATCGCCAAGGATTACGTACTCGCCCTCTGAAACCTTGAGCCAGCGCGGTGATCATCCCGTTGTTATGGACACAACTGCACGCTTCCTCGGGACTACCGTCCCCGCTCGACCTCCCCGAATTCTGACCTAGCTCTGGGTGGAATGTTTGTGCGCATATATTGGACTCCTGAGGCAGACTTACTTTCATTCCACCTGTTGACCAACAAGAATGTCTTCATATTCTTTCGGCGCTGCTGCACACCTGTCAAGATATGGCTGATTGTGTTGGATATGAATCACGCTCCGATCCATCATTACATCCACACCGTCATTGCCGTTAGGAACAGACAGCGCCGGAACTTGGCAGCGCATTTCATCGCCCATTGATCAAGACAGGCGGCGCACCTGACTGACCGAGATTGACGCAAATGAGCGTCGATGGCGCTCTGTTATAACACGGAGCGATGTAACAGCCCGAAACAACTGAGTATACAGGCGTTGTATTGTCGTCAAAGCCATAAGTGTGTAAGAATCCAAATGGACGAGGGCGCTACAGACCAAGGAGCTCCAAGTATGGACGCTGCAAACGGCAATCAAGCAAGACGCCGGTGGCGTCCCGACATCCTCGTCCCCGGCTTGGAGACTTCGAGTCTGTCCTCCACTTGGCCACCACCGGGTCCACTCGCTCGTTACAACAGGAAATTCCACCATACGCAAGTCTTAGCTACACGAGTCCGCCATCCTTCCACTCTGCAGACACCTGCAGTCGGTTCGACTCCCTCTGAGTGATATCGGTACCCCGAGGACAGCCTACGTGACCTGCGTACAGAGATGCGCGTCGGTACAGGCTATGGCGACATCATACGCTCAGTTCTGATTTGTTGCGCGGTCGCTGCCAACGCGTTCGTACACCATCAGTCAATATCATCTACACGTCCCAGACTGACCTCTTGCCGTTTCCTGCCCGCAGGTTATGTGGCGGAGGCGTCTACAGCTTCCCGCTCATTGCACCGACCCTAGTGGAACATCTTAAGCTTACACAGCCTCACTTGACGACCATTGCCTTAGCGTGAGCTCAGGTCTCGTCGTGGATACGGGTTGATCAGGTGCTCAAGAAGCCTTCAACAGGGGCATGGCTGGGCAATATCCATTCGCGGCAATCGCAGGAATAGCAATTGATCGTTATGGCGCATGGTCATGCTCGTTTGCCGCATCCATGCTGTACTCTGTTGGGTTCGGATTGTTTGCGAGGGAAGTAGCTCAAGCACCCGCAGATGTAACGTCTGCGTCCGATGGCACGTTCCATAGGCTTGTCCTCTACTTCGGGATGATCGGTCTTGCTACTGTATCCTCGTATGTCTAGTCATCCTGCTATAACTTGTGAACCTGGCTAACACCCGGTTTCTCAGATACTTCTCCTTGTTGTTTGCTGCGACCAAGTCGTTCCCGCAGTACATTGGCATCGCCTCCGGGACGAGCATGTCTATATTCGGACTCTCGCCGCTATTCTTGTCTCTCGTCGCCTCTAAGCTGTTCACCGTGCCTGGCCAGATTCTTGATGTGTCCAGCTATTTCACTTTCCTGGCTATCGTGACAGGCTCCATACACCTGGTCACTGCTGCGATCTTCCGCGCCAACCAGCGGTTCTATAGCACAATTGAGGAGGCAAGGTCGGCGAACTTAGACACAGAATCTGCAGCTAACGGGCAAGAGGCGGAACCTCTTCTCGCGAATGCGGCGGAGGAATCGGACGATGCCCCAAAGGACCCTGTCAATGTCCGCGTCGTACCCGTGAAGGAACCCCAAGAAGGCAGTAGCCTCGACCTGTTCAAAGATCCGTGGTTCTGGGTCTTCGCCTCCTGGATAACGATTATAGTTGGCTCCGTATGGGCTCTTGTACGATGCGCTCTTCCGCTACTGACATAGGTTTTCAGGCTGAGATGGTCATCTCGAACCTGGGCTCTATCGTCCTCTCCTTGCCCCCCAGCACATCGGCAGGGAACGCGACGGCCAACGTGTCCAGCCAAGTCCGCCTCCTCTCCTTCTTCAACACCATCTCGCGACTGCTCATTGGTCCGCTCGCCGACGCCCTTGCGCCGGTGGCTGCGCACCTCGACGGCGTCTGGGCGTTCTCCCGCAAGCGGCACACCAGCAGGGTCGCGTTCATGATCGCAACGTCGCTGTTGCTTGCGCTAACGTTTGCGTGGCTCGAGCTGGGGGTCAGGGCGCAGGAGGACGTATGGTCACTCAGCGTCGGAACAGGGATCGCCTACGGCTCGACGTTCACGCTCCTGTAAGTGCCATCCCAATCTCGCATGCGACGAACTACTCATGTCGCGCATCCTCGTAGACCTGGAATCCTGTCGTCGATCTGGGGCCTCAACAACCTGGGCCGCAACTTCGGCTACATCTCTTATGCCGCGTTCATCGGCACCACAGTATTCTCGTACCTGTATGCGTTCATCGCCGCCCGCCACGTCCCGCCCGGCGAGACGGCGTGCAAAGGCGTCCAGTGCTGGCAGTCGACGTTCTGGATCAGCGTGGGGACGGCCATCGTTGCCTGCATTGTGTCCTTCGTACTGTGGAGACGATGGAGGGCTAGAGTATGAGGTCGCCTCCCAAGTATGATGACATAGCATCGTTTGGAAACCCTCTGTAGAGTCTGCTCGAGTCCAGCAAGTATCGAGATAGAACATGTAGTGTATTGTACAGTATATTGCTCGGACATGGATATCTACTCCCCTTTTGCTGCAGGATGGGACGCAGACTTGCCCTCGGGGTATCCGAACCAAATGCCCAACAGCAACGCCGCGTTGGCGGCAACCAGGGTTCCGGATGAAAGGTTGGTCGACGGGAATACATTCCACGCGTACTCGATCCCTAGTAAAAGCGCAAGCCTGGAGCGTGGTGAGCAACATCATCGGGGCCCTTTGCTGGCTGGTGAGCGTACCGTACGACGACCGGATACTTCGTCCTCCAGGCAAGGAATGGGAGTTGCACCGCATACCAGGAGTAAAACTGATAGTGGAGCGACCGCGCGAACAGAATGCCAATGAGATTTGAGGTGTACAGAACCGTAGTAACGTCTGTGGAGACCAAGTCATGAGCAGCTGAAGCATCCTTCACCGCTGAGTATAGTACTTACAGTCCGCTGTCAAGGGCGCCACTGCGGGAGCTCGCAGAGGTTGCTCGAACCCTCTCCTGAGGACCGCCATCACACCACCATCACGCCTGCACCAACGAAATAGCCCAAACAGAGCCAAGGTGGTGACATGGGCAACGAGGAGAGCCTCGGCCCATGTCGAGTTGAGGAAGAGGTCCTCGCCGAGGAAACGCCAGTTCACGGTCCACTTGAAGAGGAAGACCCTCCCAAGCTCATACGAGTATTTGAGGTATGACCGGGGATGATAAAGGAGGAACGGCAAGCCGGCGAGTACCTGAGTTGCCCCGAGTGCAAGTACGTGAAGAAGAGTAGAGACGAGACCGCGGCGCTTGAATAGGATGACGAGCAGGCCGGGCACGTAGAGTAGAACTGACATCTTGACTGACAATCCAGCACTATTCCAAATGATATGAAGGTGGATGAATACACCCAAGAATGTGGGGCTGCGTACCCGAGAAGAAGGATGCCGAGTGCATCCCAGCCACGCGCGAAAGCAAGGATTGCAGCTTGGGCACCGACAACAGCCCAACAATCGTTGAAGAGACGTAGCACATAGATGGAGTGCAGTCGCTTGCTGAGAGGAAGCAGGAGCAGAATCCAGTTCGGCACACCGCCAGCTTGCTTGTATATGGCTGCCGTGAGAGCCAGGGTTATGAGGTAGAGTCCTCCATAGATTTGCTGGCCCTTCCAGAGGTTCTGCCCGGCGTCCGTCAAAGAGTACAGCATGTGGTGGACATACACATGCCCTGCTGGATATCTGCCAATTGCCTTGATAGTCAGTCCGTCTCGTACATCACAAACAATAGGTCACGCACACTATGGGCCCAGTTGGTCCTGTAATGAGAGCATAGTCTCGTTCCCCCTTCATGTACAGCTCCAACTGGTACATGTAAGTCTCCCAGTCAATCTCCGTGTCTGCAGAATTCGCGTCAAGTCGGCGACATTGGGGCAGGATACACTTGCTGACATGGTACGAAGCGTACGATGAGTTGTGTCAGGACAGCGTCACCGACGATTACGAGTGTTGCGAGGGTGCCGAAGTAACGAGGGTCCGTGAGCAGATTGTATGCGAGGTTCCATAGTGATTGTGCGAGTTGAGCGATAGTAGACATTCAGACGCATAGAGAGGTGGGTGCCAAGTACAAGCCATGGTAGACTGGGAGTCGACCCGGACAGCACTTGGGTGCTTTGCCGCTCTAGCGTATGCGAAGCCCTTGCCGGTCAGTCCTTGAACTCATCTTGGACCATGCAGGCACAATGATACTGCAGAAAAGTGCGGGACTGGACTACGCAAAGGTAAGCATAACGCAAATGACGGCTGGTTTCCGAGTTCAAGGAGGCAAGGGCAAAATAAATATTGAGACCCGTAGGTCTACCACTCCGGGAAAGCGTGTCATCCTTGTGCAGGGGCCATGCTAATCTTCTCTGTATCGTTCCAATTTTTTCGTATGTCACCCCGAAGGGGACATGTTGTTGTGCGAAGGGGCAAGCGACATGTGTTGCTGTTCTGCATTTTCCTGCCTTCGCGGGTATGATCCTTTCGGTGCGGTTGCCGGCGGCGCGTCCATTGCCTGAGAGGCGCTCTCGGGCGTTTGCCACCACCTCCTTGTCTACGACCATCGCATCGGTCTGCCCGAGTCTCGACCTAATCTCTCGTTGACTTGCATCATACGCTTGCACGCCCCAATGCTAGACGTCGGTTCGCCCGCTTAAGCGTATGAGAATAAATAAATACAAGGCACAACGATGAGCGCTTCGCCGTGTAAAGCCCGCCAACCGCTTCGCGAGGTAGCTATTGTTCTCGTTTAGAGCCATTGTCCTGCGCGTGTTACGTCTCCGGGCCTCCCACCTTATTAAAAGCAAGTATGCGTCCCGCCTCAGCTCCTTTGTGGCCCCGGCGGTCCCTAGTAGACTGCTTTAGACTGCTTTGGATTATCCTCTTTTACGGCCTTGGCTCCGACCGTACTCCAATTCCTCCACACCTTCAAAGGGCTTGCTCGACGCGTCGTCTGTTGCGCGACATCCATCGCTACCCACTATCCCCTTGCTGCTCAACTGTACACTCGGGCTTGACCTTCCTTCCAGTTCATCCGCCTGCGTGTCTGACATTCTCTGCTACGCCCTGCTCTCAACCTACGACCCAATTCGACGCGCTCTTTTCTACCATTACCTCTAGATTATCCTCTGCTATCATCCGTCATAATGTTTGAGGGCCTTCCCCAGTCTTGCGAGACGCGAAACCCGTTTATTGTCTTGCGTTTCGTGCTTTTAGGTATGCAACTTGACACCCTCTTCGATGTCTAGGCTCACGACTTTCGTAGGCATCTTGGCCTATATCAACATCCTCACTATTGGGTTTGCAGCGTGGAACCTGACGGTGCTGAGGGATCTTGACGTCCATGGTGGGCTCCTTTTGTCTGCGCTTTGACTTCCATCTGACCTTCCGCACAGTGCTCGGGTCACCTACCTTCGTACTGTTCAACTCGTGCCTCCTTCTGACCCTTCTGGCCTTGTGAGTGTTGCGAATATTGGTGCTTGTTCGCTCGGCGCTGACAGCATTCATAGCTGCTTTGCTTCGTCGCGGTTCCCCGTCAAATTCATCAACCAGGTGCGCTATGAGTGCGCGTGGACAGGGGCTCTGTCCACACTGCAACTGGGCGGCTGCGTTGCCGTCACCGCGAACGGTCCTCCTGTCCTTTGTCAAGGCATCAGCATAGTCGCTTGCGCGTCTTCTTCGCTTGTCGTCGCACTATCGTGGATATCCTGCATGATTCGTACGTCTTCACCTTATCTCGTTATGAAGCGGCGTGTTGATGTTATTCTGCAGTCATCTTGTATTCCTTCTCGTTACTCACGACAACCGTAACGCACATGCACGTCGTCGCGGACATCTGGATGTCTTCAGTATATGAGGTCCCCTGGTTTGTAGGGCCTTCCACCACCCTCGAGTACACCCCGCGCGTAGCTCGCACCGAGAAGGCACGTCATTCCGACGTACTCGACATCAAGCGCTTGTCCTTCCACTACCCAACGCCCATCTTCGAGCAGTTCGCCAAGCCCCTCCCTCCCTCTCCTCAGCCGGGGTCTGCGCCCCCATCTCCCATCTGGCCACATCGCCAGAGCATTCCGGACTCGCTCCACGCAATCCCACCCGTCGACCGCCGTTCAACCTGGACGAGCCGCCTCCTCACGAACACACGCCCTACCTCGCTCGCGCACAAGCCGAGCAAAGAGAGCATGCGCCCGAGCTGGGCGAAGCGCGTCTCGCCCCGCCGCGGGGTCGACGCGCCGTTCGCGATGCCTCCCATGCCGCGCTTTTCCTTCCGCCAGCCCGTGCTGCCGCCCGTCCGCCCGCTCCGTCCGCTCAAGCTCAAGTCGTGCTGGAGCCAGACGACGGTGAACTCGCCCCCGCCCGTGCCTGCGCTTCCGCAGAAGGCTGTCGTCGTCGGGGGTCCCGGCTTGCCGTCGAGCTCCCCCACGGGGAGCTTCTATATCGACTTGGAGCGCGACGCAGTCGTGCCCGTGGGCGATGCCTCGCGGCCGGTGTCGTACGGGATGTTCCCGGAGGACGTTGGAGACCCCGACCAGCCCGTGACGCGTGCGCGGCTGTCGCAGTGGGTGCGCGCCGGCAGCGAGACGTCGTCTACCCGCTGAGGACCTCCCCTGGACTGGTTTTATCTTCTGCGCCCACTTTGACGTGGCTGGACTCTGGACGCTTGCCGCTCCATTTTTGAGACATTGACTATGGCAGACGCTGACAATGCCTACGACCCCACACATCGCTAGCCGACGTACGACCGGTTACACATCATTGCACATAGGATCGCTCGCATTGTTTTCTCACGCACTCGCAACTTCTTCCAGCATCCTGTCATCTGTAGTCACAGTGTAGCCACACCCATACGGACTGTATCAATTAGAAGGGTATATTCTCCGACGTCCATGTAGCGACGAACTCTTGTGTTTCTACGTAGCTAGCTACCACCCCTTGTACATAGCACATCCCACTTTAATGTATCCCAAGCAGCCGCGGCGCGAACGCGCGCGCGTAGAACAGAAAGATCCATAAATATCTGCGTGATAGGTCATGCACATGTCCTTAAAATCATCCTGGAGTAGGCGATGCACATCGCTATTTCTACACGACAGAGTGCGGTTTGTGATGTATTACGGTTCGTCGCGAGCCTGGCTATTATTTTGGTCCTGCTCGTAATAAGCGAGACGTGCGCGCAGCTGCTGGTTCTCGTTGCGAGCCGACTGTAGGGAGGCGGTGGCGCGCTTGAGTGCCTCGCGGGTCTCGGCGAGGACTTTGGCCTGCTCTTCATCCAGCTCCCCGGCGCTGACCGCGATACCTGACGATGTAAGGTGTGTCACTTTGAGAAAAGAGCGCCGCAGTCGTCTCTACAAGGAGCGTTCCGCCCACCTTGGACGAGCTTCACGAGACGCCATAGACGCAGGATGATGAGCAGCGAGGCGAGCTCCCGCTCGCGGCCGCGCAGGACGACCTCGAGCACGAGGGTCGTCAGGATGACGACGGCGTCGAAGAAGTGCAGCGCCGCGTGCGGCACGCCGCCGAACGGGTTGAACTTCTGGATGCCCTGGGCCCAGATCGTGACCGGGATTTCGACGAGGAAGACGGTGGTGATGGCGAGCGAGATCTCGGCGAGGATGTTGAGCCAGAGAGGCGTCTCGGGGCCCTCGATGGGCGTGCAGTCCGAGGAGAGGAAAGTGTAGGCGAGGTCGGCGAGGACACAGGCCGAGTCAATGAGTACCTATGTGAGGTTGTGGTTAGAGACGTGGATTGCGGGTGGTGAGCAGTTAGTAACGACTCGAAATGAGTACGGACAAGGGCTATGACGATGTAATGGAGGAAATAAGACTCGAGGAACTCGGAGGTCTGGACTTTGGCGCGCTCATATTTGCTTGCTGGGAGGGTTGACTGAGATTCGAGATAATCTCCTGAATCGGGGACGTTTACTGTAGGGAGGAGAGGGTCTTGCTCGGACATCTTGGCACAACAGTACTCGGAGGGTCGATGGCACAGCCCCATAGTCGATGACGACCTGGGGCCGGGTCGGGCGGCCCGGGCGTGACAACCCCGTCTGGCCAACACGCGCGTCGACGTCGCATCGCGGCTTTCAGCGCAAGCCTGTCACTTCCATCTCAACACGGAACAGTCTTCTACTATCTATGTGTCCTCATACGAGAAACAGTTGAGAGAGGAAGGCTTCGACCTACACTGCACTCGCACACAACGTGCGAGTGCCTACCATGTCCTCACTACGGCGGCACATCTTATGCACAAATCACCATCTACTAGACTTCTACACGGCCTGTAGGCTGCGGCTCAACCAAGATCGTAGTATGGTTGCATACTGGTCCGCAGTCGCTTGCTGCAGCCTGGGCTGTCTTCGCTTCACTGGATGCTGTTGAACCCGCTACGGCAACTTGCGACGTGCGCGATATCGACCATCTCCCGACGCGCAGGGTGCCGCCTTGCAGCTCGGGATCGCGGAGATTCAGTAGCATCCGCGAGGTTATGGTCGTGCAGATGCTGTTGAATAGTAGTAGTATCAATCGCAGCAGGCCTCAGCACGATCAACCTATGAGATACGTACGCATTGGTTAACGATGTCAAAAAGCCCCTGTTGGTGTCTCCTATCTAGAGGATCGGTGAGCTCGACTTTAAGATGGGACGTGGAAAGCTTACGCTCGGTAACTAGAGCGAGGATGGTTCAGAAAACAGAAAAGTACATGGGGGCATTCCGGTGCTCACCACAAGCGTAAGAAGATTTCCTGAATTCACCAAACCCATTATGCTAGAGCCATGTCAGTGCGGGCCATCACTCGATAAGACGTGCTCCACATACATGTAGTAGACGGCTCCTGTAAGCAGCATACAGTCAGAGGACGCGCTAGGGCTGGCCTGACATGGTGCGAGTGTACTGACCATCTCGAAACAAAATCGAAAGCAGGCGGTGATGCCAGAACGGGGCCATTCTGAACGCCTTGGCCACGGTGAGGACGAAGATCATAGTGTCGAAACACACCATCGCGATCCAACCCACTGCAGCCCCTGCAGTCCCTGTCTAGGTGCATATGCTTTGACGCGTGCGGGCCACTCACGAATCGCCCTGAGTACTGTGATCAACAACAAGTCGACTGACACCAGAGAAATAAGGACGCTTACACCGGAAGACTGACGGAGAGATCACATCCAAGAGCTTGGGGAAGGATCTTCGCAGGGGGTTCGGGGGGTACCATCACGGTCATCGCGACGAGGGTAGCCTTATGTGACTGAGCTTCAGCCGCAGTACGTCTATAAACAAACAGGAACTCACAGCGAACATCACGATCCCGAAAGCGCAGAAGGTGGCCAAGAGTGCCTTGCTTCCGTTGTAAAGGGCGTAAGTGCGTATCACGAGTAGCACTACACAATGTCATGAATACGCAAGATGATCGAAAGGCCAGATAGACCTACGTCCAACGACGACTTGACTGGCTACAGTGAAGTACGCATGGTATGCTTGTATCTGTCGACAGCTAGCGCGACACTCAGGAGAAGTAAGTGATCATTCTGTAACACCAAGGATGAGGCAAACCGCTGTTCCATTTTGGTGATCAGTCAGGTGAAGACTTTAAGGTGTCAGCGAAACTCACTTGTGGGCTGTGATACATGAAGTATTCTAGCACGACTACGATATTCCCGAAGAGGCTCAAATATCGATTGATGACAAACAACAATGCGGCAAGGGAGAATCTAGCCCTTTTCCAGAAGTACTCAATCTCTCTTGCGATGGTCAACGAGTAATCGTAGAACAGTACGGCTGAAGGGAAGATGAGGATCTAGGGTATGTGCTAGATAAGAGATGAACTCAACTCAGCACGACCATTAGTAGGTTATTGTAGGCGCGAATGGAATCAGCCCTGTACGGAACGTACTCAGCAGGAGGACCATGGACAGCAAGAATCTGGACTTACAACGTCACAATGTATGCAACGGGAGCCACGGAGGACATGGTTAGAGACGAAGCTTCGAGGAGCCGTCGAGGACGCCATGACGATATTTAACGTATAGGTGTCAATTACATCCTTCTCGGCTGCCCGGGCCTCCGATGAGTCCGATCGCAGATGAGATTCTTCCTGCCAACATATCATCTGGCTATGCCAGCGTGAACTAACACGTCAGAGAGCTTCCCCGTCCCATATACGTCGCGATGTGAGACGTCCGACAGGAAAGTGAGGTCCTGATGTGCCGGCACCTTCCCAGGTATTCCACGGATCCACTAACTGTGGAAACGGGTCATGTGGGTTATAAATTAGACTATACGGTTGCCTCCCCCAAACGGCTATAGACAGTCTGCTTCGCACTTACCAGAAAAGTCTGTGGTATATCAGACTGGAAGACTGATGCCTGGTCGAGGCCACGGAGCACTGCTAGCGAATAGCGCTACCAAGCATGTGTTAGCGCTAACGCCGCAGCAGGTGAGGAAACCGTTCGCCCACGGCGGCGCGTGGTCACCGAGCTCGAAGTCGAAGCCCTAGCGAACGTGCTTCTTCCGTTGGACCAGTAGCATCTGGAAGAGATAAGGACACATCGATGACAGCGAAGTTGTCTCTCGCCTTGGCACCATGAATATGCCAAGCTGAGCAAATCGCAGTTATCTGTGGGCAAGTGCGCCAGAACCGCAATTACGAGGAAGACTCGACTGCACTTTGATATGCAAACGACTGTAAGAGACGACGAAGACAGGATGATATCCAGGATCCGAACGCCTGCGTCGAGGAATTTAAATGTAAGCACCCGGAGCTTGTGTACGACGTGCGCGCGGAAACCTTTTATCTCAGCTGTGTCGCATACCCCGGGCCGGACCGAGGACGTCCCACGCGCACGCGCGCTTGCCTCATTGGGACCAGTAACGGTGACTCAATCTCATCTTTCCATCCAGTCGGCGGTCGCCAGTTCCTTGCTCCAGGTGATGTCGCAGAAAAAGGTCAATGGCAGAAATTTGGATCCCATTCGCCCTTGCATCATGCGAGTCATACAGATCAACAAAACAGGAAAGGTGTCATACTGTCCTCCATTGTCATTGTCCGGCTGCTACACATAGTGGCAGCGAGTAAACCCTGGTCCACCTGATGGTAAGCTCACTGCCGCGGCCAGTTTCATACTGCCTCTGTAAACGCTGATTCCAAGATATCAGCTCCTTCCTGGAGGTCGTCCGTCATAAACGTATCAAGAATCACGGTCGGCGGCCTGAAGGACATCATCTTGGAGCTGAATTGTCCTGTGAACGACCCTTGATGTCGACGGGGCCCACCAAGTGGCACGCATGTCTGGATGCTTGGATCGCGAAGGTTGAGCATCAGCCGTGAAGTCAGTACAACCGAGAGTCTACGAGCAATCAGCGCATTTGAAGGGTTCAGAGATAGGGCAAGCGGCTTACACGTTGGTCAAAGTTGTAGCTGTCCCTTTCAAAGGATTGCCGGACTACTTGGGTAAGCCTTTTGCATTCTAACTGAGATTTATGACACAACTTACTGGTACAATCTGGATTGTTTGGACATCAGTTACCGAAAGATGCCCGTGTCTGGTATGCTTACCAGGAAGGTAGTGATGTTCAGAGTGTTGACGACAATGAGTATACTACACCGTCGTGACTCTGTGAGCAATACTGTGCAGCACAACTAACTTGCACTCACCCGTAGTATATTGTGCCTTCCCAAGCAAGTTCAGCGCACGCACATTGGGAAGGGAAAGGTGTTTGGATCCCACATACCGTCTCGGAACATTGTCACTAGCAGCATCCCAGGCATATAATGCCGTACCTGCATCGCTTTGTAGAACGTCAAAGCAAAGATCGCCGTGTCGAACCACAACATTGCACTCCATGCAAGTGCCAAATCTGACAGATGGAGTCGTCTTCAGCCGAATTCAGGAACAACAGCTAGATCGCTCACGAATACCCCTTCAGAAATGGTGAGATCAATGTTTACGCATTACGTGAAGCACTGGACTTACTGCTCGGTATTCAAAGACAGATTGCATCCAGTGATTCCGAAATTCAGCAGAGTGCTGGTCGATAGAGGACTGACACTGGTCAAAACAGCAGCCTAGAACACAATCATTGATTCCTTCAGCGCGGACCTCAGACGCATCGATGGATCTCACCAAGCTTTGTGCACCGCCTCCCACGAACATACCGACCAGCAATATGAGCACACGCTTACTGCGGTTGTACAGGGCGTATGTCCGTAGTATCAGCAATACTATGGTCCAGGTAAGCTGGCAGACCCCTGCTTTTGGAGTGTATCCCGCACCTGCGACGACTGCTTGACTGGCCACCGCAAAAACTTGGTGATACTGTTGTATTTCACGACATCTATAATTCCCGTCACAAGCCGAAGTGAGTTTTGCTATAGGCGAGCTCTTACTGCTGAAGGACAGGCTCAGTTCTGGCTTGAGTATAGACCGCAAGGCGTATCAGCTTACGTGTTCAGGGATGTGCCCAAAGTACTCGAGAAACACGGGGATTGGACCTAGTAAGCCGAAGTACCGGCTCACCGTGAATAGTACGAAGGGTACAGATGGCGAGGGCGGATTCCAATACCAATCGATCTCAGATGTCACAGTTAGGGCGTAATCATAATATAGGAGGGCTGTGCAGAATTGTCAGCTGTGATCGCCAGACATGGAGTAGTGATCAAGTCTCACTGAACGCCGCGAGCGTTATGCAAGTATCGAATTGCACGGAGGAAGCGCTATTCGTTCCGAGAGGTTAGGGTACTTGAGGTGCATAGGGGGAACAGTTACGTACAAGGTCTCCGCCGAGACTGCAACTTGCGGGATGCTCATGCCTAGAGTGAATGGGTGATCAGCACTGGATAGGAGTGTCTTATATGTATGGGGGGGCCCTGTATACCGTCAATCGGATCAGATACTTGGGCATCAGGCACGGCCGTATGTCCTGGAGGGTTTGGACTTGCCGAAGCCTCTTCGAAGGGTCCCTCGGGCCCTTAAGTTCACAGTACTTAGCTTCCATTCAATCCGCACTCTGAACCTGCGTGAATGTGTTGCACATATGCTGCGGCACAAGTTCTTTTCACATCAACGGTAAGCAGATTTACAGCCCGAATGGCAACGGTGTACGTACCGGGAAGCACCAAGGGGCGCGTCGAAGCTCAATTCCTCTTGGCAACTCATATAAATCGCAGCCGACTGCCCCTGATTCGCACAGTCAACAAAGCTTCCGTCGAGGTGCACGTTGATCATTTAATTCCCCGCACCCAAGAAGCGGGGGTTGTCAGGTCTACATCAGCATGAACATGCGTACGGGGCCGAGCTTCATGTACATTGTCAGATGGCCGCTAGTGTATTGTCATGGTGGCATGCTGACAGAGCTAGTAAGTACACTGTGGAAATACGCAAACTCATACTTCTTGGACGTCCCTGACACTGGAGCCTCTGTGAAACCTGGGAATCGCCGGGGAAGGTATAACATCAGCCTTGGGTGAAAGGAAAGATAGCCCAGTCCGCTGTCGAATCATTCATGCAGGCTAAGCGCAGAAGACCGGTCACGAGTGTCCCTCATATCATTTCCGCCGTCAAGCTCCGTGCTATGACTATGGATGCGGAATCAGCATCGTACTGCATATTGATCTAGCGATAATTATGAGTCACTGGGAGTAACACGAGGTATGCGGGATGAGTACTCCCTAGCGCTGTCCCTTCACGCTTTTGTCACCTCAGTGGCGACGGTGCGTGAGCTTCCGGATGACTCTGAGGAGTCCGAAGGGAAGTCGTCCAAGAGGATGTTATCGGTGATCAAGGTAGGTTGCATGAAGGTCATCACCCTCGAGCTGAATCGGCCACTAGTCCACACTGTTGCACTCCCTCCGAGGCGTCGCCTGTCTCGCGCAGTTGGGCTGCGGAGATTGAGCATCAGCCTTGAGACAAGAGTGACAGACATCCTAGGTTAGCGGAGGCTCAGCAACGAATGCTATGTAAAGAATAGGTTAATGTACATACACGTTCGTTAAGGTCGTCGCGGTTCCTTTCAGAGGCGTATTGGGCTACTCTCGTCATCATCTGCCATAGGAAGAGGAAGAAGTTGCACTTACACCAGTGAGCTATGAATGGTTCAATGTCCACTTCAAGTCAATGATGAGCGTAGACGAACGCACCAGGAACGTGAGAATGTTCAGTATGTTTACGACTACGAGGATACTAAATCTCGATGAGGACCAGGAACCGCATGATGGAACAACATGCTCACGCATAGTATAGCGAACCTTGGCAATGACAATTGAGTGTGCGCCACAGATAGCACAATTGAGGACGTACCATCTCGGAACATAGTCTCCGGTAGCCCGCCACGTATTTCGTGACGTATCTTAATGGATTTGTATAATGTCAAGCCGAAGATGGTTGTGTCGAACCACAGCAGTGCGCTCCAGGCGATGGCAAAATCTATAAGCACCCCATGGAAGAGGTCGCGTCACAATGAAACAGGAACTGCTTACGAGTTCCTCTGCAAAAGGGCGATCAAGACCAACGTTGTACCAGTGGAGATCTGGGATACATACTGCTCGTCCGTGAGCGACAGGTCGCATCCCGGAAACTTGAATCCAAGTGGGGTATTTATTGACAATGAACTGTGGCTCGTCAAGATCGCAGCCTGTAGACGAAAGCATCAGAAATGTCGCTTGACTCCTGGGGCTTGAGCTGCTCACGAAGCATTGGATCCCTCCACATATGTGTATGAATATGAGCACAGCAAGGACCCGCTTGCTGCAATTGTAAAGAGCGTAGGTGCGCAGGATCATGAGAACTAGATTGCCTGCTAAGTTGACTTTGGGTTGTGGATCCGCAATCCAGGCAACACGTACCACCAACCATCGCTTGACCCAGGTAGGCGTATATTTGGTGGTAGAATTGTAATTGTCGACACCTACATATAATCAGCAGCAGGATCGAAGAACAAGAGAGAACACGACCGCTACCGCTAGTAGGAGTCAACCCGTCAACGGATGGTAGTAGTGCTCGAAGAATCGACTACTCACGTGCTCAGGGAATCCTCCAAAGTACTCGAAGAAAACAGGCAGTGGGCCCAGCAAACCCAGGTACCGGCTTACAACGAAGAGCACGAAAGGGGCCGACATTGAGGGTGGATTCCAATAGTATTCGATCTCGGAGGTAATCGTGAGCGCGTAATCGTAGTACAGGATGGCTATATGAATGTCAGGTCAAATAAGGCCACTTGAAGACAGTCGACCTACAGAATGCCGCGAGCGTGAGCGAGGAATCCAGCCTCACTGCGGAAACGCTGTGATGTGCAGGAAGAGCTCAACAACGAAGGCTGATCGATCAAGCAATATGGATTACATACAAGTCTGCGGCGGACTGCGGTGCCGACATTGTCATGTCGTCTCGAGGAAGAAGGCGGGTGGCGTATGCCTACTACCTCGTCCTTTATAGACAGACTCCCTGGCAGCGTGAGCCTGATGAGCGCTGGTAGTCAGTTGGTCGTGGACTAGGATGAGGAGAGTACCTAAACTTAAAACGTCCCCACGGCGTGGTACTTTCGACCAACCTCTGCTACATGGGGATTCGAGGCGTAACAGGATCTCCGAAGTCTGCGGATGCCGAGTCCGGTCAGCACGCATGGGAATGCATCCAATAGCTACTCACAGGCTAGCCCAAGGTTCTTCTCGCACCGCATCCAGAGAGGGTCTGGTACTGCTGCACCAGAGCAGCTCGCTCCCACGTCCAAATGTGTACCCGTTTGCGCCCGCCGGAAGTCGAAAACGTGTCAGAGAGTCATACAAGGTTGGCAGCGGTGCCTTCGGGTCTCGTTCACGCGAGTCCAACAGAACAGCTCCCTGCTGTGACAACGCCGGGTGACAGAGGCCGATGTTCGCCCAGCAATATCGCGTAGGATATGCAGGAGGGAGAAAGACATACTACTCATGGTCAGCCTCGGGCTCGGAAGCATTCTGGAGAGCGGTAGCACGTACCTTGAACTTGAAGCTTCTTCGACAACCCGTCCAAGAATGGAAGTTTTTGTAGTCCCGTGGGAGCGCACTGATTCACAGCGCAGCGGGGATGAGCAAGATAAGGGTAGACAGATTTCGGTAATACTATGACAGATCCGCCACGATATGGCAGCGATGTTCAGTGCTTTTCAGACCGCAGTCTATGGCCGCTCACAGTGCATAAGCAAGACAAACATAAGAGTACATCGAACGTCCATGAAATTGTCCACCTGGAACTGGAAGTGGTAATGATGACCCTCAGAGGCTGAAGGTTTGAGGACTCCGCTAGGAGCCAGCTGCCAATAGCAAGCAACGAGTGGGGCAGTCTGCGCAGAACAAAGTGTCATATTCTATCATTCAACATCGTCAGCCGCGGTATTGGTGAAAATGTGAGGCACTTGCATTCGAATGTATTGATACAGATTATCATCATCAACTAAGTCACATACAGGACAAAGAAGCCTAAGGCACCTGGACGGTAGCTCTCGCGATAACATGGCGGCGCGCACCCGGACCTGTTGCATTTTTATGCGGTCGCTAGCCCTTCACGCGGAACTTCTGTGGGCATGTATGCGGTCTGCGTATCGATATACGTGAGGGTCAATGGATTCGACGCTACACACGAAGTCGTAGCCTGCACCGCCGTCGAATTCCAGGCACCTGTCGTGAGATGGTTCTCATCGGCTCGACGTGTTCGCCTGAGGCTCGAGTCGCGGAGATTAAGGATGAGACGGGAAGTGAGCGTCGTTGACAAGCTGCGAACGATAACAGTCAGATCTCGTCCTAATTTAGGAGTAGCGGTTGGTCCCTACACGTTCGTCAGCGTTGTCTCCATGCCCTTGAGGTTCGATCCTGACTATCAGAAGCAGGCAGGTCACCAACTTGATTATCTATATGTCAACGAACGGCATACCGGCGTGACCTATTCATAGCATGAACGTGAACACAGCACTCTTCGCTACCGACGAAAGGAAAACCCTACCAGGAACGTGGTGATATTCGACACATTCGAGGCCACCATGATTCTTCAACACCACAAGATGTCAATCTCCGACGACGCCGTGACTGAGACTACCGACATCGCTCACCCATAGTAGACAGTGCCTGAACACGCAGCAATCAGATGAAAGCTACGCGTGTGTAGAGGTTCTCTGAATTAGCTCACCGTCTCGTATCAGCACCTCAAGGATCCCGCCCGGGAAGTAGCGACGCATCCGAATAGCTTGCACTAGCGTCAATGTGAAGATGGTCGTATCGAACCATAACATCGCGAGCCAGGCGAAGGAAAGATCTAGAGTAGTAAGCATGAGTGTCCAGCGAACTCATACCGCTCAGTCCTGAGTCTGACGTACGTCGCCCCCTGGACCGGAAGTCTCAGCGGAGTTAGGAGGCACTGGAAACACTTGGTACGCACTGAGCATTGGTGAGAGATAGGTCGCAGCCAGAATAGGTAAAGGGCAAGGGAATGTGGGTGTCCGTTGGACTTTTGCTGGTAACCATCGCAATCTGCTATGTGTGTGAGCAGACGACCCTCGAAACAAGTACCACCATGGTCCTTACGAGGCAAGCCACAGCACCTCCAACATGCGTGATGATGAGCAGCGCGAGGATGCGCCGACTCCGATCATACAACGCGTATGTGCGCAGGACTAACATGACTAGGGAGTCAGGTTAGTGGGAAGACCTTGACACGCCTTGTTACCACTCACTGGCCACGATGGCTTGGGTTACGATAGCGAAGGCTTGATGGTAGGTCTGCAACTGGCGACAGCTGTGCGGCCACAAAGCATCAGTAGATGCAAGCTCCTTCATTGGAAAGACCTACGTCTGGTAGGAGGACCGTTAGCTTCTAGCGCCGCCCGCACACAAAGACAGACTCACGTGTTGGGAAGGCGTGCCAAAATATTCGAAAAACAGAGGAATGGATCCAATAAGGCCGTAGTATCGGTTGATAGCATAGAGCAAAGAGATGATGGACCAGTTTGCCGATCGCCAGAAATACTCGATCTCGGCGAACAGTGTGAGGGAAAAGTCGTAGTAAAGGATCGCTGTAGACAGCGCTATGTCAACGCTACATCCGAGATGAGGGAGTACGTAGACCTACTGAGTGCCGCCACTGTCAGATAATTGTTCGCCCGGATAGCGCTAGCCCTGTATAAGCAAGTAGGGTGGTAAGCGAGATACATCAGCACGAAGCCCAATCTAGGGATTCGTACCAATATGCCGCAGGAGCCAGGACAGATTCTGGCACGGACGTAAGCATTTTGGACTCGCCCTGGGACCTACAGGAACTAGTGAGGGAGGTCGTTTGGCAAATAACCTTACGCGAGCTTCGACAGGCCTATATGACCCCTGTTGAGTCTGATGTAGGAGCCCAGAGCGGCATGAGCGGGACCTCGTTGGTAAGTGTCTGATGGTAGGACAACCTATACCATTCCGATACCGACTAACATCATCCCGTCAGAGCAGGATGACGGAGTCCGGACGTGCTGACAGACAGTTGCGCTGCTGTCGAAGTGGCGTGCGCGCTGGCTGCCATCAATTCAGAGTGCACAGCCGTTGCTGTCAGTAGAGCAAGGTCCAGAAGATCCGGCAAAATCAGAGACCGCACTTACAGCACGAGCGCGATTTGCAGATGTAGGCAATCGCTTGCCGTCAAGAGGTTTGGGTGAGTCGACGATCTACAGAATTGAAAGGCGGTGCATGCCAACGACTCGGAGACGCTGCGCCGTCGGAGCTCGGAGGAACCTGACAAGGGAAAGCTAAGTTTCGTGTACTGAATGACCACGGGCGGATTATTGCAGCCGCATGAACGGGGTCTTAACTGAATAGCACCATCCGTCAGCAGGCTTCCCCAAAGGTCAAATCGTAGGCGTCGCAACAAAAGTTCTGCCACCGCGCTGTCAGCACGACAAGGAAGTGCCGAGGCGATGCCGCTGAGAAGGATTCTCGAGAGCTGACAAGGTCCCACACTACCCAAATGTGCAGGATACATGGGTGCGCCGGAAACTCACGGAAAGGAGTACATATTATGAGGAGCCAGTGAGTACTAAGTAGGTACCGCCGCGCGTCCGCAACGTTCTGTGAGACAGCACTGGAGCCTGCAGTACGTCCGTGTGAGCGGGAAGGTCAAGCTACAGCCGCACCCAGAATGTATCAAGGAGTTCTGCTTGCTCAGGATGGCATGGTCCTATGCCGTAAGTTCTCATGCGGTCAAGCTTGAGGGATTGAGTGGAATAGCTTGTTGGAAGAGGTGGAGAAGTCTACCGTCGCTACGCAGCCGGGCGCACGCAATCGCTTGTAATGGGCGCTTGTTTGCTGTCTACCCGGGGCGTCTGACAGGGTCCCGGTCCCAAGAGGCATAACCACACTTACCCAGGTGTAGCTGACGGAGGTCTGTAGTATGCACTGTCTGGATTGACGAGCTAGGAGCCGGAATAGCCCCAATAGCAACGCACATACGGCGGTACACAGACGCATGTTGCCCGCCGACCCCGGTGAGTGCCTATGACGACATTCCCAACTCGAGACCATATGCTCCCCTCTATCGCAGCTGCGCAAGTCATTGTACAAGTGCTTGGCACTCTGGACCGGTGGGCACCACTTTGCATCATCTGCACAATAACCTCTCTTCGCCACCTCCACCGCACGGAACAAGCTGGCCTCCCTATCCACCAAGCCGCTCTTCCTCGCCCTCACAGCCCTCGTCGGCGTGTACCTCCTCTGGTATCATCTGCCCACAGCCCTCGAGTTCTATCCCCACCGATCGCCGTCTTGGACGAGCTCCGATCCCACAATGTCTTCCGAGCATGCATCTGCCCAAGGGTGGCACGCCCGCGCCAATCCACATCCATCCGCCGCTTCCTTCGCGCCCACGAAGGACGCGCTCGTCTTCGCCGCCCTCCTCAACGCGCCCGCCGACCCGCAGGGCTTCACCCTGGCGCTCTTCGAGCCCGACGTGGCGGTCGACGCCCGGGGCCGCGTCCTGCAGCTTCGGCCCCAGGACTTTTCCCGTCTGGCCGCGCTTGCGCGTGAGGCCGCGCAGTTGCCGGACACGGGGTCGATCATGAACGCCTGGCGTGTCGCGCACGATCGCACGAGTCAGAAGATTGACAGATTGTTCGTCAAGACGCCGGGCGGGGACGTCAGGGAGACGAGCGTCCAGGGGTGGCATTCGGAGAAGAAGCAGCTCAAGACCGCTGTCGCTGGTCACCAGGAACTGCCTCCGGTGCTGCAGGAATTGTTCGGGGACATCCAGGAAGGACGGACGGACTTTGTGCGCGGACAGGAGGAGAACGAGGATCTCATTTCGCAAGTGAAGACGCTGGTGGGGAATTGATTTATGGAACGGAAGAAAGTGAGTGCTTTGTCCACGACATGATCGACGGATGACTGATCATCCGATTCAGATGGATGATCAAGTGGAATTTGTATGCATTACAATCAGACATTTACAGTAATATATACCAGGCTGCTTCTACTGCGATCTTACACACGAATGTCCGTGAAGGCATCAAACGCCGACAACTCCGTCAATGCTCAGCCCACCCGGAGCCCGAGGGCGAATCCCGCAACGAATGAGGCCCTCGGCTGGAAGTCCGCCGTCAAGAAATCGATGACCCAGCGGAAAAGCGAGCCAACATTGGGCGGACGCGACACCCCCGAGGCGTCTTTTCTGTAGAAAAGGTTCTCAAAACGACCTGCAGCGCGATTCCAGTCCACGCGCACGAGCGACCAGGAGCCCAAGTACTGCGCGGGGCAATCGTGATCAGATAACTGCGCAACATCGACGCTGAGATAACGGGAGGCACAAACCTGGAGCAGAACGAAGACTCCGCCCAGGGCGAAGGCGACAAACTTTGCACCCTTCTTCACGAAGACTCCAGCGCAGACGCCGCAGACGGTGCCGAAAGTCAACTCATAGAGATTGAGGGTCGACTGGGGAGGAGGGGGAAGGGGAGAAGCAGATGACGACACAGCTGCAGCACCCGGCTGGGGTGGAGAGACGGCGGTAGAAGATGCGTTCTTGATCGGGGCTGGCCAACGTCAAGCACGTGTGAGGCTTTTGCGGGATTAAAGTCATCGAACAAGGACATACGCTCGCAGTAGATCACCGGCGCGGCCAGAAAGGTGAGTGAAAGAAGGACGCCAGAAAATCCGATTTTGAGGAAGTAGAGGGGTGCATTGGTGTATGTGCCAAAGCTACGCTTGCTAGTATGTGAGAATGCTCGCCGAGGGCGAGGAATAGTAGGAGGGGGCGGGCAGTTGCAAAGCGAAGGTTGGAAAGTGTGATGAAAGAACGGACGGTGGGTGCCTCCTCGGAGGCCGTTGGGAGTGAAGTATGTTTTGGTGATGCTGGAGGGTATGCAGCCCAACGGCACCTTGCGCAGGGTGCCGCAGAGCGGTCGAGACAACAAGGAGGGGATGATGGGAGACATGCCGTGGGGACGCGCAGTGGTGGTCAAGCCGAAAGGTGGATTGAAGACGACCCCGACGAGATCGACTTCGTCGTAGCGCACGGCGTCATCGTCACTCGAAACCCTCCCGGTCCCGTCTTGCCGATGTCATGAAACATCAAACCTGCTATTGCCTGTTTAGGGCGGTGGGCATAACAGGATCAAACACCTTCCATTCGCCTGCCATTCTCGGACTGCTCCTCAAGAGCGCTTGAAATTTCTGTCTACAGCTCGATCGTCCAGTGCGGACGGCTGCTTGGCGCTTCAAATCCCCCCGCTCCCGTCCTAAACCTCTCGCCATGGGAAGACGCGCAAAGAACAAGCAGGGAGATCCCTCACCTTTGGCTGAAGTCAAGGAAAATGCTGGACGACCATCCCAGAAGAAGCTCGGCAAGCGGAAAGCGGACGATGTCGATTCTGCGAACAAACGGCCTGCAAAAAAGGTGAAGGAAGGCGAGGCTAGAACGGACAAGCCCTCGAAGCCCACTGCGGCGAAGGGCAGGGCGACGACCGCTTCCAAGAACGAGGGCAAGGCAAGACCCGTCAAATCCAAGTCGAAGAAGCCTAGTTTCGAGGACGATGCTGAGGGTGCAGGAGGCAGCGAGGGCTGGGAGGACGTCGAGGACGATGGGGACTTACAGCAACATGCGAAGTTAGTGAGCCTCTCGCAAACTCCTCGTCCCTCCGCTTACATGATGTTACGTCTAGGACATTATTCCATGAGGACGATGAAGATGAATTTGTTGGCTTCGAAGGAGACCTGAACGACCTAGATTTGGATGGCGCGGACGAGGAGTGCGTGCACATGTCGACTCTACATCACTTTGTCTCATCATTTCATGCGCATCCTTAGCGATGACCTATTGAGAGGTCCCGCCCAAGAGCTCGACCTCGGCTCGGACGATGAAGAAGAGGATGAGCTCCCCGTAAAGCTCAAGAGCAAAAAGTCAAAACAAGCTGACCGCCCACTCAAGATCATACCGACCATGTCGGACGCGTCTTCAGGCGAGAGTGACGAGGAGGAAGAGGACGAGGACGGCCCCATCACCATGAAGAATATCGAGGCCCGCTCACGTGCTTTGGACGCGAGAGCTGCCCGTGAGGCAGAGCTCGATCTGGAAGAGTTGCAGCAGGCCGAGCTTGCAGGAGAGGAGGACGGGGACGATTTCGCGGACGCGGATATGGACGAGGAAGGTGAGGGCGGGGAGGACAGCGAGGCCTTTGTCCTGCCAACGGCGGAGGAGAGGGAGGAAGAGAAGAAGAGAGGCGGCCCAGACGTGCACACGGTTCAGAGACGAATGCGCGAGTGTGTAAGGGTACTAGGCAACTTCAACAAGCTTGCGGCTAAAGGAAGGTGCGTGAGGACTTATCTCCATGACTTGAAATCCGGATGGTTTCGGCACTGGGTATATTTCAGCGAGGACGTGGTATACAAGAAGTCGTATTCCACGTTCCCGCTTAGACACTCCTCAGACTTTCATTCGCCAAGATGTTGCGTGGGCGTCGCCCCTTCTCTATAGGCTTTGATTCGTGATTCTACACCAGCAAAGGACTAGCATCCCATCCGGCATGCGAACATGTCGAATCCGAGCCAGTGGAAGGCTTGCATAACCTCATGAGATGAATCTCATCGTTACATACATATATTAGGAGCTTGAGTGACGTGTGGTGCTGAACTCCAATTCTCTAGGTCGAGATCGGAGTACGTCCAGCAGCTCATCTCGGACATTGCAAGCTATTACGGCTATAATGACTTCCTCGCCGAGAAATTGTTCCAACTCTTCCCCGTTGCAGAGGTACGTCAACGTCATGTCCTCTTTCTACATCAATTGTTCCGACCTGGTGGATGCTTCTATACGTTACAACGGCCGTGGCCAAGCTTATGATGGTGATGACGACATGTATCGAGGGAAATCTGCATGGTGATCGCATAGTCCTCTGCCGTGAATATCCTGTAGGGGGTGTGGTCTCTTTCCTGACCACCTAGCCTCCGAACACGGTCTGGCATTGGACATATATGGGGCAAGAAGCCAGGGAGGATCATTTGACTTGAGGCTCTCCTTCCTGCGAGATCCAACACTGAATTGCCTCCAGGCAATTGAGTTCTTCGAGGCGAACGAGGTACCCCGACCCGTAACAATCCGGACGAACACCCTCCGGACACGGAGACGCGACCTCGCACAAGCGCTGATCAACCGCGGCGTGAACTTGGAGCCCATCGGCAAATGGACGAACGTTGGCCTGCAGGTGTTCGAGTCGAGCGTACCGATCGGCGCGACGCCCGAGTATCTCGCCGGCCACTACATGCTGCAAGCCGCCTCGTCGTTCCTGCCGGTGATCGCGCTGTCTCCCCAACCTGGCGAGCGCGTGCTGGACATGGCGTCCGCCCCGGGCGGCAAGACGACGCATATGGCGGCGCTCATGCAAAACACGGGCGTCGTTTTCGCCAACGACGCGAACAAGGCGCGCGTGAAGAGTCTGACGGCGAACGTCCACCGGCTGGGCTGCAAGAACGTCGTGGTGTGCTCCTACGACGGCCGTGAGTTCCCGAAGGTCATCGGAGGGTTCGACAGGGTCCTGCTCGATGCCCCTTGCAGCGGGACAGGTGTCATTTCCAAGGACGCGAGCGTCAAGACCAACAAGGTGCGTAATCCCGGCCTGCTTCTCCACGCACGAAGTTTAACCGTTGATTCGTCTTGGTCCCATGGCATTAACGTTCGACCTCAGTCCGAACGTGACTTTGCGCTCCTCTCGCACCTCCAAAAACAGCTCATACTCTGCGCCATCGACAGCGTCGCACCAGACTCCAAGACTGGCGGGTACCTCGTCTACTCGACCTGTTCGGTGACGGTCGATGAGAACGAGGCGGTGGTGGACTACGCGCTCCGAAAACGTCCCAACGTGAAGCTTGTCGACACTGGGCTCGAGTTCGGCCGTCCCGGATACACCAGCTACCGCGGGAAGACGTTCAGCGATAAGCTGAGCCTCACGCGTCGCTTCTATCCCCATGTGCACAACATGGACGGGTTCTACGTCGCAAAGTTCAAAGTCGAGAAGCGCGCCAAGGTTAAGGGCGAGAAGGACGAAGCCGCCGGCGGCACGAAGGGTGTCGATGCTGATGTCGATATGGGTGACGCATCGCCCGCATTCGACGATGCGGAGGACCAGCAGTATATCGAAGGTGAGCTCAGCCTCTATATCTTATGCCCCTTCGCTTCCTGCGCGCACGAGCGTCGAGAGACGACCAGGCAGGGCTTTGTTGTGATGCTCGTCGATCTTGGATACTGACCTCTGTGCGCCTGTTCTTTCTTCTTTCTCAGAGAATAACCGCAAACGTATGAGAGCGAAGGGTCTGAGAGTTCCGCCCCGAACCAAGCCCGCCCCTGTGGCGGCAGGGACAGCTACTGCGGCAGCCTGAGCTCACTGTCCTAGCAGGGCCGGACCGGTCGCCTCATTCCTTCTCGTGCTACATATATCACACCACTTGCCGGACTGCAGTTCCGTGCTGTGGTCCGCTGTACCTACTTACATAGTGCATCACGATAGGGCGCATAGCTGCGGAGTCTGTCTGGAGCTGTATCGTATTGTCGGTGACTTGGTGCCGAGTGGCGTGGTCCGTAAGCCAAATGGGACCGTATGGGTTCCTGCGCTGTTCCGCCGGCATCGGGTCTTGAGACTTGGAGGACGTCCTTCGTTTCGGTCCAGTGGTGCGTTGATACCATCCAAAGCTACTCGTGTCCCAGGAACCCGAGGGGCTAGGGCCTGCCATGCGCAATGGCAAGTGCACTACAGCACCCTCGCCCAGCAGCCTGGAAAGGGCAAGCTACAGCGGCCGGCAATGTCGCGCGAAGCTGCCCAAGGTGATGGGGCCCTCCGTCATCGCGTGGGTACTCGAGCCCATCTTACGAGTCTGCTCTCAAATCCCGGCTGGGCCATGGTATCAGGCTCCGAGACGTGGGATCATCGTCATACTCTGCGTGAATGAGGCTAGCGAGCGTGCACCATGCAGCATGAGCGGGCAGCGTCCAGCCTGAGCATCCGCATCGCGAGCCTCGGCAGGAGGACTGCACATGCCACGCCCGGCGGAGGGGCGGGACGGCCGGGGCAACATCAGACGATCCGGCGTCGCTTATCACGCTCGCGCACGCTGTGTGGCAGCCGAGGTGGCTCGGACGATGGGACAATGCATCAAGATAAGTATTCTTACATCCCGCCGACGGCGCCTAAAGAACATTCGAGTGTTCTGTGCCGTATGGCGGCGTTAAGTGGGCAGAAAACGACCGAATGGCGTGACGGACATGAGTCGCGTGCGGGGGGTAAAGCTGAGGGTCGTATTGATCAAGGGAGCGGCAGAAGCTAGTGATACAAAAAGATACTTTCTGATACAGGATTTCGTGTGAGGGTATGGGGTATCGGGGCGCTATCAATCAAGCCTCGGAGCTCCGGTCCAAGGAACACGTCGAGCAGCGGTCGGTCGACAGCACGAAGGGAGACGAGGGTATGTCCATGTGGCGTGAATTGTCGTCTGCGTGGCACTCAATGCGTCGCAATATTCAAGCAATGGGGCGATTAGTAGGAGGGGTGAGTGTTACTGAAGCCAAGATATCTCTTTTCGTCGTCAGGAGGACTATAGTGAGCGTAGCACAATGAGCGATGAAGCGACACGAGGACATGAACAACGTAGACGTACCCTCGTCTCAGTCCCTTGAAATTCTTGCTACGATGACGTACAACAGCCATTATGAGGACAATGGCAATGAGTATTGTAGCAGTCAAGGTCAACCAGGTCTAATTGCATTTGTTAGTTTCGCAGAACACGAGCACCCAGATGGTCGTCACATACAGCACTTCCTCCGGAGACGTGTAGCGCGCCGTCAGCAGCCTTGTTGATCTTCGAACGTGCGACAGAAACGAACGCGATGTCAAATATGAACGCCAATAGAGTGATGAACAAGGCCAAGCTTGTCACGGCGACGTAGGCCAAGCTCAGGCGTGCATCGCTAACAACACCGAAACCTCTGCCGACACACTCGAGGACGACGGGAATAAGGAAGATGCATAAAGCCAGGAAGACGAGGACGCAGCCTAAACACGAGACGGTCGTGAGCGCGAACCGTCCAGGCGCATATAGTGCGTCCAAAGACATACCAATGACGTGCAAGGCTAATGCAGCGGAGAGCGTTTCCGAGATGGCGTCTGTGAGGTCGTTCACGTGAAGAGCTTTGGCCAGACTTGGGTCGATTTGGTATCCGAGGTGGCGAGGGCTGCACCCTCCAGCACTATCGTGACTGGTGCCTAAGACTCTGAAGGATCACAAGACACTGATGAGCCTAGGTGACGAGCGGAACGGACTACCTGACTTACGAGACGTCCAAGCCAGTGGTACAATAGCCCCAGACCCCGAGACGAACAGAGCCGCTGACGCCAGACTTCAAGAACGAGGCCGAGACGTCAGCTGCGATTCGCAGAAAGTAAATGCTCTTCGGGATGGGTGTAATCGACACAAGCAATAGTAACAGCCAGGCGACAGCGACTAGGACGGGTTGCACCCAGGTAAGTAGACTAAGTCTCAAGGACATCTTGCAGAGCCGAGGTGATGCAGTTGCGAGTGCGCGTGAGGTGGGTTAACGCCGAGCGAAGAACGGTGTGGAGTGAGCCATGGAGGCGAGGGCCGGACGGTATAAGTGCTGGCGAGTGGGTGGAGCGTGGCGGACGCGCGGCGAGAAGCGACAAAAGGTGGGGTTGTTTTGCGTTCAAGTGGGGTGGAAACCATTATGGACAGCTGTTTGTTCCTGAATTCGGATGCGAGGCAAGACTAATGCGAGCACAGAGGAATGGAGAACCTGGAGACTGAGCGCAGGACGGCGGTAGGCGTTGTAGTCGACGAGCGTGCGAGACGAGCGGCAGTAGATGAGTTCAGGAGAGAGCGGCGGCGGGCGGGGAGTCGGGAGGGGAGGCCTTTTACGTGGGAGAGCTCGCGGTGGCAGGCCAAAAGAGGGAGTTACGTAGATTGGGCGGGCATCCGCGCTTCCACATGGAAATCTGCTGATTTGAAACGCTGCTTCCTGCCGAGTCACACAGTCCAGACAGTGCCCTCTTCCGACGCTTACCCGCAACAGAATAGAAGCACTATAAGACCCGAGCTGAGACTGCCAACGCGGGCTCGCGCTCTTCCTGCCGGCTTTCGCTGTGGCTTGGACGGGGGGAGGTGCGCCTTGTGCTCTAGGTTGGGCGCATGGCGGGGACCAGAGTGGGCGGAAGCAGGGCCTGGGTGGGGAGACTGGAGAACGTCGCAGAAGACATGATTCCCGATCGTCGCTAGACCACCGGAACGCGAACTAGACAGCTTCTTTCGGCTCCTGCCCAATCAATTCATTTTTTGTCACCTTGTGAACCGCTTTCCCACCGTCCTCTGTCCCAGTCCGCCCTCTGCCGTCTGAGCCTCCCCAGCGTGGCCCGCAGCTGTACAAAGGAGAGCGTGCCAGAGGAGGCCGGCGAGGACTGTCTTCGTGCGCAGCGGGCTTGGAACGAGCAAGGCCGGCTAAACAGATATCTGTGATCGAGAGATGTAGCAACTCGCAACAATACGGACGCGTGCCCGGGTTTGGAAGCCCTGAACATGAACCCGCCAAATTTAGTTTAGCCTTGTTTGTTCGGACTGTTTAAGGATAAGAAGGGCGCCCTCTTCCAGGCCTATTCTCTCCCTATCTCTCTTTCTCTCTCGTTCCCTCCCCTTCCCTGCAGCAAGCAAGGCCACAGAGCCCTCGCTCTCTTCCCATATACCACTATTGTAAGTCTGTGTCCCTTTGACACCCTCTCTTCACCCAGACGGGCCCAGTGCGCGTCGCGAAACGTCTTGATTGCCTTTGTTCTTCCTTTTTAAGACGCGTCGTCTGACCACGTATCGTTTGTGACTCCAGCTCACGACCCCTAAGTCTTCAATAATGTCCGAGACTGCTGCTCCCGCTGTCCCCGTTGAGGAGACCAAGCCTGTCGAGACCCCCGCCGTCGAGGCCACGCCTGCACCCGAGCCTGCCGCTGAGGTTCCCGCTGCTGTACGTCCACACGATGCTTCCGGCGCTTTCCACTCTGATATCCTTCATAGGAGGCCCCGAAGGAAGAGGCTAAGGAGGAGGTGAGTTGCCGTGTTGCTCGAGTCTGTGCATTGCTCATATCCGTCCAGGCTGCCCCCGCTGCAGAAGCGCCTGCCGCTGAGGCCGCTGCCGAGGCCCCTAAGGGTGACGAGGCTCCTGCTACTGAGGAGGCCAAGCCCGTACGTGTAGTCTTCGGCGAATAGTTCCCTGCCTGTACTGACCGTGGGCTGTTTAGGCCGAGCCCGCTGCCGAGGCTAAGAAGGAGGAGCGTCCCAAGAGCCCCTCTCTCCTCGCCAAGCTCCTTGCCCCCTTCAAGGGGGGTGAGAAGAAGGAGAAGGCCGAGAAGAAGCCTAAGGAAAAGCCCGCCAAGAAGACTGAGAAGAAGGAAGAGGTATACCCCGATCTGGTACTCTCGGTTTCTTGCGATATTGATCTGTTGCTTCAGACTGCTCCTGCGGCCGATGAGGCTCCCAAGGAGCCCGCCGCTGAGGCTGCTGCTGAGGCCCCCAAGACGGAGGAGGCACCCGCTGCTGAGCCCGTGAAGGAGACGTAAGTGTCGAGCTGCGTCTTGTCATGCAAGACAACCTGACCTGCTGATGACAGTGAGACCGCTGCTCCCGCTGAGGCTGAGGCGCCCGCGGAACCCGCAGCGGAGACCGAGGCTCCCAAGGAAGAGAAGGTGGGATTTTGCGCGCTCTACGCACCGTACTGTATGCTCATCCTCGTTACAGAAGGAGGAGAAGGACGAAAAGAAGGAGGCGGAGAAGAGGGCCAAGATCGGTCGCCGCTTGTCCGCCCGCGTCGGTGACTTCTTCAAGCCCAAGTCAAAGGCCGAGCACAGCACCCCTCCCAAGGTCGAGGAGAACCCGCCGAAGATTGAGGAGCCCGCCCCTGTTGCTCCCCTCGAGAACCCTGCTGCCGAGGCCGCTGAGGCTACCCCTGCCCCCGCAGAAGAGCCTAAGGTTGAGGCGCCTCCCGCTGCGCCTGTTGTTGCCGCGGCTGCGTGAGCGTAGCTTGGAAATCTTCTGTCTACCTTATGACCGTGACGAGATTGTGCCATCTTTCTAATGTCCCATCCTCCTGCGTCCCTTATACCTGCCCGTCTCCGTCCGCATCCATGATAGTGGATTCCCATTTCTTTTGCTTTTTCCCTACTAGCTTACGACGCGGATGTGGTTTCTTTTGCTTTGTTGCTCCCCTCACGATTACGCCTCATACCTACGCATCGCCGTCATCCGCTGTGACTCAGCCTAATGTCGACAGGATAGGTGATATCCTCATACCCACTTTCATTATCTCACTGGATCGTGCTCGTGTGTGTGTCTCTGGTTTCGTGTAATCATCATCTGTCTCTTCGCTCTCCGTGGTCACAGCTGTCAGCCAATGATGCGCGACGCCGTTAGATATCTCAACGCAGGCCCCCACTGTCATTTTTCTAATCCATTGATGTCTTCTTTGCCACTTGGTATCCAGTGCTCAACCAGCGTGCATCGGCAGTTTGGCTCGGTACTTTCAGTATGCTCGATGAGAGAGCTGCATCACATGTGATCGGAGTGATCGAGTCACAGCGTGGCCAGACGCGACGCGCCTTTACAGGCAGAGCGCGACCAAGACGCCTTGCAATATCGGCCTCATACACCACCATGCCTCCGAAATCATCGTCTGGGAACGAAAAGGACATCGCAGAGGAAGATGAGGTCCTCCAAGCCGTCATCCTCGCAGACAGCTTCAACAAGCGCTTCAAGCCCTTAACAGTAGGCAAGCCCAGAGTATGTGCCGCGCGCTCTGATCAGAAATCGCTCCTGATTGTTTCTTGTCTCCCTGTAGTGCTTGTTGCCTATATGCAACGCGACCTTGCTGGACTGGACATTCGAGAGTCTCGCCCTGGCGGGTGTGCAAGAGATTTTCGTCATCTGCAGATCGTACGCCGACCAAGTGAAGGCCGCTATCCGGTGCGTTCTTCCGTCCCCCTCGTTGTATGGCCCTCCCATGACATTCTCATCCTCTAACGTCCTTTTGGATCCCCCAATCATTCATGCTCCCCGCTCCCACCACCACCCAGCGACTCAAAATGGTCAAAACCGAGCACGGGGCTGAAGATCGTACCGATCGTGACCGCGAAGGAGACGTTCTCGCCGGGAGACGCGATGCGCGACATCTACACGCACCAAATCATCACGTCGGACTTCGTGCTCGTCACGGGCGACCTCGTCAGCAACGTGCGGATCGACGAGGTCGTGCGCGTGCACAAGGAGCGCAGGCGGACGAACAAGGACGCGATCATGACCATGGTCGTGAAGGAGAGCGGGGCCACACACCGGACGAGGTGCGTGCTTTCTTTGCCTCACGCCAAAACTTTCCTTGCGGAGGAGGGAAGGGAAGATGATTCCGGGCTTGTACTGATGGATGCATGCGCGGGCAGGTCGCGGGGCGAATCCGGGGTGTACGTCCTGGACCCGAACACGCATGAATGCTTGCACTACGAGCCCGTCGTCGGCTACCCTGCCACATCGCGCGTCACTATCCCGCGGGAGATTCTCGCGGAGCACCCGGAGGTGGAGGTTCGGTACGACTTCATCGACTGCTCGATTGACGTCTGCTCGGTCGAGGTCAGGACGCTCGTTTCGCAGCAGGTTTCTCTCTCGGGCGCGCCGCTGACCACTGCGCGTGTAGGTGCCCTCGTTATTCCAGGACAATTTCGATTACGGGGACATCCGGAGAGACTTCGTCTATGGGGTTCTCACGTCCGATCTCCTCATGAAGAGTGTCCATTGCTATGTCGTGAAGGATGGCTACGCCGCCCGTGTTGCCGATACTCGCAGTTACGACGCTGTCAGGTATGTCCCTTCTCTGCAACATTCCTTCCGCGACATGTCCCCATTCCTCCTTGGCTCTTGTTGTGGTTCCAATCGCGCTTCTTGCATTCGTATGGTCCTAACTCTTGCATTCCTATCGCAGCAAAGACATCCTATCACGATGGACGTTCCCGCTCGTTCCCGATGACAACCACCCCGGCGGCCACCAGTACGAGCATCTGCGGGGTAATAAGTACATCGCAAAAGACAATTCCGTCTCTCTCTCACGGTACGTGCCACTTCGTACCAATTTCTGACATCCACTCACCCCAATCTCCGAACTCCGCTCACCGTTCCTGCCATCCATTGCAGAACCTGCAAGATTGGCAACAACACGCTCATCGGCTCACACACGACCATCTCCGCAAACGCTTCCGTCCATGCCTCTGTCATCGGCCAGCGGTGCACGATCGGCCCTGGCGCGATCCTGCGTGACGCGTATATCTTCGATGACACGCACGTCGGCGCGGGCGCCGTCGTGGAAGGCAGCATTGTCGGTGCCCGCGTCACGCTGGGAGACGGCTGCCGCGTGCCGCGAGGATGTCTCATTGCGGACGGCGTCGCGATCGGGGCAAACGCCAAGCTGAGGAAGTTTGAGCGCGTCTCTAAGAAGCGAGAGGCGCGTCCGCAGGCTGCGGGTGACGGGTCCGACGGTGATGACGAAGAGGACTCCGACTCCGAGCTGGAGGAGGTGAAGGCCAGTACGTGAATCTTTGCTGACGTAGTGAATCGTCGTGGTGCTGACTACAGACTTCGCAGACCAAGAGGATGCTGCTCAGATAATAGGCAGGGACTCAAACGCGCTCGTCTGGCCACACCCCTCGCCAGATGATGACGAAGAGCTCGATGAGCGGGAATCTTTCTACAACCAAAGACTCATGCGAATAGGTTTGATATTTTCGCTGTTTGTATCGTTTGGTAACATACAACTGAAACGCCTCGTATAGGTGACACGGCGTCCGACCTCGAGCTCTCCGACGGCGGATCGACGACCTCAGCCTCCGAAACGGAGACGGAGTCCGACTTCTCTGGCATGCACGGCCTCTCGCGCACCTCCTCCGCCACCTCCGCCTCCGGGCCCCTCTCCTCCGCGGTCGACCCCTCCGCGGAGACGTCCGCGATCCACACCCTCTCCTCCGCAGCGGCCGAGACCGAGTTCCGCTCCGAGGTCGCGCAGTCGCTCGAGCGCGCGTTCGCCGAGGGCCACTCGGTCGACAACGCCGCCGTCGAGCTCAAGACGCTCCGCATGGCGTCCAACGTGCCCCTCCGCCGCGTGCGCGAGGCCGTCGTCGGCGCGATCGTCGACCGCGTCCCGCTCGTGCCCGGGGACGCCGCCGCGCAGCGCGCGGAGATCGCGAAGATCGTCCGCCGCTGGGGCCCGCTCGTCGACAAGATCGGGGGCGTCGACCCCGTCGAGACCGTCGAGGTGCTCCAGTACCACTGCGCGGCGGCGGGCCCGCGGCTGCCGCTGTTCGCGCAGGTGCTCGCGCAGCTGTACCAGCAGGACTTGGTCGAGGAGGACGACATCCGCGCGTGGCACGCGTCGCCGGCGGCAAGGGGCGAGGGCGTCAAGCCGGGCTCGGCGCTGCTGGAGGGCCTGAAGAAGTGCTGGGCTATCGGCGCGAAGATGATCGAACAGTTCGAGTCGGAGGAGGAGGAAGAGAGCGAGGAAGAGAGCGAAGAGGAGAGCGCGGACGAGAAGCCCGCGCGCGAGGCCCCTGCGACCAAGCCTCCAGCTAAGGAGGACGAGAGCGAGAGCGAAGAGGAAAGCGACGAAGAATCAGGCTCCGAGGAGAGCGAGGACGCGCCCGCCACCGCGAAGCCTACAGCCCCCAAAGCCGCTGCCGTTTCATCATCGTCATCTCAGACTTCGAAGCCAGCGCAGACAGAGTCAGAAGACTCGGAGACTGATGAAGGGTCGGACGAATTCGTGTCAGGGGAGGAGGAAGTGTCGGCCGAAGCCCCTGCCAAGCCAACCACGCCGGCTGCGACCGTATCGTCAGCGCCGAGTGCCGCTCCAGCGAAAGCCGCCGCAGAGTCGTCGGACGAGAGCGAGGAGGACGAGTGACTGGGTGAGGCACGGACGACGCGGACACATGCGAAGCCAAAAGCTAACAATGTACGAGTAATCAGTTTCATTCGTAGAATGCTTCGAGCACTGCGCTGCCTGTAGCCACTAGCACTTCCTTGATAGCATATTCCAAGAGCAGAACTGAACATGCCACTTCACGAGTCGATGTCCGTAGCTTGAGGCACTCGCTTGACCAAGTTGAGATGATGTTCGATATAGAAGTAGAATTAGGCCCGTCGAAGGGTATCAGTACAATGCGTGAATACAATATCCAGCTGTCCATGGGCCCAGTTCGTTCAATTCATCAAGAGCTCATCAAACGTCGTGGTGCCTGCAGGGGAGCATTGGAGCACCCCCTGACTAATACTTGAGGATGATATAGAGGGCATGGATGATACCAGGGCTGAACAGGGACAGGTCAGTGCGGAACGCGCAGGAATTTGAACAGGCGATGTGGCGTACATGTAACCCAGAATGGTCTGCACGGCGGATTGTGATCAGCATGCGAAAGGCGGAAATGAAGACGATGGGACTGACCAGTAGGATGTTGATCAAGAAGTCGACATTACATCCGCGTTCAAGGAAGACTCCTACTGGTGGGAGGAGGATGGCAAAACTAAAGGGACCGACGTCAGCGGCATGCACGAGAATGCTGTGGTGAGAGATAAACACACAGAATCTATGTGCAACAGTGAGATGTGGATTTGAACGTGGTGGAGAGATGGTGGACGTACCTTGCAGATGTCTGAGCCAGTGAAAGCCATGGTGAGAGAGATAAGATGGGGGAATGTGGACGGGGGCAACGGGCGGTTTATAAAGAGCGGGAGGCATGACGTCAGCGATGTGTGCGTCAGACGCGACGACGACGATGGAGATCCGAGACCCTCCCTGCAGTGCCTGCACTCATTCGACTTCCACGCGGCACCGGGCAGTACACGCCCAGCCCCACTCATCGTACTTGTTCGTCCATGGAGGTGCCTGGAGAAGGTGCGTATGTCATTGCCCCCTGCACCTCCCCCCCCATCCGCAGCCGCAGCGAAGACAAATGTTTTCGAAGGCTGTCGCTTGGCTTATCAAACCTCTATCCAAGTCAACCCGTTACCCAGTGTGCAAGTCGTAGGAGACATCAACGTCGGGGCTCTCGGGCACGTGAACCGCCCGCTGTCCGCTACTCACTGCTCGAGCTCGAGTTCGCCTGTGGCGGCCATGAACCCACCTTTTGATTGTCAATTTCTTGCTAGCTCCAACTGTTCTTTCCAAAGCCCAATTTTTTGGCCATCCATAAGGCAGGGTGAAATCGATGGCCGTCAGGAACGTTGTGAGAGACTTGCCACAGTGGAGATGGACCCACCCAGAGGAGTGTGTTCGGGAAACCAGCGAGGACTCAAAAGACGTGCGAGGTATAGCGTAGATGCATTATCTGACCTCTATGTCTGTAGGAGCAGAAACGACGAGCAAACATATACAGATGACATCTATGGTGAGCATATCCCGCCGTCAATGTGGCATTCGAGTCTTATCTGCCTTGCGCTCGAGCTGGGCATCTTCACACCCTTCCCGCGCTCCCGGTAAGCATGCGGTCGACTATGTTGTACGCGAGGGACGACCGTGCATCACGTGTTGACCGGGTCCGACCCCGAGTCAGACTCGGAGGGTCAAGGGGTACATAGAGTCTTCGACGCTTCAATCTTGACCCGCACACCTCTGGTCAGACGCGACGACGACGATGGAGATCGCGTACGGACCTGAGGCCCTGCACAAATTCGATTTCCACGCGGCACCGGGCAGTGTACGCCCAGCCCCACTCATCGTATTCGTCCACGGAGGTGCCTGGAGAAGGTACGTATGTCATTGCCCCCTGCACCTCCCCCCCTCACCCGCAGCCGCAGCGAAGACAAGTCCCAGCACGCGGACCTTGCACGCAGCCTCGCTCGCCTCTCCGGCTTCCCCGTCGCCGTCCCAAACTACCGCCTCACCACGCCGCGGACCCCCCTCCAGCACCCCGCACACGCCAGCGATGTCCTGCGCTTTCTCCACTTCCTCACCACATGGTCCGGACCCGCCGCAGAGGACCCTCCTCCCACCCGACTCTACCTATTGGGTCACAGCTGCTCTGCCCACATCCTGGCGTCGATACTCCTCACCTCGCCCTTCCCTGAGCTGACGCCTTCTCCAAGCCTTCTCCTGGCGGTCCGCGCCGTCGTCGTCTCGGAGGGAATTTACGACGTCGACGCACTCCTCCGTTCCTTTCCCGCATACAGGGAGTGGTTCATCGCCGACACCTTCGGAGACCACGCTGCGTACCCCGACGTTAACGTAGCCTCCTACCCAGTCCAGCCCGGCGGCGAGCATATACGTTGGCTTGTCCTCCACTCCTCCGGCGACGTGCTGGTCGATCAGCTCCAGAGCGACATAATGTATGCCCACCTCTCCTCGATGGCGATCACGTCGGACGTGCCAGCAACCACCGCCAGTCCGCGTCCGAAGGTCAGCAAGAACTTCGACGAGCTGAGCGAAGACCACAACGAGCTTCTAGCGGGCGTAGTCTATCCTCGCATTGTGGCCGACTTTGTCACCGTGGATGCGGCTGCCCCACTTTGAGGTTCTGGGACAGTTGATTTGACGAGGTGGAGATGAATTTGAATGTACGTCGATCCCTCCATACGTCCAGTCCTCTTGGACGGTTCGTTGATCACCGAGGGCTCGGTTCCGTCGATTGCAGTGCTTGAATCCTTCGCTTCCGGGAAAGCCGTGGGCGCGAGGATAGCATTCGGTACCTGGATCTGGCGGTTACTTAAGTCGAATAGATGGAGCGGAATTGGTCGAGACAGGAAAGATAGACTCCATGAGGTCCCGCTGTATATTACTTCGTGGCCATTGGAATACATTGGATCCTACATAAACACGCTACAAGGCCCGTATCTACCACAAACACCCTTCACTCCATGTTTACGGGCGGTCATCTGCTTTGTCTAGCCTCTCCTCTTCTACAGGGTCGGTTTCTGCTGGAGCAGGAGGCACACCTTCCTGCTCGACCTCCCCGAGCACCTCGTCAAGCACTCCAACAGCCTGCTCGACATCCTCAAAGGTGTTGTAGAGGGGCGCGGGTGCCAGCCGTATAACATCCGGCTTGCGCGAATCACCCACGACGCCCCGAGCCTCCAGACCCTTCAGCACCCGCGGCATGATACCCCGGCCAGTCGGGAGGAACACCAGAGACAGCTGGGCCCCCCGCTCCGCCGGATTCGAAGGGGTGATAATTGACACCCGTAGCTCCTCCTTCTCCTTCTCGAACGCCTGCACCGGCTCCGCATAGAACCTGCTCGCCTTCAGCAGCGCCTCCAAGTACCCCGTGAGCCGCTCCGACCTTGCGCGCAGCCGCTCCATCCCACCCGCGTCCCGGAACACGCGCACGGCGCCGAGCAGCGCCGCCGTCGCGAGCACGGACGGGTTGCTCTGCTGGAAGCCCTGCGCACCGCGGATCGCTTGGAAGCGCGGTGGCATGTCGAAGCGCGTCGCGGGCTCGTGGCCCCACCACCCCGCCTGTGCGACGGGCAGGTCCGCGTGGCGCGCGTGGACGAAGAGCCCGCCAATCGCCCCCGGACCGCCGTTGAGGTACTTATACGTGCACCACACCGCGAAGTCGACGCCCCACGCGTGCAGCGCGAGCGGGACGTTGCCCACCGCGTGCGCGAGGTCCCAGCCGCAGACGCAGCCCTGCGCGCGCGCAGCCGCGGTGATATCTGCGATCGCGAAGTACTGCCCGGTATAGAACTGGACTCCCGGGAGGAGGACGAGCGCGATGGACGGGCCCGCGCGCGCGATGGCGGAGAGGATGTCGGCGGTGCGGAGCGTGTGCTCGCCCGGGCGCGGGGAGAGCTCGATGATCGCGTCCGAGGGGTCGAGGCCGCGCGAGGCGACTTGCGTCGCGAACGCGTACTGCGTGCGGCGTCAGTGCGGTGCGCGAGGGTCGCGTGGACGTGTGGCGTACCTGGTCTGAGGGGAACGCCTTGGCTTCGCAGAGGATTTTGTAGCGGTCCTGAGTGGGCTTGTAGAAGGCGTTGAGCATCAGGTGCAGGTTCGCGGTGAGCGTGCCCATGCAGGCGACTTCGGACTCGCTCGCTCCTGCATGTATGCAGCGATGAGAACACAGAGTCAATCGATGTATGCTGGCGCAAGCCAGCCCGCATACCGGTACGCACCTACGAGGTCCGCAAAGTATGGGTGCACCGTATCCGCGATGTACATCCAGCTCCGGCCGTGTGGATGGTCAAAGTGGCCCTCCACTGCCCTGTGGGCGGACATAAAAAATCGCTACTGTTATTGCTGCTTCTCCTAGGTCCATCGCAGAGGGCGCAAGACAAGCTGAATCCGCACCTCGTTCCCCAGACCTCGAGCTCCTCCTGCACAAGCTTCTTCGCGCGCTTCGGCAGGAGGCCGAGCGAGTTCCCGCACAAGTACGTGCATGGCTGGTCGGCTGCGACCCAGTGCGTGATGTCGGCGCGGAAAGACAGAGGGTGCGTTCATGAGCGGGAAGCGCATGGACATAGATGGCAGCCGCGCTGAGGACGTACCGAGCTCTGCCGAAACGGCGGTCGCGTTCATCTGACGGAACGTGGGGATGACGAACTCATCGCGGAATGCACTCAATGGGTCGTCCGAGGGCGCAAGCTTGAACTGGTCTGCAGGGCTGCCCATGGCGATGAAGAGATCGCGGTCTGTCTCCGTCCACCGCGTGAGATGGGTGGATGACGATATTAGCTGCGAGAGTGCAACTCTACCCGTTGGTCCGATCAAGATTCGTCGCCTGAGCGTGCGTGCTCGACAGAAGTAGCGGATGTAGTCGAGAGTCTCGGGCGCATGGATGCGGGGGTGTATGAGTAATTGCTGCAAGGCTGCGCGCGCCGACACTACGGTATGCACAAGCTTTGGAAGAGAGCAGACCATGCACTCTACCTCGAGTTTACGGTGATGCGCCTGTCGACGTCAACACGTATACATACGGGAGCACAACCACTTTCCACTGCTGAGTGGACAAACCAAGTTGAAAGCGTAGTATTATGAGGGGGCATATGACCGGTGGTATACTAGGTAAGCGTACGCGCTGAATACAATACACGATAGCTTGTCATGTCGTCATCGAAAAGCAAAAGTAGGACTAAGACGAGCAGCATAAAAGAGCCGCCAGCCAACAGGAAGATGTCTCGTGGATAACGATGGTCCAATGGTCCAATTCGTGAATATAGAATAATTAGATGGGAGCAGTCCCGGCGGTAGGACACAGGTCCTGTCGGATTAATAGATACGAGATCATTTCTTGCCAGGACCAACGCCGAAGTAGAGACCGAGGATAAGTGCGAGGACGACGATGACGAAGATGAAGATCCAGAAGCAGATCCAACGCTTGCGGCGGGCAGATCGCGCATGTTTCACGGCCTTTTCCGTTTGTTCCAGGCTATAGGCAAGTGAGTGTTCGGATTATGAACATGGAGAGATGTAGGCATACCCTGCACGTGTGTTCCCTTCCACATCTATGGCTGTGGTTTGTATAGTATCAATGGCTTCGTCTTGTTGAGCGACGAGGACAGACATCTGCAAACGATGCGCGTCGGTTCAGTGGTTCATGGATGTGCCAAACAGATACGTACGTCGTTGAATAGCTGTGCCAGCTCCTCGAGCGTACGCTCAATCTTCTGGATGTCATGATGACGGTCCTGAACTTCGCGGTACACCAGACGTGATTCGCCATATCGTGTTGACGAGGAGAGCTGGTAACGTCTGAGGTCACGCCTGTCTCCTATACGCAAGATTCAACATACCGCTTGCGTGAAAATCTGAGCGCCGGAGCCTTCCGTATCGTTCACAACCGCCGCAACCTCCTCTGGCGTAGCATCGGGTTTGACTACACGTAACATTAGTACTTGTGCAGCGGGCGACGAAGACAGAACGCCCACCAATCTTGAACTGGCGCTCTACACGTTGGCGGTACCTCTGTCGGTAATCCCGCTCGACATTCTGGTAGTTTTGGAGCACCTCCACGAACTTCTGCCGCAGGAGAGAAGTCTAGAGAGACATGATAGCTGGGTAAAACGTTCTCACGTAGTGTCACCAGAGACTTGGCCGCGCACCTGATTCTTGCGGATTGCCTGATCCTGAGGCCGGGTGACAGGGTAGGAAGACAGAGACTGGATCTTCTCCTTCAGGCTGTTGCTCAGTTCGCGAGTCTGTCCGACAAGATCGTCAAGCAAAGCGGTGTTTTGACGGCTCGCGTTGTCGTCCGCGGAGTTGAGGGTACGGGAATGGAGGTCGGCTATCCGTGCAACGTTGCTGCTGAACTGTGCTATACCGTCTTGCACAGCGGTGACCTAGTAGCACACGTATGATCGTCGGTATACGCCTCCGGGCGAAGCCCTATCCATGGAAGGCACGGAATCTGCGAATACGGTGAACGATGCGCGTACCTGATTATAGAAATTTGTCATCGTGTCCGCACTCCCATTGCCATCCGCTTGAAGTGGTGGAGAAGTATAGCCATTGCCGCCTCCGAGGTCCGTCAATTCATGAGCCTGCTGTTGGCCATGCTGTTGCTGAATTACGCAGATACCAGAATGGGTGTCAGCCGAGAGCGCGTGGACGTGTACGCAGCAGAAGAATCGCACTCTGTATGCGGCCAATCTGTCTCGCTGCATCGTGGATAGTTGGGTATCACAAAAAAGAAGGAAACCAAACGAGGAGAGAGAAGATGAAGGGAGAGGGGTGGATTCAGCAGACGTCAGGCATCGAACAGCGGCAATTGCAAGGGTCTGCGCCTGGCTGTGGACGCAGCTCCCCGCCCCGCCACGTGCGCCCTCATTGGCCAGAGGCGCGCATCTATCCCAATTAGGATAACCAGGCGCCAAGATGACCAGTGCTTACTGCCACCGCGCCATTCACCCGCAGCGAGTTATGCTGCGATACCCACCGCCTCTATCGTTCTATTACCCCAAGCTGCGAGCAGAATACGCTCATGAACTGCCGCTTCCACGGATAGTACCCCGACCGGCGTCCAAAGGAATGATGAGTATCCCGGCCGGCGATTATAGGTTAAGCGCTTGATATTGCTTTGTCTACGGTGGTCTGGTAAGCGTATCAGGTTCCCCTCGGAAGCTCATGGCTTAGGAACCGGTACTACCAACTAGAATTCCGACCTGAGTATACCCGTGCGGGTCGAGAATTGGGTAGGTCGGGTACGAATGTGGGTCGGGTCACTCAGATTGACAGATGCCCAGACCCGACATGTGACCATCCTTTACATGCCGAAGAACTACGTAGTACAGTTTCGCCCAGTTCATGCGTTGGTCCCAAGCTTGTGCCGCAACGATAGAAGAGATATGCGTCATTGAAGCCATCCGTCCCTACCACTGACCCACTCCTGTCCGGTCGAACCTGTATAAAAGTCGCATCCCGTTCCAACGAAGTCCTTCATTCGCCGAACAGCGAGCACATTCAAATCTCTAGAACCTACTCACACCTGCAGCATCCCAATGTCCGTCAAGACCGTCAAGCTCGGGGGGACCGCCTCCGGCATAACAGTCGGAAAGGTTGCCGTGAGTGTACCACTGCCCTTCATCTACCGTTGGTCGCAATAATGATCTTCACTCTTGGAACGACAGCACGGCCTCATGACGTTGACGTGCGCCCTCCTCACATGATCGAGTGGCCACCGACTGATGCCCTGTCTATCATAGGAGCCAAGACCCCAATGTGCCAACGGATGAAGAGGCCGCCTTCGCAGCGATCAAGGCGGGTATTGATGTGCTGCCGCCTGGGGTGAAGATGTTTCTCAACAGCGGTGAGTTCTGCCCAGATGTCCCAAGTGCTCCCTCCCTGACTAACTCAAACGTGCATCAGCAAAAAGGTGTAAGGTATGGTCGGGCATGTGCAGGTTCCGCATTACCGGCCAGATTCGCAAGGTATGACCAAGGGATGACGGAATCTGGTAGAGAACCGCGAGGAATCACCGGGCATGGCCAGAGGTGACTGGGCGCCTGGACAATGCTTGTCACTTCTAGCAGAGTGTATGGTCTTCGCGTACCGTACCGCGGTAGAACTCTGGCCGATATTGCACATTCTTGACTAAGTCAATGAACATAGATGACCAATGCTTGGTGCAATTCCTGCCATGGCTGCCCAAGTTCAAACTACGGAACGGTCATTGATCATGTTGGCGAAGACAGCTGGCCAACAAATTACAACACAATCGGAGTTTGTACTTTCGATGATAAATGATAATTTAACACAGACTACTATACATGAAAGATGTCTAGATTACTACTCGCAGAACTCGGCGAGGTTAGGGTTAGTAGCACCG